CCCCCAAAACACCCACTGGTCCGACCACACAACCCCCCACACAATCCTCATAATCTCCCAACCCACCAACCAACACTGCGCCGTAGTCGGCGGCATCATGGCCCAACGAATGAAACGCCGCAACGTCGCGGGGGTGGTTGTCTCCGGACGAGTGCGCGATATGGCCGAACTACGAGCTTCCGGGTTACCTATCTGGGCGAAGGGCGTTTCGACGGTCGGGAGCGCGGCGGAGACGGTGACGGGGGGGTTTGGTGGGGGGGTGGATTTTGGGGGGGTGGTGGTTAGGCCTGTACGTGCTTTTTCTTTATTTTTTTCTTTTGTTTGGTTGTTTGGGGGGGGATAGGATGGGATGGGCTAATGGGTATAGGGCGATATCATCTTCTGTGATCCGGAGGAAGGGGTGGTGGCGATTCCGAGGGAGTTGTTGGATCGGGTGTTGGAGGTGATGCCGAAGTTGGTGGCTATGGATGAGAGGGTCAAGGAGGGGGTTGCGCGGGGGATGTCGGTGTTTGAGGCGTTTAGGGAGTTTAGGACCAAGATTTAGGAGTCATACTTGAGTAGGGAGTGTTGGGGCTGGGTGGACTGTATAGGTATAGGATCAATTTCGTGGTATATACTGTACTGTGAGAATACATCGCTCAGAAAGAAATCTAGATCACATTCTAGCCACTACTCCGCCACCCACACGGCGGCCATGCCCATTCCTGTCCCCACGCACATACTGCTCACGCCGATCTTCTTGTTCGTCCGCTTCAGCTCCGTCAGTAGCGTGCTGACCTGTCGAGAGCCTGTGCAGCCCAGCGGGTGGCCGAATGCGATCGCGCCACCCTTGGGGTTGATCTTCTCTTGGGGCAGGCCCAGCTCGTTGATACACCACACGCACTGCGATGCGAATGCCTCGTTGATCTCGTAGATGTCCACATCATCCTTGGTGATGCCCGCCTTCTCCAGCGCCACCGGAATCGCCTTCCACGGGCCAATGCCCATGAGCAGCGGCTTGACACCGACCACGCTGGCAGTCACGTACTTGCCGATGATCTTCTGGCCGAGGCGCTCTGCCGTGGAGCGCTTCATCAGCAGTACTGCGGCCGCGCCGTCGGAGATCTGAGAGGCATTGCCGGCGTGGATGGACCCGTCCTTGGCAAAGGCAGGACGGATCTTGCCCAAGGACTCGGCGGTCTGGCCGTCGCGGATGCCATCGTCCGCCTTGACTGTGATGGTCTGTTCTTCGCCCGTCTTGGGGTTGGTCCATTTGACCTCCAGAGGGACGATCTCCTCGTTGAAGAGACCGGCCTTCTGGGCCTTGACGGCCTTTTGGTACGACGAGGCAGCGAAGGAGTCTTGAGCGGCACGAGTGATCTTGCGGTCCTTGGCCATCTGCTCGGACAAGACCCCCATGGGGACCTTGCAGTTGGCTGATTCAGGGTGGCTCTCCAGAAGCTCGGAGAACTCGGTCACGGCACCAGGGCTTGCTCGTCAGATTATGCCTGGGAACGGGGTGGTGGGGGGACTTACCCATATTGAGAGGACATGCTTTCAACACCCGCACCGATACCAACATCAATCATACCAGACTTCACCGCATTGGCAACATCGACAATCGCCTGGAGACCGCTGGAGCACTGACGGTTGAGACTCTTGACGGCAGTCGACTCGGGGAAGCCCGCCACCAGGGCGGCAGCCCGGAACTCTGTCGCACCACCACCAGGGGGAAGAACCGAGCCGACGGAGATATCGTTCACCAGGCTGGGATCGATACCGCTGCGGTCGATGACAGCCTTGAATACACCAGCTAGCAAGTCCGCGGCAGCCGTGTCCTTGAAACCACCGCGTCCACCCTTGGTCAGGGCCGTGCGCAGAGCGCAGGTCACAACAATATCATCGGGGTGCTTTTCGGTGAGGGCATCGACTCCCTTCTTGCCGCCAGGGCCGAAGTGGGAGGCCACCTGAGAAAGACGCTGCTGGGCTGTTGACCGTGAGTACGAGATACTTGCTCGGAGCTAGAATCTAGGGTAAGCTTACCAGAAGACATGATGACGTCAATAGGGTTTATTATAAGGAAGCGGGGGTGACAAGAGTATCTCCGGTAAATACAAAGCTGACGAGCGATGAAAGCAGAGACTCCTTTCTTATAAGAATCCGGGGCGACGTGGAGAAGGCGACCAGTTAATGCGGGCTGCTGCCCCCATGGACCGAGGCACCCGCATCATCGTTGTTCCGCGGGCGGGTCACGGGATTGCCGCCAGAGGAAGCATTTCATGTGAAGATGGATGCAGTCGCATGTGCTGTATACGTCACGGGTCAGCTGGGACCAGCCAGCTGATTAGTGATCATCACATGCTCATACTTACTATAGTATGTAGTGAAGATCTTACACAGTATCCCTAGGCAGGTCTGATCAGCAAAGGCACTCTTCTGCATGGTTGAACTAGCTATATATCCTATTCACATATCTTGTACCTGTACCTATCCATACTATTAACGTTCCAAGTATAGTACCAACAACCTATCCCAAATCAAATCCCATAGTGAAGCATCCAAGATGAAAAGAAAATAACAAGAAAGAAAATTACATATCCCGTTGCAAAGACCATGCCATACGGAGTACTATCTACTCCGTACAATCGGTGTCTCCACCAGCGGAATCGCAATCGGGCTAGTCTCTCCGGGCGGAATTCCACCCGACAACTTTTTCTCCGCATCTCACCACCACTACCACAACATACCAGCCAGACAACCAGACAGACAGCCAAACCAATCCAATGGCGATACCACTCCTCTCCCGCCGGCTCCCCTCTCTCCTCCACTCCGCCCCTTTACCAGCCCGCCCATCATGGCTATCTTTCAACCTCCACCTCAACCAATATAACCCAATTCAGCTCTCACAAGTACGCCCCATCCACCCTCTCCAATCGCCCATACCTTCCCCCCCTCCCTCCCCCCAAACCACCACCACACCAATTCTCCAACTCTACGCACCTCAAACTAACCCACTGCCTTTAACGGAAATCAGACCCGCCCCCTAACCACAACCACCCCCCTCCAAACCTCCCCCTTCCGCCTCACCTCCAACAACACCCCTAACGACACCGAATACCACAACCCAAACGAATACTACAGCCCTTACAAACCCAAACGCCAATGGCCACCCGACATGTCGAAACTCTCCCCGAAACATCAATTCCGCCTCGAACGGAAATATCGTCGTCGGGCGGCGTTGAAATACGCCCGCCCGAAGTGGACCAAGGCGACGAAGTTGGTGCAGTGGGGGGCTATTGGGTGTATGTTTTCTTTCTTTTTCTTTTCCTTTTTTTTTCTTGAAGGGGGGGGGGGTTGTTTTGTGTGTGGGGCAAGGGTATAGGATGACATGGGCTGCTGGGGAGGGTATGGATGGAGACTGGAAGTATTGCTAACAGTGGTGTGTGTGTGTGGATAGTTGTTTTGGTATATGCCATGCTGTTTATGGAGTGGGATGAGCGGGGAAGTCCGTTTGATGAGGTAAGTTGGGTTCTTCTGGGTGGTTCTACACAGCTGCTGACGGGCTAGATTCGGCGGACTTTCTTTGCCGGTGTCAAAGGGGCCTTTTCGACGCCGCCGCCGCCCGGTCCGGTCCGGAGAGCAGCAGACGAGTCATCTCGGGAATAGACGAGTCTATCGACATCTCTTGAGCAAGCAGTGGATGTTATTACCCTACGGAAATAGACCAGCAATCTGTACAACACCTATGATTGAATATAATGACAGCGAAGCAATGCTCCGTAACTAACTAAGCATCTGCCACGCGGGCTGCTATAACGCGTCTGTCCAAAAAGAATGATCGGCCTGACATGCAATCAAAGAACGTCAATATCGTAGGTCGGGCCCGTGCCGTCGTGATTCGTTTCGCCGTCGCCGTCAAGTGACGGATAGATGCTCCCAAACACCTCGGAAATGCCAACGCCGTCCATCCCGAATCCAAGTCAGAGTGATGAGTAACGAATAGACAAAAACAGCAACACAAACCAGTAATCTTCATAACGCCGTGTCCACGTCGCGACTAGAGACGCCATCACCGTCCGGGTGAGTCCAGCGGTGTCCAGTGAAAGCTTCCTCCAACGCACGCGCATATCTACAGCCAATTGCCCAGGCCACTGTTGCCTTGAGCTACCCCGCTACCCGGAACATCCAGCGCAAGTTCCAGCTTGGGAGGCGGTTCGTCCAACACTCCCTTCCTGGGGCTTCCAGGCGTCTTGATCGGGGACTTCGTCGGCGATCCAGGCTCGGGCCGGGGAGGCCCTTCGCGGACCGATACGTAGGGCCACCCATCGTCCACGGCCGCAGCAACCCATGTCTTCAGGCAGTCATGCACCGACGAGTAAAACTTCTCCTTGCACGTTCTCATAGTGCCGCCCATGACCTTCTCGAATCCCGACGCGCGGAACTCAGCACGCAGCTGGTTGCGCTCTTCGACCGTCGGCAAGGACGCCACCAGGCCGTTCAAGAGGTCCAGATGCGCAGCCAGATAGTTGGTGGCATCCCACTCAACGCCCCCGACATATGGAGCGGCGGGCACTGGAGGCCGGGGGGCAGGAAAATGACGCTCCCGGAACGTCGTGCCAGGCTTACCATCTCTCAAAATGGGGACCACATTCAAATGGTGCAGGAAGATCCAGAACACTTCTTTGGTCACATTGGTAATCTCCTTGCACCAGATGCGGTAGGGCCGCGATTGGTATATGTTGGCGATAAAACTCAGCGGTTGGCTCTCCTCCGGGGGCACCGGGTCGCGCAGGTAGGATAAAATCCGGGAAGCACGCCTGGCTGCCATCTCATCGGATGATACCGTGGAGAGCTGCGTGAACAGGAGATTCATGATGATCCCGCGGGTGGTATACTCGCTGGGTCCCTTCTTCTCTTCATCGAATAGCATTTTCAGCAGTGCAGGAAACAGTTGGTCTTCGATGTTGGTGAGGTGTTGGAGCGCGATGGACGTCGTGCAAAGAGCTTTCAAACACAACAAGGTCTCGTGAAGTAAGTTATCTTCATGCTCTTCCCTGCGAATCATGAGCCATGGTCTCAATCGTGTGTTCGGCTGACTTACCTCCATTCGACCTTCATGATTCTGTAGAGCAGCTGCACAACCTCATCCATGCCACCATCCGCAATGAAAGTGTCAACCCAGCTGACCGTTTCATTTCGGAGGAGGAGCCGAAGTTTGTGCATCTTCCCGATCTCGACCATTTCTGGTTTCTGGATCTCTCGCAGATAATGAACAAAGTCCGACGGATCAGCGGCAGTGTCGCAAGCAGTCGCGGCAAGGGAAGTCGTGGAAGCGGACGGCGTTCCGGTCCTGGAGAACCCTGTGGGCTGCGAATAGTCAGCGGATTTGGGGCGTCTGTAAAAGCTCCCGCTGTCGGGGCGCTGTTTTTTGGGCGATGAGTTGCCTTTGGAGAACGTAAAGCCCCGACTGCGGGATCGAGAGCGCGATCCTTTGCTGTCTTGGCCCTGTCTCTCCTCCTTTGGCTCCTTCTTTCGTCCCCGACGGCCAGTACTATCGGTTGCACTAGCACTCGCGCTGTGCGGCGTCGTGTTCTCAGCTCGATCCTTCCGGATGAAGTCGGCTTTGATGTTGGTATCCAAAGACCTCATCTTATCCCTCATATTATGAGGGATGTTTCGCGCATCCTGTTACCTGATCAGTCTGGGTCGTTGAGGCCGGTTCAGATATACTCACCAGGAGCTTTTCAAACTCGCTTTCTAGATCCTTGGGATTCATGCGTTTTTGCAGCTCGACTTGCTGCTCTTTCGCATTGAATGCCGAGATTGCTGCTTGAACACGGGAGACCCTTTTCGGGCTTTGTTCCGGCCTGGCCTCCACCGGGGGATGGTATTCCGGCCGGGACAATGCCCGAGGTCTTCCCTGCTTCTTCGATGGAGAATTGGGTGGATGAACCGGGGCCGGCTTGTTCGACGACATACCCTCTATAGGATCCATGAGTTCCTTCACCTTGCGGTTGCCCGCGAGATAGTCCGATTTCGGTCGAGGTTTCGGGTCTCCGCGTGTTCTGAGGGACGGTCCGTAGTCGTAGAAATTGCGCTGGAGCGCTGGACCGTACTCTCTTGGGGTGTAGAGGGAGACCTCTTCCTGCAGCGTCCGAGGCTTGTGCGGAGACCCGGTAAGTTCAGATTGGTCGTGGTACGGTGTCGTGTATTGGCCCCAAGCCGGGGAGGGCATGCTGTCGACAGGATCCGATGGGCTGCGGTTCTCTTTATCCCTGGCACCTTTCGAATTTTCTGCTTTTCTTCCGCGTTGGGATCGTTTCAGGATGGCCGAGAGACTGTTGGCCGACTTTGCTTTCTTCGGTTTAAAGTTGGCCGTGTCGTCATCCGGTATCTCATCCGACTTGTCCTTGCGTTCCATGTAGCTCTTCAAAGATTTCAGTGAGACAGCGCTTTTGGTCTTCTTGTGGAGAGTATGTTTCCCTTGCTTTCCAGGTGATCGCTGGGTTGAACTAACGTCTGCTGCATCCCGGTTGGGGGCTATTTCTGCCAGTGGCTGTTGATCCGCAGTGGTGTAGGGCCCATCGACGGGAGGCGCGAATGGGTTGCCACGAGGCTGACCTTTATCGATGCCCCGGGGGGCCAGGACATCATCCGCAGAGGACGTCCGTTTGTGAGCCTTGGAGGACCAAATCGCCCGCAGGACGGAGGGCTTCGTAGGGGTACGGGTGGAGTCGTCAAAGATGCTCGGGGGTTGCATGCTGGGAGCCATGTCTTATCGCCTTTAGCCCGAAACTGATTAGGAAGCCACATGCCATATTAGCATCCGAGGAGAGTCATGGAGGAATGAACGGGTAGGCGCAGGCGACTCACGGTGAAAGTGCTCCAGCGCAGAGAGATCGAGCACCAGCGAAGAATACGAAAGTCCGAGAGTTCTATGCCAGGCAGGACAACAAGGACTTGGAACAAGAGAATACAGACAACATTGATGAAGGGCAATCAAGAGAACAAGCGAGGCCAAAAATGTAACAAGAGAAGAGAAGACCAATACGAAGGAACAGAAACACAGCAGCAACAGCAGACACCAGCGTCAACCTCAGGTGGGTAGACCGGGAATTTGAAGCCTTCCAAAGGTCAAAGACGGACAGGAGCCGTAAGCATTCCCCCACTGCATAGCCTAGTCCGCCAACGCCGTTGCCAAACGGCTGGAGATGGGAGCACCGCAGTGAAGCGGAGGGTGTAAACACGGTGCGGGCAGGGAGGTTGCTGGGGGCAACCACCCTGCCGGTCGCGCCGGGCGGCGCATCCCCCGTCATGATCGTCTATCTATCAATCAATCCATCACTCCATCAATCAATCACTGTCGTTCCTTTTGCCTCCGTGTCCAGCCCGTCCAGACAACATCCGATCACCCGTCATGATGTGCTGGAACCCGTTGTGATGGAAATTGAGGTCGATGTCATAGTGGAGGAGTGGATGCCATGGATCCGGTCCTTTGCCGGACAATCATGACCCGCTCGGATTCAAGATGGTGAGACTTATCACTTGAGAGGTATGAAATGATGGCGGATGGCCAGCCACATAGGCTGGGTAGATCCTAATCCTACTGTGTCCCTGGGTGAGACGAGTTCTGGCTGCTGTCGTCATTGTGTTGGCTAGACACCTGTCAACCTTCATTCTGATGGTGAACTCTGTTGTTGGCAGATGACAGTGGACGGGGCAGTCACTGAATTGGGCATAGTGCCCCTGCTGATATCCTCCGGAGTATCAAGTTACCCTGTCACTCATGATGATTCTTCCCTCCACTACCATCATTTAGATTCATAGTTTCTTTCGTGATCACTGAAAGAAATTGATACAGGAGACGGAAGGTCTAGACAAGAGAACCTGTAGGCTCATGGTCACTTCAACCCCGTTCTTCACTAGAAAGGTAGACATCCTATAGCTAAGGACCCATGACTGGAGGATGCTCCCGGTTCTAAAGGATCGGGGATCGGCTGAATAATTCAAACAAATTCCCTGCTGATGAAGAGTGCATAACGTCAAATGACCTGTTGAATCAATCTACATGGCACATACTACGGAGTACAACATACTGTGTAGTACACACGCGGGATGAACTAAGCCCAAAGCAGAAAGAATGCCCACAATCCATTCGCAGTCCCAAACCGCCCCTATCGATTATCGAGATACGAGATACGGAGTACTAGTATATAGTTAATCTTCTAGCTCTTCCATCATCACCTAGATAGGGGTCCGAATAGCTCTGTAATTGCCGCTAGAGAGGCTTGACGAATCCGCCCAGCTTGGCGCATGAAGTTCCGGAAGGGGGTCGAATCGGAGGGAGGCTCAGCCTTGCAGCCGATCGTCTGGCGCAAGGGAGGACGAGGGCGCATCACGGGACTCCAGGAAGGACTGACTTGGCCCTCGATAGCTTTGTCTGTTGGTAACCGCTTCAACCATCTTTATCGCGGGTTCATTTCTTACCCCCCGTTTCCCATGGGGTACCCATGCAGAGAGAGATGGATGCTGGCGCCGACTTGCTGTGTCACGGAATGGCCGCGAACATGATGGTGCCTAGAACTGCGTTTAGCAGGTCTCGGCGGCCCAGGTAGGCCACACCTCACCGTGAACAGCCTCAGGGCCGCATGCCGTCATGCCTACCAAAATCTGTTCTTCCCCCTCCCCCTCATGCTCTCGACTTGACTGAACTGCTGCTGGTCTCAACTTCGAGATCCACCCCTCATCCGGACGCCTTACGCGCACCCATTGCACTCGATCTGTCAACTTCTCCCGACCCTTTCCCGGTTTCACAGGTGGACGTGTCTCCAGCGACCACCGCAATCGGGCAGTTTCGGGCAGTCTTCCCCGCAGGGTCCTTGAGTCCTGGACTGAACTTCCGAGGTGGCGTTGCCTAATTATTCCGACCGTGCAAAAAACCATATCTATATCGCAATTGTCTCACTGAAGGACTGCTCAACCCGCCATGAATTGCCCTTCGCGAACCGATGATACTCTCGAGCACCCGGGCTGGAACCAGAATCCGCCCGCGCTGAATGGCGACATTACCACCCGAAACGATTTCAACGGCATCGCCAATTCCAAGGTGCATCGGAGGCATGCGTCAGGAGGAAGTGGAGAGCCAGGTGAAGGGATTATGGCCATGAATCACAGACCGAATAGTCTAGATGGCAACGAGCCCGAGATGGAGAAGAAGACCCCGGGCGAAGTGGTCGCTGCCACTTCCCGGGATCAATCGCCTGGGAGGAGCAGCGGATCACCTCGCCGTCCTTTCAATACAACAACTTTGTCTTTCTTTCTCCGTCTTGCTCAGACTGTCAAGAAATTTGGTCGCTTCGTGGGCCCCGGATTCCTAATCGCCGTAGCTTACATTGACCCGGGGAACTACTCCACCGATGTCTCCGCAGGCGCAGAGTTCCGCTATGCTCTGCTGTTCATCGTGTTGGTCTCCAACTTGTTTGCCATCTTCCTCCAATCGCTGTGCATTAAGCTCGGCACAGTGACGGGGCTTAATTTGGCAGAGAACTGCAGGGAGCATCTACCCAGGTGGCTGACCCTCATCCTGTATGCTTTTGCGGAGGCTGCCATTGTGGCAACCGACATCGCGGAGGTACTGCTGCTCTCACTCCTCTCCGTCTGCATGCAATCGTTGCAATCGTTAACATGCCTTCCCAGGTTATCGGATCTGCAATCTCGCTTAATCTCCTCCTGAAAATCCCCCTCGTGGCCGGATGCGCAATCACCCTGGCCGATGTTCTTTTCATTCTGATCTTCTATAGGCCGAATGGCGCCATGTGGGGGTTGCGTCTATTTGAATTCTTCGTCATGCTTCTAGTCCTGGGAGTTGTGATATGCTTTTGCATTCAGCTCGCTCTTATCAAGGAGCAATCGGTTGGCGATGTGTTCCGGGGCTACCTGCCTTCGTCCGCCATAGTGCAATCCGAAGGGTAGGTGATGCCCTGCCTGTGTTGTCGAAGTGGCCGCACTCACAAATGTGCTCCTAGTTTGTACCAAAGCTGTGGAATTCTCGGTGCGACAGTGATGCCTCACTCCATGTTCCTCGGAAGCGGGGTGGTCCAATCGCGCCTGAAGGAATTCGACGTTACGCAAGGCTACGTGGATCCGTCTGTCTGTCTTGGGAGCACTGGCGGAGAAGTTGAATACAGGCCTTCCATCCAGGCCATCCGGGGATGTTTAAAGTATTCCATCATCGAGCTTACCTTGTCCCTCTTCACATTCGCCCTCTTTGTCAACAGCGCCATTCTCATCGTCGCCGGTGCCTCCTTGTACGGAACGTCGGGGGCTGATAGTGCAGACCTCTGGGGCATTTACAATCTTCTTTGTAGCTCCATCGCCCCTGCTGCAGGACTTATATTTGCACTGGCCCTTCTCCTTTCAGGAATCTCCGCTGGCATCGTCTGTACTATGGCGGGCCAGATGGTAAGCGAGGGAATGCTGAACTGGAGCATGAGACCTTGGCTCCGCCGACTCATTACGCGATCGATTAGCATCATCCCTAGCATAATCATTGCAGGAGCGGTCGGTAAGGAGGGATTGGATAAGACGCTAAACGCCAGCCAAGTGGTGTTGAGTGTTATCCTCCCATTCGTCTCCGCCCCCCTAGTCTACTTTACCTGTCGCAACCGTTACATGACCGTCCCGACCGATAGGAACTTCAGTGGTGAGGATTCCTCGCCAGAAGGGGTCAAGATGAGAAATAACTGGTTTGTTACTGGCATTGCTATCGTTGTGTGGGTAATCATTGCCGTCATGAACGTGGCTTTGCTTGTCCTTGTTGGGCTAGGCAAGGCCTGAGCACGTGGACCGGGAGACCCCATCTTCTCGGAATATTCGCTGGAATGTGCATCGCCTTGATTTCTCAGGGTGGCACGAAACAGACAATCTAGAGTCGCAGGAACCAACAAACAAAGGGGTAAAGAGTGGGCAAAACAAGGCAAGAAAGGAGTGTAGACTGAATATGACTTAATCGACCAGTTAAGGAAAGCTAGCAAGAAATACCAACTCCGATGCCACCATGATTGAACTCCTTAATCATATCCTCGTAGAGTAACTAGCCCAGGCCACCCGCAGGTTCCTTGACCTTGGTCTGCTCTGGCGGTTCGTCAATGAACTGAGGCGGTGCCACCTCATCTTGCAGGAAGCTAGGCACGCTATCGCCCATGGAACTTTCCATCATAGTCTCCTCGCCCAGCGCCTCCAATTCCGCATCGAGTTCCGCTTCATCCACATCCTCAGGCACGTCATACGCCCGCGATATACTTTCCTGAATCTCATTCCCCACGTCCATCAAGTCGGCCATCTCATCCTGCAGCCGCTCAATCTTGTCAATATCGATCTGACCATACTGCTTCTTGAGGGTCTTGGTGGTCGTCTTCATAGCATCAACCGTAGTCATCACATTCTTCAAATTATCCTGCATCATGCCCGCTTGTTCCATATTCCACGACTGCTGAGACAACTGATCCCGCTGAGCCTCGTACTGTTTGCGCCGCTGGAGCACCTTCAGCGCCTTCTGCCGTAATGCGGTTTTGCCCGGTCCGTCGCGCATCTTGGAGATCTTGGATTGATAGGTCGAGAGTTCCGAGTTCAGAGCCGCCAACTTGACGTCAATGCTGGAGATGCGAGTTTCCACCTGTCGTAAACCGGCGGGACGTTAATCATGCGGGGTCAGGCGGATAGGGACGATATCGATTCGGAGGGTTGGGCAACAAGATGACGCTGAACTCACATTGGAAATGGCCCCATCCAACGTGGGCTTGGGTGCCGTATTCTTGGTCCCGAATAACCGGTTCATTTTGGCATGCGGGAAACGGTGAGGGGAAGAAGTGCTTGTGAGAAGCTGGAGTCCGAACGGTCACTCAACTGGGGGGTGTTGTAGTATGGGCTAGCGGCCGCGGTCTCGCCGCCTTGGGATACCAGTTGGGGTAGACACTAGGCAGATATCTTGGGCTGCGAGGTTACGCGCAAACGGAGACCTGATGGGTTGAAAATGCAGTTAAGTAAGAAGCACTGAGGAATATTCTAGTAACTATATAGGCCTATACAACTCCAAGGTGAGCGTTATCGGTTTGCGCCAGAAGCTCAGGCGGCTACCTAAAGTTGATCCACGTGACAGGTTACAATACAGCTCGGTCAGATAGCACCCAAGGCGGTAAGGCGTGGTAATGGGGACGATACCGCTATTCCCCGTACTAGTAGTCTCTAGTCGGCGCAGTGCTGCAAAGTCCCTAAAGTAAGCTGATGGATATGATAAGACGATTTTCCGGCCTGATTCCGGGCAGCGACTTGATTGTCCCGATGATCAAATCCAGACTGGGCGGTTCTCTCCTCACCTGATCAGAGGCAGATGAGCCGGTGTGACGGAGTACGGGGTAATGACTGCAATGGTGATCTGCTTACTGGATCCAGGCTAACCGACCACGAGGTTGGTTTGGTCCCATTCACATTAACCGTCAGATGAATGATTTGTGCCTGGTAGCATGGTCTGTCTGGCTGGAATATCCAAGGATGCTCTTTGACATTCACGGAGTGTAGGGACGCCGTGATGCTCCGCCTTACATACCCAAACCATACTGCTGAAGTGGCCCAAACTTCAGTCAGACGAAACATACAGTGTACCCAGTACTTGTATCTGTGCACTAGCGGGTGTGGTCAGTGCGGTACCTGATACTTGCCAGGCTTTTGCACCAGGCCTGCAAGGAGCAGGTAATAACCACTCGTGCGTCCTGAAGGCTCCGGGTGTTACGCGAACGTCTGGAGGGAAGCCTCATCATCATCGTCACCACCACCGTCTCGTCCTCCGCTTCTGGTCCCCATTGACTTTGCGGAAGAGGGCATCTGGTCCGGACATGTATACCATCTTTGCCCCGGATTATTAAGCGTCTGAACTAATCCACTTGCTGTTCCCAGAAGAGCCTGAAACCATCATTGCCCCCCTCTCCCTCGCGTATCTGGTTCCAAGTTCCCCGCCGTCGCTCCTCGGGCTTGTTGGGTATTTCCGCCTGGCTCGTTTATCATCACCTCCAGGGATCAGACTTGCCGACCGATCCAGACACAGCCGCCAGCGCACCACAGTCAACGTGATTCTGCGACGGTTAGCCCGTGATTCGGACTCTTGGGCATCTTGTGGATCGTCAATTATTCTTCCTCCATCCGACGGACTGGTTTCGCCTGTGCAGCGCTGGGCTGACAAAGTGATTATCCTGCTCGTGGGTCGCTTCAGCCCCCAACAAGGACTCTGCTCTTGTTTCGCTTTCGTTGTCACTCCCTCCGGTCGTGAAAGGTACGTGGTCTGAACCTCCCTTTCCCTGGTCCTTGCCGGGGTTTGGACAATGCACACTGCAGCTGCTGCTACTGTCATCCCCTAAGCCCATCATCTGCCGCCAGCCTAGGCTCTTCCTGACAGTCTCCGACTTCCCGAAGAGCCCACCCCTGATGATCCTTCGCCATCTTCAACATTCTTGTTCTATAACACTTGAGGCGCATGCAATCGTACTAACTGGTTCATTTCGCGCACGCAGCGCTTGGTCGCTCTGACCCGATTTATCTTGCCTATCATTCTCTTACGCCTCTTGTCCCGGGACGATTGGAATATACCGACTCAGCCTTTCCGGACTTTGTTTCGATATATGATTCCGTACCGGCCGACCATTGCATACTGGCACTCTGCATGAGACTCATCTGCTAGACCCCTCCCCCCTCCCCCCGCTTACTACGCTTTTGTATCATACGCTGCTCACCGTAACGACGTTCCGGCGACGATCTGCGATCAAAAGTGCTCGTGCTACCGTGATCCTTTTCCATGACTCTTTTCGCCCAGTTATATAATCCATCATGTTTTGGCGTTTCGGAGGATATGCAAGTATCTCCACCATCGATACCCTACTAGACAAGCCCGATGTCACCCTTGAGGAGCTGCTGGATGAGTCTGAGCTCATCCAAGAGCTCAAACAAAATAATACGAAGCTCATAGAATTCTTACGAGAAGATAATGTCTTAAAACGGCTGATGGATTACGTTACCGCACCTAGTCTGGTGAATGACGATGACGAAGACGACGACCATGAGAGAAATGCCGCGCAGACAAGCAAAGAGGGTTCGGAAGAGGTCAAAGGGGGAGACCCCCTCAAGGATTTATTGGATCCCGAGGATCTGGAACGGGCGGAGAAGGATCGCATGAAGCGTGCCTACGTTGCGTGCGAGGTCCTGTCGTCAGAGACATGGTCGATATTGGAATCCATTCTGCTGAATCCCGGCCATCTACGAGACTTCTGGGGATTCCTGAGGCGCTCGCCACCATTGGACTCGGCCCAAGCGAGTTATTTTACGAAAGTGAACGAAACGTTATTCGACAAGAAAACAAGTGACATGTTAGAGCTTTTCAAGTCAATGGAGGGAATTGTACCGGCAATTCTGCAGCACGTTGACAATCCCATGGTCATGGACTTGCTGCTCAAAATCATTAGTTTGGAGAAGGTGGAAGGTGGACATGGCATTGTTGATGTAAGTGGGAGTTGATCGGTTTGTGTTGCGATTTATGCTGATAATTGCCCGCAGTGGTTGAAATCACAAGACCTCATCCCTACCCTTCTGTCATTTCTATCGCCGGACCACCCCGCCTCTGTGCAGACATCGGCTGGAGATTTTCTCAAAGCCATCATCACCATATCGGCAAACGCAACACAGAATGACCAATCCTGCATTGGTCCCAATAGCCTCACTCGTCAGTTGGTTTCCACGCCGTGCGTGGAAAGCCTCATCAAGGCCATGCTGCAAGGCGGGAACCCTTTGACGGTTGGTGTTGGCATTGTCATAGAAGTCATTCGGAAGAACAACTCCGACTACGACCCCGATAACATCAATGGTCCGGATTCACTACCCACGACCTACGACCCTATCTACCTTGGTAACCTGCTTCGACTCTTTGCCAAGCACATACCGGACTTTATGGCGCTGATTCAAAGCTCCAAGCACACGGTGAACGACGGGGGCAAGGTGAGGAGTGTGGAGAGAGGCAAGCTGAATTCGGCGTGGGGTGCGAAGATCGAGCCCCTTGGTTTTGACCGATTCAAGACGTGCGAACTGATGGCCGAACTACTACATTGCAGTAATATGGGTCTATTGAACGAGCCTGGAAGTGACGAGTACGTGCGACAGCGTGATGCTGAGCGTGAAAGGCTGATGAAGGAGGGTGTATTCAACTCTCACCGAGAAGAGACGTCCGCTTTTGATGGTAATGACTCTACAGTGGACTTCGTAAATGGATCTGTCATCGGCTATGGCTCCCCAGAAGGCTCTAGGGTGCTAGAGGTCGCAAACACGGGCGAAGAAAGCTTCGAGGACGTCAGCTCATCGGGAGTTCTTGTCGACAAGGAAAAGGACGCCGAGGTTAAAGACACGACCAGTCCTGAGTCAAAGCCTGAGCCTGCACCTTCACAACAGCCGTTGACCGAAACATCGGGACAGGCTGCAAATGATACGTTAGAAAATGGCTCTCACGACCAAGATACAAATGCTTCCGGCGGGGATCAAACATATTCACCTTCTGATCCTGTGTCAGCTACTGCGTCAGGATTGGCGGAAGTCAGCCTGGATGGCAGCCAGACGGCTGAAGCATCATCTGCACAGGAGACTTCTGACATTCCTGAGGATAAGACCACAACGCCTTCACCATCCGAAACGGTGCAGGCTCCTGTGGATCAACAAACTCAGCAACAGAGCTCCTCGGCGCCTGATACTGCTGGCCAGGTCGGCGATGCTTCCAGCTCAGCCCAATCTGCTCCGGGGTCCGCGCACACCCAGCAAGACGAAGGTGACGTCCAGCGTCAGCTGCATCCAGATGTTCAGGTCGATTCAAATGGTAAACCCGTCGTTGGTGATTATCTCAAGATCATGTTCGTTGAGAATCGGGTGGTGCCAACCATCCTAGTAAGTTCTGTGTTAGAGTTCCGTCTGCCGAAATTTCCTAACTGTTTATCTCCAGGACTTCTTCTTCCGTTTCCCCTGGAACAACTTCCTGCACAATGTTGTTTACGATGTTGTCCAACAAGTGTTTAATGGTCCCATGGAGCGCGGCTATAATCGCATGCTGGCGATAGACGTGTTTGAGACCGGCCGCATAACCCAGAGCATTGTTGAAGGCCAAAAGCGAAGCGACGAAACGCAGCGAACCAAACAGATCCGACTGGGGTACATGGGTCATTTGACCCTGATTGCTGAAGAGGTTGTGAAGTTCAGCGAACGGCACCCGCCCGAGTTACTCTCCCCCACGGTCATGGAGAATGTGCTCAACCCGGAGTGGATCGACTATGTTGAGCAAACGCTTTCTGAAACCCGGGAGCGTGACAACGCCATTCTTGGTGGGGTGCGCCCCGACATGTCGATTGGTCATCGCCAGGGCATGCTCAATTCCGGCCAAAGCGTCAACACGTCGTCAGCGCTCGCCGATGCCGGGTTAAACGGCTCGGTTGGGGGCTCGGGCTTCCAGGGCTTTGACATGATGAACCAGGGAAGCGTTTCCGGCGGGGCTTTCGGGCTTAGCGGCGGTAATTCCCTGCTGAGTGGCTTCGCAAGCTCAAGCGACGACGACGAGGATGAAGAAATGGAAGACCAAGATGATAGGAATCTGGCCGAGCATTCTGCTGAAGGTGGCTCTGACAATGTGGGTGATCACCTTTTCACTGATGTCGATATGCGCGATGCGTGACCCGATCCCTGCGATCCCTCTTTTCCCTACCCCTTTCCCTACTTCTACGGCTATCTTTTCATCATCTGGGACACCCTGTGTTGGTTTATCTTCTTTGATTCGGGCCTTGGGCTGGTATACATCGCATGCTACGGCTGGGATAACGCATGATGGACGAGGGGAGTGACGGAGGTCGAGAAGGGCCTTGCACATAGAGCGTTTGGCTGGCAGCGCTTTTCCATACGTATGAAGTCATTCAAAGAACTCCAACTCCCCGCTATCATGTGGCCACCCCTGGAACTAAGCATGTGCCCGCGAGTCACACCAGTAGTCCTCTGGCTTGCCGCCTCGGTGCTGACGTCGGCCTTATGTGTATTTCCACTTGCGCATTGTTCTGGAGGTGATGTTCCGAGGGTCTTAGTCACGTACTAACTCGATGGTAATAGGCCTCGACCAACTCCACCAGCCAGCCAATCCCGATTCTTCCCCCGCCCCCTGCTCCGATGAGCCACGGTCCATCTCGAGCACGGCGACAACTTGCTGCCCGGCTGGCTGCCCACAAACAGCAGGCCGCCGACAACACCGAGGGGGGTGAGGATGCGAATCGGGAACAGTCCAACGACCATGACCTGCAATGGCCCACCAATCCGTTTGTGATTGCCGGGTTGGACGAGGACGCCGATGGCACCAACTCGCCTGCTAGCGCTGCTTTCCCATCGACCGATTTCCCTCATCCCAGCAAGGATGAGCCTTTCTCATCGCCTACCTTCCCCGACTCCGGCTTCAGTCCTCCTGACTCGTTCTCCACGAATTCCTCCGACGATGACGGCGAAGGTAGACCGGAGGGCGCACGACGCAAGGACCGGGTTCCTCTGGAGGTCGATGAGGAGGACGACGACATGGGGGAAATGGTCGGGCCTTCGCTCGACGCGGGCATGATGGACTCTGATGAAGAAGATGAGGCGATCATGAACGAGTCCTTGGGGTATCCGGACATTGGATCGGGACGTTACCGAAGCTTCCGCCGATCCCGGATCGGCGTCTCTCCGTTCGGTGAGGATGAAGACGACAGTAGTGACGGGGAGGATGACGGGCTCGTTGAGATCCTCGTGCCGGGGCGCAAGGCTTCGACGTCGTCCACGTCTTCCCACTAGTTTGCATGATGCTTGATGTCCCTTTCTGTTATGTACGCAACGTTTTCCCTTTGGCGGTGGTTTGATTGTGTCTCGGCCTGTTCAATTTTGGATTAGTTCAATTCCCATGATGTACACTATTTGACTGCATGACATTTTGTATATGCCTTGTGCGATGGACGACCAGAGTCGGTGACCATCCGAATTGCTCGGATCGTAGGAATGAATGCACGAGGGCGGCCGGGAAAGTGGGACGCCGCATCGATTCCGCCGCTGCTGCCAAACCCACTTTTCCCTCTGCAACTTCATCGCCCTGCCAGTACCAAGAAAGTCGCGGGACTGGTGCAGTCGCAGGGAATTCCTGTGTCATTCAGTATTTCGTCTCCGGAGCATCTTTTCTAAAAAGATGGCCAGCGCGACGCCGAGTCTCCCGATGTAAGCTTTTTTCCCCATCTCCGCGATGACGTTTTCGGGTCACGAATTTGTTGCTTCGATGCATATGCTTCCTTGGATATGGCGGACTCGTTCCAGTCAACACTGTTTGTGCCCTGCGTCTTCATGTTGCCCCTTTTGCTCTATGCTCCTCCTTCAAGCCAGTAAATGAGGGTACTTGTACCGCACCAGTGATGCTGTCCCGCAAACATGATATCGCTGGAGCCATGGGCCTCTCAATCACATCCATATGCCCAATAACAACCACGTGCACAATTTATCATGCAAGCTCAATATCTGACCAGTCCCAGGCCCAGTGACGATGACAGCCTACAAATCTACTTTGAGCTGCTAAATTGGGTGGTCAGCAATGGCGGCCACCTCCACGACAGCGTGCAAATAGCCAAGGACGAAAGCCGCGGCGTGCATCTTCAAGTCAAGAGGGACTGGAAGGATGGCGTCCCCAATGACACGCACATCATTAAGACTCCGTTAGCTACAACCATGTCCTACTTCAATGTCATGGATCACTCTTCTGCTGCGGAGGACAGCGGCGCACTCATCGCTTTCTCAGCTCATGGTCTTCATTTTCCACAGGCGTTTGTTGACGCTGTCGGACCTAAGGAAGCGACGATATTCTTCCTCATTGGTCAGTATCTGCGTGGCACAGAGGGCTTCTGGTACCCGTACATCCGGACGCTGCCTCAGCCGGGTTCTTTGACAACTCCTCCGTACTATGAGGGGGAGGATTTGCAATGGTTGAATGGTACGAGCTTGTTGTCGGCTAGGGAGCAGAGGATGAGTCTTCTGAAGGAGAAGTACGAAAAGGGGTCCGTCGAGTTACGTCAGGCTGGATTCCAGAGTGCTGAGGAATATACATGGTGAGTTAAAAAGGCGCTACCTACCATTTGGTGTTCTATCGATGGCATTGACACCGAAGATTCGATCGTAGGGACCTCTACCTCTGGGCAGCATCGATGTTCATTTCGCGTGCTTTTTCCGCAAAGGTGATGTCTGGGGTGTTTCCTGAAAAGGAGCTGTCGGAGGAGAATTTCGCTGTTCTTCTTCCCCTCATTGACATGGGGAACCATCGGCCGTTGGCCAAGGTGGAGTGGCGAGCTGGCAAAGATGATGTCGCCTTTGTCGTCCTGGAGGATGTGACGGCAGGCCAGGAAATCAGTAACAATTATGGACCCCGGAATAACGAGCAGCGTAGGTGTCTATCTCGAACACCGCTTCTCAACTAGCAGCTGACGCAGTTAGTAATGATGAACTACGGTTTCTGCATACCGGGAAACCCCTGCGACCATCGGATTGTCAGTCTACGGGCACCGCCTGGAAGTCCACTTCAAGTCGCAAAGGCCCATCAGGTGCAGATGCACCCTGAGCTGGCCGGCGAAACGGAGGACCACTACTACGTGTTCAACGTCTTCTATCCCCTGCTTGCCCCTGAAATGTCAATGGAACATTCTATCTTTTCGCCTGCCTTGCTCGACGCTGTCTCGGTCCTGGCCGCGAACAACCGAGAGCTAGAGACACTTGAAATCACGAGCCAAGGAATCAAGATCCCCAGCGGCTACGGAAACTCGCGGGCCCTCCTTGCGGCCTTGAGCCAGGTTATCATTGAGCTCATCACGCATGCTGCGAAACTGAGAGCTTCAGGAGAGGACCTTCAGACCCCGACGAACCTCAAACAGATTCACGCGAAACTCTACCGGGATAGTCAAATCATGCTGTCCGAGACCGCCCTCGTCATTGCAGCATGGACTCTGAACCGTGCGCGGCAGCACAACTTCACCGGAAACTGGGACGAGACTAAGCGGCTCCTTGGGGCACATATGGGCCAAATCCCTGCTGGCAAGTTCCCGGACGAGGTGTTTTCTCGGCTACAAGTGCGCATCTTGGAGCGGCAGTCGCTGCTTAAGAGCAACGGGGAGTTGTTCACCTTGGGGGAACTGCCCGACCTTCTTCCTGCTGAGATGCGTCAATCTTGCAAGGCCTGCTTCCAGGATATCTTGTCGATTTCTGAAAATGCGATTCCCATGCTGAGTGGAAGTGGTGGGTCGTCGCCCTTTGCTTTCCCGATGTTCCTCTGTCTGGTCGTGGCAGTCTACACGGCCAGCCAATCTGCAGGTTCAGAGGGAGTGCAACTACCGTCTAGGCTTTCTCGATGGGCAAGCTTCCTCCTCGAGAACTACCCGCCGCCGCCGAATGACGTGGCCTGGGCAGTCGAGGACGAGGATGACGAGCACATGCTGGGCCTCTTTGACGATGTTTTGGAGCAGATGCGCACCCAGAATGCCGGCGTGTTTACCAAACTGGCCCCGTACACGGGCGACTGGCAGAAAGATGACTGGTGGCTGTCGCCCAACTGGTTGCGATGGGGATGGATGATTGGGGAGCAGGAGTGCGTGCAGATTCCCGTGGATCCGCTGCGGTTGTTGGCGGCGGGCAGGGGGGGGCAGGTGCGGCTGTCGACGGAGACGTATCTGTATGTTCCGGGGGAGGAGTACTAGCTAGCATACATAGTCGAGTAGAGGCGAAATGATACACCTCATGAAGTGATGATTTAGTGAAGTGTTGATAGATTAGTCAGCCGCATCAGGTGACCCACCCGCAGCCAATCAGCACCGGGGGAAAGGCGGATATTCAGCAAGCGCAGGAATTGCCGGACCGGGCAGCTCAAACCACGAACTCCACGGCTGCTTGTCCCATCACCAGATCTCCAACCCTCCTTCTCGCCCCCTCCCCTCTCCTCCCCAAGCCATTGGGCCAGCGTTCAACATGATATCCCGAGCGGCGGCTCCCTCGTCTTCCCCTCTCGCCACCCTCTCCTCCCGCTCCCTCCGTGCCCAGGCCCCGGCTGCCCGTACCTTCGCGACAGTCCAGGACAACGCCCCCCCCGTCCGGCATCATGGCGGTCTGAAGGACCAGGATCGCATCTTCACCAACCTTTACGGACACCATGGAGCCGACCTCAAGTCGGCGATGAAGTATGGCGACTGGTACAAGACCAAGGATATCGTCCTCAAGGGCCATGACTGGGTAGGCTGCCCCTTCTCCGGTCCATTGGACCTGCTGGACACCATGGGAAGGATTCCATGCTGACTCGATGCTGTTCTGAACATCTAGCTCATCTCCGAGCTCAAGGCCTCTGGCCTTCGTGGTCGTGGTGGTGCCGGTTTCCCCTCCGGTCTCAAATACGTAAGTGACCCCCACGGAGGCTGTTGATGACATAGCCAGTGCTTGGCCCCAGTCTGACGTTCAATTGGCGCGGTGTAGTCCTTCATGAACTTCAAGGACTGGGACAAGGACCCCAGGCCCCGTTACCTGGTCGTCAACGCCGATGAGGGTGAGCCCGGAACCTGCAAGGACCGTGAGATCATGCGCAAGGACCCCCAGAAGCTTATCGAAGGTTGTCTCGTCGTCGGCCGTGCCATGAACGCCAACGCCGCCTACATCTACATCCGTGGTGAATTCTACCACGAAGCCACCGTCCTCCAGCGTGCGATCAACGAGGCCTACGCGGCCGGTCTGATCGGCAAGAACGCCTGCGGCACCGGCTACGACTTTGACGTCTACATCCACCGCGGTATGGGCGCCTACGTCTGCGGTGAGGAGACCTCCCTCATCGAGTCCATCGAAGGCAAGGCTGGCAAGCCCCGTCTCAAGCCCCCGTTCCCCGCTGCCGTTGGTCTGTTCGGCTGCCCCAGTACCGTCACCAACGTCGAGACCGTCGCGGTCACCCCCACCATCATGCGTCGTGGCGCCAGCTGGTTCTCGTCCTTCGGCCGTGAGCGCAACGCAGGTACCAAGCTGTTCTGTATCTCCGGTCACGTCAACAACCCCTGCACGGTCGAGGAGGAGATGTCCATCTCCCTGCGCGAGCTGATTGACCGTCACTGTGGTGGTGTCCGTGGTGGCTGGGACAACCTGCTCGCCGTCATCCCCGGTGGATCATCGACCCCCGTCCTCCCCAAGAACATCTGTGACGACCAGCTCATGGACTTTGACGCCCTGAAGGACTCCCAGAGTGGTCTCGGTACCGCGGCCGTCATCGTCATGGACAAGTCGACCGACATTGTCCGCGCCATCTCCCGTCTGTCGACCTTCTACAAGCACGAGAGTTGCGGTCAGTGCACTCCCTGCCGTGAGGGCAGCAAGTGGACCATGCAGATGATGCAGCGTATGGAGAAGGGCCAGGCCCGCGAGCGCGAGATCGACATGCTCCAGGAGCTGACCAAGCAGGTCGAGGGGCACACGATCTGCGCTCTGGGTGAGGCCTTTGCCTGGCCCATCCAGGGTCTGATCCGTCACTTCCGTCCCGAACTGGAGGCCCGGATCCGGGAGTACTCGAAGGAGGTTGGTGGGAACGGACCGTATGCTGGTGGGTGGCACCCGGAGGCCCGGGCTGAGGGCAAGCTGATTTCTCCTGGCATGTAATCATACCTTGTGTTGACTCGGGGAAGAAAAGACCATCTGCCAAATCTTGATGCCTAGAGGGAGTGCTTTTTACCCAATATTTCTTTATATCTTACGTGTCGTGTTAGGTTCGATCATGTACAGTCCGGTAGCAATTCATTTTCTGTTTAGCAGTAGCAGTCACCCGTAAACGAGTCACATCCAGCCACTATCTCCAATTTCCAATTCTCGATTCCCCACCCGAACACTAGCCAATTTCTACCCAAAGAGATCAAGGGAATCAAGCCAACAAACAGTTACTTACCAGAGCAACACAACCCCTTCCTTCCATCCCTTCCCTGGCCAGTAGTCCATTTAACACGTTTTCTAAAACAACCATACCTATCATACCCTATATCATACACTATAGCTACAATACATAGACATCAAGAACGAATCCTCTTAGGTAGGTGGGGTATGTTACGAATCCCTCATTCCTATACCATACATACATACCATACCATACATAACAGAACCACACTCCAACCCATCAACAAGACCATAACTGTCTATCTATCTGTCTCCCCCCCTCTCTCTCTCTCTCTCCATATAACCTACATATACATACATACATAAATACATAAACTCACAAGCCCCCACGCCCAAAAAACAAAAACACAAAAAAAAAAAAAAAAAAAAAAAAAAAAAACATACAACAGAAGGGATTCGCTGGTGGTCACCCACCCAACTACTAACCTCCCGGCGTGTGGCTTAAGTACGGCTGAGCGGACGGGAAGCCCTGTTTTCCACACCCTGTGGTCGTATGTACCATCCTCCTCTCCAAGGGGATTTATATAGTATGTATGATGTGTTTTGGCTGGATTGGATTGGGGTGTTTTATCTTGTTTGGTTTAGGGACGATGTAAGCTGTGGTTTGTGGATTGTAGATTTTGGTTGTGATGCATGGGAGGGGTGGGGTTTTGTGTGTTATGTAGATGGAGGTGTCGATTCGGGGCTAGGTCTATCTACATATGTGGTTCGGGGCTGGTTGATGTGTGGAGGGAGGGTGGGGGTGAGTCGTTGCGTGGGGGAGGGGGGGGGGGGAAATACCTGGTTATGTATATGATTGTTATTGGGTATTTTATTCACTCTTTGCTTGGAGAGAGGGGATAGGAGTGTTGGTTGGGAAAGGAGAGAGCGAATTAGATAGTAGGACCGTACGGAGTGAGGGTATAGGTAGTTGCCAGTTTGGTTGGGATCGGTGTCTAGTAGTGTAGTGGATGAGGTGGAGGTTGAGTGGGATTTCGGTGCGATACAGCACGGCATAAGGTTGACTCAGTAGTACCTTAACGAGACAGGGGTAGATCAAATTACTTCGTTCACGATGAAAAACCTAACTATAAGTACACACCGCGGACTTCCGCGTCCCCCGCAAGCCTGAGGACGGATGCAATCCAAGAATCGAAAGAGCAGCACAAACAAAAATAGCAGAGTGAGAACAGGATCTAAGTTACATAATGGCTGCATGTCGTTCCGTCAACCCATAGACACAAAAAGAAGCGAGATGTCAAAGAATATTCAGCATAAGCCAGCACCCGGTCTGCTGCTCCCCATGGAGTCTCCCACCCACCAAACCCTTCGCTCAGTAGCCCCCGGCCATAACGAGACTGTAGTAGCGCCGACTCATCTCCGCCGTCTGCGCAAGGCGTGCATCGCCCGTCAGCGGCAGGCTGAGGACACTGGACAATTCGATTGTCTGCAACGAGAACGGGTCAGCCACGGATTCCCGTGCAATGGGCGCCGACAGGGTCAGGGGCCAACTCACCTTCGTATCCTCCCGCCCAGTCCAGCTGGCAACTGCCCGACTCATCTCGCGGAAGGCCACTCGCTCCTCCAGCCCCTCCACGCCCGACCCTTGACTGACCTTGTCGGCCATCTTCACCAGCGCATTCACCAACCGGGCAAGGCGAGTCGCGTCGCGCTTACCACCCCGGGCAGTGGCCAGGCGCAGGTAGTCTTCGTAGATGCCACCGCCCGTGGCCCAGCCGCGTACTTTGCGCTCCGGTTCCTCGCCAAAGCCCGACACCAGCATCTCCAGTGTGGCATAGTCACCCTCGATCACGGCAGTAGGTCCCACAATGCGACAGAACGTGGCATGCGCATCGTTCCAGTTCTTGCCGCGGACGAGGTAATCCACTTCGCGCGCCGCATCACCCGTGTCGCGTGCATAAAGCGCCTTGGACACCCAGATCCAGCTCTCCGGCAGTTGGAGATCCTGCGTGAGATACGCCCACATGGCATTGGGCTGTCCCTCGGAGGTGACCGGCTCCGGCAGCTGAGGCGCAAACTGAGCGAGGGTTTCCTTCACTGCACGCTCGCGATCCGATGCGCGCGAAAGGTGGAGGAGAACGAACAGTGCCCGGCCCAGGGTACCACCGCAGGAGAGCTCCCAAGCATAGTCCCACACCAGCTGGTCCAGTTGCGCGGTGTTGAGCTGGAAGCTATCATGTCGCCCGATGGCCGTGGCAAGCAGCTGGCACAATTGGAAGGAGAGACGGTTTGACAGCTTGTCGCCGCTGACAGACTCGGGCAGCAACGCAGCCGGAAATTCCTGCACATGAAGATTGGCACTTCGGGCAGCTCCTCCGCTCGTCGTCGAGTATATCTTCAGCAAAACCCATAGGGGGGATTCACGGTCCACGGTGTGATCCTGGTCGGCAGGGCTCGGGAACGCCGGCTCGTTCCCTTCGATGAGGTCATCCACAAACTGATAAACAGCGGCTTCAATCGGCTCATCGTCGGTGATGCCATACCAGAGACGCAGGCCGAAAGCCTGGAACCAGTCCAGCTCGAATCGCTCGGAGAAAGTGAAGGTAGACACACGATCTTCAAGCGCACCGGTGGATTTGCCTTCGCTGCGGAGGGCGTTGCCGGCAAGAAGTTCGTACAGGGCTCGGACAGGCTCGCTCATTTCGGAGTACACATTGTTCTGACGCCACATCTCGATCTGCTTGGCCATGTCGGCGCGCGTCGTGGGATCACGCCCGATCTGAGCGACCAAGGTGGCGAGATGGAAGTTCTGGCTGGCAATCAAAAGCTTGCAAGCCTCCTCGACCCGATGCGAGCACAACAGGTAGAAGGCACGCTCTTCGGCCGAGCTGGCTTTTCCAGCAGCCTGCGCATGCTTCTCGCGAACAATCCCCTCCCAAAGGCGGCTCAGGCGGTCTTTCTTGATCCGGTGAAGATACTTGGACCGGAGCTGGCGTGGCACCCCGGCAGAGATATCATCCTCGATCTCGTCATTGAACAGGATGTTGGCCAGCTGCCAAAGCAGGCGCTCGTGGTCCGACTGCACCAGACTCGAAGCCTGCGCGAATTGTCGGAAATCGGCCTTGGCCAGACGAGCAAAGGGCACCCCGTCGACCCGTGAAACGGCCGACTGCTTCCGTTGGGCGTCGAGCATGTCACTCGGTTCTACGGTGCTGCCGAACTCCAGCAAAGAGATGTCCCTCTCTTCGCTGGTCACGGAGAGCTTATGCTGCCAACGGCTATCTCCTGAGGGGATACCGGCCATGTCATTCTGAACGCACAGGAGAGAGTTCACCGGCCCCCAGCGAGGTTTAAATGAGTGATGGAAAGCAAGGTCGTCTCCGCTTAGCTCGTTGGACTCGCCAGCAAACGTTTTGGGTTGCTTGTTGTAGGGCCACTGTAGAGACAGAAGGTATTAGTTTAGGTTGTTATTCCGGTTGATTGATCTCGCTTAGACACGCTGCATGGCAACAATTCCTACAATACAACTCCCGGCAAGGGAAACAGAAGACTAGACAACAAGGAAAAGAAGGGGTCAAACCTCAAGTCCTTTCGGCCGCACGCTCTGGGTCTTCAACGGAGAAGGGGCCTGCTGCTTGCGCGGTTGCTGGAACAGAGAGTTCATCAGGTCGATGCTGGTGGCAAAGCCCTTTTTCCGCGCATCGGCGGCCGCTTTCTGGGGGCTGTCCTCGTGGAGAGGCCGGTCAGTAAAGGCAATGGCCTGGATCTCGCGAAGGGCATCGCGGTCTTGCTTCCGGGGACTGATGGTGCGTTGCAAATGCTCGGCCCAGTCCCCACTCAGATCAAGACGAGGCTTGGACGGCGTGTTCCAAGGCCTCAACGAAGGCTGGGTAGGCTCCATATACGTGTCGGTGCTTTGGGTGTCGTCGCGCTCCACGGTCGGGTGAAGGTCTGGAAAGGTGCCCGCCATGTCCATTTCCTCGCCCTCATCCAATCCAACTACTGACTCGCCAGACTGCTGGCTTTCGGTGATGGTGATATCGTCGCCGTCTTGTTCAATAGTCGAACCCGTGGAGCTTTCCCCTAAAAAAGACTCCTCGTCGTCTCCCGAAACCGAGTGCTGGTCTTCAACCGTCTCCATGATTTGGTTGCCAAATGCTCCCGGAACAATCTTACGCTTTTTGAAATCGAAGGTATCGTCATCAACGCCAGCCATGGAACCCACGAAGGAGTCGTCAGTGGAGAAGGCAGACATCAGCTCCGAGCCCATGGTCGTGTCGGCGTTGGCAGGGGTTTGAGCCTTCGGAGTCGGAGTGTCAGGAGCAGCACTCAAAGTGCTTTGGTTGAGGCTCTCACCTTCTTCTTCCTCGTCGCTATCATAATCAAGACCATAGGTGGTATAATGGGGTACTCGGAACACCCATGTGCCGGTCTCCTTTTCGTAATCGACGAACTCGGTGTTGTGCACCTTCACCAACCGATCGACGTGCTTATCAAACAGAGGGCCGCTCGTCAGGGGCGACGGGGATTTCTTGTCCCGACCCCGAGGCCAGGAGTTCTCGATGCGCAGGGTGGAGGGCACGTTCAGGCCTTTGCCCATCGGGGGCTTGATGGTTTCATCCGGATAGACGGTGATTTTGCGCACGCCGATGTCGACCAGATGGCCAAAGATCCGGTCCAGATCGACGGTGGTCAGATCCACGGGCTCATCGAAGGTCACCTGACCACACCGCTGACGACCCACGGTGAAGCCAACAAACTTCTTCTGCTGCTCTCGGCTCAGCTTGTTGATCTCGGCGCGCGTGGGCTTCATCCAGTAGTCGCCCGGCTGCGGGTCTCCGCCCGGAACGAAGGCCAGGCGCGAGGGGCTACCGGAGGGGGTTGCGCTCTGCTCCGCATTCTCCGGGACCGCGGCGAGTTCATTGCCACGGACAGACTCCATCTCGGGACGAGCAGGGCTCGTAGTCGTCTTGACGTTACTGATGCCGTTGATCGTGCCGCTCTTGCGGATGGAGCGCAGGAAACCCAATTCTTCCGAGGTAGGCTCGGAGCTCTGGGACTGGACCGGAACGATTTCTCCGCCAGTGGCCGGAGGCTCCGAGGACGAGTCAAAGCTGACCTTCTTCTTCATCTTATCGGCTGGCGGCACTACCTCTTCGCCATTGGTGATGGCGGCGGCCGGGGTACTAGCTGGGCGAGCGAACAGGTCATTCCGCAGGCTGCGATCAATAGTTAACCGCTTCAAGCTACCGCTCGACAGACGAGAGCTGCCAGAGGAGAGGGCGCCAGGCGACAGGACGCTATCGGATTCGGGATCGAAGGTCTTGCGCAGGTTGCTGGTGGAGAAGCTCTTGCTGAAGCTACTACGCCCAAGATTTCCGTTAACACTGCCACGCAAACTTCCACCCAGCACGCTGCCACCCAGCCCGCCAGGAGTACTAGTCGAGCTAGAAGGCGACCCATAGGACGAGTAAGAGAATCCGTATCCTTGACGTTTGGGTGGGGTAAGCAGGCGATTGGCCGCATTGGGGGTAATCTTATAAACCGGTAGCGGAGTGCGCTGTTTCTGCTTGGTGGAGGACGAGAGCGGCGTCGCCAATGGACCAGGGCTAGAGGCAGCAGGGGCTGGCAGACCAGAGAAGATAGACTGGTTTCCATAGGGATTTCCGTCCAGGAGGGAGGCCTGCAAGCTACCAGGGGCCGGCTGCTGGGGCTGCTGCGCTTGCTGGGGCTGTGCTTGCTGAGTGTTGCCAAAGAGACTGGAAGTTCCAAGACCTCCGGTCTGCTGGGGCTGGTTCTGAGTGCTGCCGAAAAGGGAACTGCCAGCATTCTGAGGGGTGGTGCTTTGTCCTCCGAAGAGAGAACCACCGGCCCCAGTGGTGCTGCCGCCAAAAAGACTCGGCTTCTGCTGCTGCTGGTTCTGAGCACCACCAAAAAGACCACCACCGGCCGCCTGCGTATTCTGGGTATTGCCAAAGCCGCCGAATGCGCCGGTGCCAGTGCCAGTGCCAGTGCCGGTGCCGGTGCCAGTTGTGCCGCCGCCAAACAGGCTCTTCTGGCCTTGTTGCTGGGCCCCGCCGAAAAGGGAGCTTGTGCCAGTCTGCTGGTTGTTTCCAAACAGCGATCCACCAGTCGTCTGCTGCTGGGGCTGTTGGTTGTTCTGACCAAAGAGAGAAGAGCCAGTGGTACCGGTGCCAGTGGCAGCGCCGGTATTTCCAAATAGACTCGTGGTGCCAGTTTGCGGCTGCTGCGTGTTGGTGCCAAAGCCGCCACCAAACAAGCCCTTATTCTGGGTCTGCTGGTTCTGGGCTTGATTTTGCTGGCCGAGTCCTCCACCGAACAAGCCGGTACCAGACTGGGTCTGCTGTTGACCGCCGAAGGGGGAGGAAGTCGCAGCAGTACCACCGAAGGGAGAGGCGGTGCTCGTGTTCTGCGTACCAAAGCCGCCGCCGAAACCGGTGCCGGTGGTTCCACTGCCTCCAAATAAGGGCTTCTGTTGTTGGGCATTGTTGGTGTTGGTATTGTTGCCAAACAGAGAACCACCGCTTCCAAAGCCGCCACCGGTTCCTGTGCCGCTCCCAAACCCACCCGTAGTTGCTGTAGCTCCGCCAAACAACCCAGGTTGGGACGTGCCCGTGGTTCCTGTTCCACTGCCAAACAAGCCGGTTGCGGGCTTGGCGGCTCCGAACAAGGGGTTGGAGTTGGTGTTGGTATTGGATCCAAAGCCACCCGTGCTCTGAGTCTGGCCAAACGCGGAGGGAGCACTAGTACCTCCCCCAAACGGCGATGAGGTGCTTCCAAAGCCCGTCGACTGTTGTTGTCCAAACCCAGATCCTCCGAAAGCCGATGTACCAAAGGCACCGGGTTGCCCACTGCCGTTTCCGAATCGGCGGCCTTGGTTGTAATCACCTAAGCGCAGTTCTTCAAATGAATACTTGCTGTACGGCTGCATGAAGGTAATGCTTTGATAGTGGTTGGTCGCTTTGTCGCCGTCAGCCTCGGTGAAGGCACTGAACGGAGTACTTCCGGTGCCATCGGAGGGAGGAATGGCCTGTTGGAAGGCCGTGCCTGTCCCAGCACCGAAGCCCGAGGTAGTGGTGGTGCCTCCAAAGCCGCCGGTGGTGCCGCCACTTGCACCAAATCCACCCCCGGTACCCGCGGAGCTGCCGAAGCCCCCAGTCTTGTTGCCAAACAGCCCCGTGCCCGTGCCCGTGCTAGTGTTATTGTTGCCGAACCCCCCGGTGTTCGAGGTCGATCCGAATCCGCCAAAGCCGCTACCACCTGCGGTGGCAGTTCCACTCCCGCTTCCGAAAAGGCTTCCGCCAGTCGAGGTTCCGGTTCCAAATCCGCTGGTGCGATTTTGCCCACCAAACATGGAATTCGACTGGTTCTGTGTGCCCGTACCAAATCCTAGAAGAAGAATCTCAAGTCAGCTTCACTACCACATTGTAAATATGCACAAATCCTGGAGCATGATGAAAGTCCATTTTTGGGCCATGGGTCCTCGGCGGTCAGCGGTCGACTGTTATGAGCACACTTCTCCCAATCCAGAAGGAATTGTGCTATCAGAACGAGTCGTAAGGGTCCTCGAAAGCGCCATTGCGGTCACAGATCGATGATTGGACACGGGAAAGTCGAGAGATCCGCCCCCAGGCACAGGTGGAAGAGAAAGGATCGCCAAGCCCACTGAGATATAGCCACCAGGCACGTACCTCCACCGGAACCAAAGCTACTGGAGGTGTTTCCAAACAAGCCACCACCGGATGTATTACCGCCACCAAACGGGGACGATGTCGATCCAAAGCCTAGATGACGGAGGAGATGCTGTCAGAGACTGTATTGAAGCTGCGATCCCTTCTCTTGCAGTGCTGCTGTTTGCCAAGCGTCGAAGCCCTCCGCAGGTTGTTGGTGGTCCAGAGTCGAAAGGGGACGGTCGCGGGTCGACGTCAAGAGCACCAGCAAGTACCGATCATTTTACACCGGAGAGTCCCAAGGGAACAAGGAATAATCCGGAAGAACGAGGACGGGGTCGCAACCGAACGAAGACACCTACCTCCACCAGTACTCGTGCCACCGAAGCCAGAGCCTGCTCCAAAGCCGGAGCTTTGCTGGTTATTCTGTCCGAAGCCTCCGAACATCTTGCTGAACGATAATGCTGTAGATTAGGAAGTCATTCGGTTCCGAAAAAAAAAAAAGTCCGCGATCGAAAGCCTGAGAGTGACAGAAAGCTCGTAGGAACGACAATTAATAGAGCCGTGAATGATTCAATAGTTCGCGAAGAAAATGACCGTAGCGCGCTAGCCCAAATACAAAGCGACAAAGTTGAGAGTCGAAGAAATCTCGACGCGCAGGGAAGTACGGTGTTTGTTTTGAGCAATGGGAAAAGAGCAAAAAGGAAAAAGGCCACACTAGCTACAGACGGGAAAGTACCGTCGGAGCTAGGATGCGAACAAGTCCGAGATGAGGGACTTGGTGGCAATCGGGAAGGGTGACAGGTGAAGGGGGGAGGAGAGGAGAACGCGCGACGGTGGTGGAAGGGAAGAAGCTGCAAAAGACAGAGCAGGCGAGAGAGAGCGAGCGAGCGAGAGAGAGAGAGAACTGCCTGCCTGACTGGCTCTGACCGGTCGCTTACGGACCAGCGGCTTCAAGGTTGGGTGGCAGACCTTCAGTACGGTCAGGTAATGTCACGGTGTGACGAGGTTGTCTACCTGTCAGGTGGGGGGGCACCGGGTAATCTTACCGAAGCATTACGGTCCGGTCACGTGGCGTGGCTGCCTGAACAGTGAAGACGGCTCTGTCCATGGCCGCCTAGGGATTTGCCGACGAATGCCTCAGGCGGGAGATGCATTCATCGTTCAATTATTTGGAAGTCACACTCCCTGTCACGGGTCTTGACGTGACAGCCACAACAGGCCCATACAATTCAATCGTTTGCAGGGTTCGAGTGATCTCACTCTTGTAAGAGCGCATCAACCATCGCTACGGAGTGGACTTGATCAGAAACCTGAGCCGGCTTCGGTCAATAACGGCTCGAAACACTTCACGCTCACACACGGATAGGAGCCCAAAGGGGAACCAAAATATCCTACATGCCAGATTGCCAGGTACAATGAGCGAGGGGGGAAGGTGAAGAATACTGGTTATGTATATTCATTGAGGGTGATCAGTAATCAACCACAATGTTCATCTCTCAACAGGTTGGGAATCACTAAACGGGGTTTATAGGAATAACTGCGCCTCCAGACAATCATGTCGATCCAATAGTGCTAGTCAGTCGTCATAACATCCTTATTAATTACTTTCATTTCATTTCTTGGGCTTTTCTCTTTCATGCCTATTTGCCGCGGGCAGCGTGCACCGTGGCAATGATCTTGTCCACGACCGAGGGGTCCGACAGCTGTCATCGTCGTTAGTCTGCATCCAAAGAAACACGGGGAGGACGGTCTTACCGTTGAAGTGTCACCGAGGCTGTCCTCCTCGCCGCTCAGGATCTTCCGGAGAATACGGCGCATGATCTTGCCGCTACGGGTCTTGGGGAGATCCTCGACAATGAAGACCGCCTTGGGGGCGGCGAAAGGTCCAATGGACCGGCGGACCTGCATGATCAGATCCTTGCGGACTTGGTCGTTGGTCTCGTTGCCCTCCTTCAGAGCCACGAATGCGTTGACGGCCTGGCCAGTAAGCTCATCGGCGATACCGACCACGGCAGCTTCGGCCACCATGTCTATCAAGGTAGATTAGCCTCTGGTCGTATTGCATCAACAAGTCTATTCAAATGACTTACGGTGCTCGATGAGAGCGGCTTCAATCTCAGCCGTGGACAGACGGTGTCCAGAAACGTTGACCACATCGTCAACACGGCCACGGATCCAGTAGTATCCGTCGTGATCCCGCCCGGCGCCGTCTCCAGTGAACTAGATCGCAAGTCAGTCATTCATTCTCTCCAAGGTCCGCTGCTTGCTCTCCCGAGGGTACGGGTGTTGCTTACGTAGTAGCCCTTGTAAACATTCAAGTAGGTGTCCATGTAACGCTTGTGAGCGCCCCACACAGTACGGGCCATGCTGGGCCAGGCTTGCTTGAAGGCAAGCACTCCCTCCACGTCGTTGCCGGTGATCTCCTCGCCCGAGACCGGGTCAATGATGGCAGGCTCAATTCCAAAGAACGGCAGCGACGCGCTGCCTGGTTTCGTCGGGGTAATACCACCCAGAGGAGTGATGACGTTGGAACCCGTTTCGGTCTGCCAGTAGGTCTGCCGGGAAACATTAGCGACCCGCAAGCATTGCAGGATCAAACACGGCACTTACATCGCAGATGTGGGCTTCCTCCTTTCCAACCACCTCAAAGTACCATTTCCACACCTCAGCAGCGATGGGCTCACCGACGGAGCCCAGGATACGCAGGTGTGCCATCTTGTGCTGGATGTGTTCATCTCCGGCCCGCTTCAGAAGTCGCAGAGCAGTAGGAGCAACATAAAACTGGGTCACCTTGTGCTTCTCAATCACGTCCCAGTAGCGGGAGAAGTTGGGATAGGCCGGGGTACTCTCGAAGACAACGGTAGAGCATCCAAGGAGCAAGGGCGCATACACCACGTAGGTGTGGCCAGTGATCCAACCAACGTCACCACCGCAGAAATAGCGGTCATCGTCGTGAATGTCAAAGACATACTTGCCCGTCATGGCAGCCCCCAGAAGGTAGCCAGCAGTGGAGTGCATGACACCCTTGGGCTTTCCGGTGGAACCGGATGTGTAGAGCAAGAAAAGAGGATCCTCCGAGTTCATCGACTCAGGAGCAAGGTAGTTGGGGTACTTCTCCACCTCCTCGTGCCACCAGACGTCACGGCCCTGTGTCCAGGGGACCTCCGCACCGGTACGCTTGTAGACAAGGACGCTAGTGACATCGGGGCACTGCTTGAGAGCCTCGTCGACAATGCGCTTGGTTCCAATGACCTTACCACCACGCTTGCCCTCATCGGTGGTGATGACGACCTTGGAGCCAGCGTCCAGGACACGGTCACGGAGGGAGTCGGACGAGAAACCGGCGAAAACGACGGAGTGAACGGCGCCAATACGAGCGCAAGCCAGGAAGGCAACGACAGCCTCGGGGATCATGGGGAGGTAGATAGCCACAGTGTCACCCTTCTTGACACCCTGCTGCCTGAGAACCCAGGCAACACGAGACACCTCGCGAAGCAGCTCGCCATAGGTGATAGACCGGCCCTCGCTGGGCTCATCGGCCTCATAGATGATGGCGACCTTGTCGGGGTTCTTGAAGGCGTGGCGGTCCACGCAGTTGTAGGAGGCGTTCAAACGACCCTCAACGAACCAGGCATTATCACCGTTCTCCAATGACCCACTGTGGGTGGTCTGGAAGTCTTGGTCGAAATGGAGGAGCTCGCGAGCCATGCGAGCCCAGAAAGTGTCTGGGCTGCGGATGGACTCCTCGTACAACTTCTTGTACTCATCGAGGTCTTTCAGGTGGGTACCTGTCGGGTGCTTCTGGTGGAATGCTTCGGGGACATGGAAAGTGTCGACTTCGTGGGCCTCGAGCACCTGAAACAGTCCGGAATTAGCACGGAAACCGGCGATTACTCGGCTAAATGCGGCACGATTTTCTTACCACAGAGGACTTGGGAGGCATAACACTGCCGTCGGCCATGTTTGCGGGGCCCAACGAAATGGTGTGCTTGAGCTATGCAAGGTCAGAATTGATGGCAGGCAAGATTGCAATGGCAATTCTTCTGTTGGGTACACCGGAAGTCTGCTCCAGCGCAGCAGCGCAGCAGCGCACGTGAGTTTGCGGGCGGGGAGATTAAGCTCACCTTGTCAAAGAATTGCAGCAGCGCTGGTTGGTGGGGTTCAGGCAGAGTTTCGCGCAGAGGACGGGTTTCCTCGGTAGTGAAGGGACTAGACTCAGAAGCCACACCCAAAGGATTGGGAGGGGGAGGGAGAAGAGAGTAGGAATAGAGAAGGGGAGAGAGAGAAAAGGGTGGTGAGAAGAGAGACTGGGAGGGAAAAAGAGAAAATGGAAAGCAGCTACTGCCCAGGATGGGGAAGAGAGACCGTTATTTATTATTGAACCCAATGGCCGACTAGTAAGGGAGGGGAGGGATGGATACCTCAAGAGACAGAGTAAGTTATTACTATGGGTTAAGTTAATTGTTGAGGTCCCGCTCCCCCGGTGTCCGGTGGAGGCACTTGGTTGGTACGGTCACTACGAGGAAGGTTGTAAGTACTACTAAGTAGAGTACTCCGAGTCCGTAGGTACAGCGAGGTACCTCGTTTGATCCAACCAGATCCCTCCGTCCAGGCTCGTCATCACTCACTGGCTGGCTCGCTCGTCCTTTCCCTTCCGCGCGACCGTGTTGATTAACCTCGTCGGCCCAGGGTTCACTCCCTCTCTCGATCGGCTACGCAGGTAACCTAAATCTCGATTCCCCGGGGGGTTCCATCCATCCATTGCCCCTCTTGAAATCATGATGCGTCAGATGGGTTGGTCTGGTTTGGTTGACTTTCTGACCCAGACGGTACTCCGTACTTACGAATGAAATCTGAGTACCCTTCCGAAATGGAAATTGATACTAAGGGCTCCCCCTCCTCCACCATCGGGAGACTACGCTTACTACGGAGTACTAATTACTATAATGACTGGGCCTGGGACTAAGTGCAGTAGCTGCGGGTCATGATAAGGAGGGACAGTCTTTTCCCGGCAGAGAATTCCTGTCACTAGACTGGCGCCTTCTGCATGGCGTTTGATATCCCTGTCGCATTCGCGCGCACTAGTCCAAACGCGCCACCCAAAGGTTGGGCTCGGCCATGCGGGGCTTGACAGGCTCTCGTTTCCGTTGCTCCGGGGAAGGCAGTCGACGATCTGCCAGTACTCCCAGCGACAATTCACCCTCCCCTCGAGTAAACAACAATCCTCGGGATGATTACTAGTCACCCGATACTACCATACTCTCCTCGAAGCCTGCTGGTTGTGACCATAGCCTACTCCGGTGACAAAGGGGTGATGATTGCTCCCGTCCAATGATTGGCAGTACATATGTACAGTTCCCCAAGCACGGGAACGAGGGGCGTCCCTCAGAGAGTACTGTGCTCGTTCTAGATACATCTCGAGTATGCAGGGCACAGTCCAGCCTAGACATTTCAGCCCCAGAGGATTCCCATTCGTCTGTGCGTCCAGACAACCACTGCCATCATCATTGTCATCATCATCCTGCCCCAGATTTGCCCAATGCGGACGGTATCGAAATGTTTGGGGCGCGGGACGGTATCACAAGAACACTCGCCAAGCACCCGATCGGAGGGGTCACAACTGGAACGTGTCCCTCGTCGTGAGGCTTGTGCCGTGCGGGGGAGCCAAAACCTTACTGCTTGCTCTCTCGCGGGAAATGCTCCGAACAAGATTTGACACGACCGTGGATGAGAGGATTTACTCTGGAGGGGCAGATAGCTCTGTGTCTAGGAGGATGGAGTCGACCGCCTGTAGTGCTTATATCTGAGAAGTAAGAAACCCATCCACATGCACGACAGGGATGGGTCGCGGTGGCTGTCCCTGGATCGTTTAATGGAATGGAAGCAATAGCTGGGTTGGACGGTCCAATGAGACGTCCGACCAGTGGTTGCGGTTCTGTTCGCGGAAGTTTCACTGAAGCCGGATTAGGGTGCCCCTGTATCGCCCGCAGGCAGTGCCTGACAGACTAACCACTAACCAGAGAGTTGCAGTAGGTTAACTGCCTAGTCCTCCGTAGTCAGTGCCCGGTGAGCTACCCGGTGAGCAGACCATGGAAAAAGGGCTGATAGGACCGAAGGATCATTCAGCTGATGCTCTCCGTACATTGTTCAAACTTCATACTAGGCACACAATGCGGGGACAGGACGGGGATAATACCTCCTAATACTCCGTAAATTGCAGTAGGTCGTATTGCTCATCAGCTACTATAGTACAATGCCACCTGGCCTACAAGCCCTTAGGTGTGATCACCACACCAACTGTGTCGAAAGGGAAGATAATGCGGTTATATTCCGGTGTCCGTGGGCGTGGAACCAAGCGAGGATAGCCATGACTATTGTTGATTAGATCGGTCCAACAGGTAAGCGAGTATCCATACTCCGTACCGTCCGCCATACCCAAGGATATACTCCGTAGCACTACTAATACTATCAGTACACAGTACAGGCGACGGAACGATACGGCAGTACTTTCCTTGTTGAGGGAGACTGGGAGGAACCTATCATGAACCCCTCACCCGACAACTCAAGTTGCAGTGACTGCCACAGTACATGCCAACTCCATCTCTCCCCCATGCCGATGATTTACTTGTGCCTCGACAGTCGATCATGTCTATCCGGGTCGTGCTGGAAGACCGACACGCGGGTCGAGGGGCCATCGGCACCGCCCTGGTTCTGCTGGGGTTCGGCTATGCCTCGCTCCTTCTCCCCGTGGCCGCGGACATCTCTCGGACCTAGGCATTGGTCTCCCACTCCGTGCACGGAGAACTGGAAGAACTGCGTCCTCTTCCTTCAGACAGCCGAATATTCATTTTGGAAATTGAAGCTGTTGCCGTGAAATAACTCAATCTTCTATTGTACATGGAATGAGGCCAGCTGGGTGCAAGTCACTGCCCGCCCAGACGCAGCGAACATCCCCACTAAACTACCACGACGGTTCCCCTTCCTGTGGGGGGATTTGTGGGTGTGGCAGCCTGGCAGCCTGGATTCTGGATTGTACCATCAATGCCAAAATAACGTTAATAATGCCATTACGGACTACGGAACAGCTTCTCAGGAGTCAGCACCAGCAGGGGATTGATTGTGGAGGCCGGCCGGCATAACCCCATTCGACTTGGAGGCCGCCAAATCAGCCGCTTTTCGATCGACGCTCGGCGTGTGCCTCCATCTGGTCCATTTGCGGATGAGACACCATCTTCGTGATATTAATTAAGATGGGCTCTGTCGCTTTATTGGGCCGACCCGTCTTCATCTCTTTAATCTTTCGCATCCGTTGGGACTTGGGAATAAGGTGAGTGCGTTCCGGTCCTGGGTGTCCCGTTTAGCCCTTACCCACTGCCGAGTACAGAGCCCTCATGCTAATCTTCCAGACCCTCCAAGCATTAGCAAATCAACGTCCTCGATTGTCGGTAGATGTTCGACCACTTCACCCGCTGCAGCCTCTAGGGAGCCTCCCGAATTCCGATACGACGTTAAGCCCACCTTGCCCCCTCCATCTCCGCTTATCACTGTTAATATCAGTTATCTTGATACTTGGCCGCCTGGCCCGGCAGACGGAGTACTGTACGGAGTATTCCGTGCTGCAGATGCATATGCCCGCCACGTACATGCCATACTTGATATTGACCTGGATATTGCATGGAGTGATAGACTGAGCCACGAGTCCCGCCGGTGAGAGATACGCAGACTCACCACGAAGCAGGTATTCCCGTCCTGACTGGACCTCTGGGCTAGGGCCTTTCCCGCCAGCGCTACAGCCTAGTTCGGCCACTAAGCTTCTCGGTCCGCTTTTGCCATTAGTCTTTAGTGGCCCTTTGATGAGCCAACCAGGGTGGGCTCGGGGGTGGGAAACGGCGAATCTCTAGACCGTCTGCATCCTAGACACGACGGTAGGAGAACCCGTCCCAACGACTTTTCTTGCCCCTTGGCGCTCTTACTTTCCCTAGTTCAGCCGATGGATCAGTACGCGTTGTCCTGTGTCTTGTTTTAATATCTTGGGCCGGCATTGCTAGTGTTGGCTAGAAGCCTTTTACAGCTAATCTCAACCTCCTCTGATTCGGCGCATTGGCCAGTCGCAGTCGGGAGCAGGAAATTCCCGAGTCAAGCTTGTGATTGCCTTGGAAGGGCTGGGCTGCGGTCCATGCATCCGTCCGTCCTACATAGTACAAGTACCAGCACGCACGTGGGAGCTGCACCGTTGACCTACTTCCACTTAGCGGGTGGTAGCTCACACCCCAGCATGCAACAGGCATCGGAACTCCAACGGCTGAACGTTCAAGGGCGCAGAATGTATTCGTAAGTGCAGAAAATACGCACACCATGCCGTAACAAATAAACAACCCCGGCAAAAGGAATTCACCCCTGAAGTCATCTTATCGTTCCCCCCTAGTATGCCATCCACTCCCGATGCCACCAGTTTGCCATTCCGAACAAGAATAGCACTAGACTGCCATCCCTCGAGATATCCTTGGCCAGTTGCAACCACATGCCCAACCCGCCCTTCCCACCCTTCATCACGATCCTCGCCCCGCTAAGCACCAACTCCCCCGTGGTAAAGAACAAGAACGGATTCCGCGCCGTCGCCGGCGGGGGCGGCTGAGTCCCATACGTCGCGACCGACGATCCAAACAGAACCAACAGGTACACCCCAATAAGCACAGAAAAGACCACATGCAGCACCTTCCACACGAGAATCTCTCTCTTCTCCGCGTCCGTCTTCTGTCGCGTAGCCTCTCCCAACATGCTCGCTACAAACGGCGGAACCCCCAGCCCCGTCAACAAGTCCGCTGGGGACTGGCCCCCGGGTAGAGCGCCCTCATTGAGATTACCGGCCTCCCCATTCATCAGACTGGACAGGAGCTTCATGGTCGGGTCTTCCTCCGCCGCTCCCACCGGCCCCTCCGTGGTGCCCTGGGGCGGGGCGGACTGGCGGAGTAAAGCCCGGAAGAGTTCCTGTTGCGCTTGGAGGGATTCGGGGGTTTGCTGTTGCTGTTGCTGTTGCTGCTGATAGTCCAGGAAAGCCGGCTGGGGTGCCGGTGCCTGTGCCTGTGCCGATGCCATCGTAGCCCGGGGTTCGGGCGCCGGGGAAGATGCAGTGACCGGTGGTTGTGGGGTCGGGGACGGAGAAGGCGAGGTTTCTTCACGGACTAGAGCCAGCCACGGGAAGTTCTTGTTAGCTGACCTATCTCTCATCTCATCTCATACAATACAATACAAGGGACAGGGGTGGGATAACGCACGACTTGCCGGCGTCCGACCACTCAGACTGGTGATCTTGTCGAGTCGCGCTGCCCCGTCGCCTTTGATTTTGGCTTCGCGGCGTTCACGACGGAGTCGGGCGGCTCGTTGGGCGGGGGATTCTTCGGGGGAGGACATGTTGGTTGTTGGTTTTGGTTGTGGTTATGTGGGTTGTGTGGTTTGGAGGAGCTGGGTCTGGAGCTGGGTTTCGTGTGGGTTTGGGGTGGTTTGTTTGTGGTGTTGCTTTTTGCTGATGGGGTGGGAGGGAGGGTGGAGGGTATTGATTAGGTGAGTCTGGGGATTAGGAAATCTCCGGAGTATTCTGGGAGGGCGAAACTTCCGGTGGAAGACTGCTTGAGGTGGTGGATGTGTAGTGAGGTGTATTCCGTAGGGTAAAGCCACATGCTGCGGCGCCGCGGCGGTGAGGTCTCCACTCGATTCGATGTAGTCACGTGGCTGTGAGGTATTCACCGACGAGATCGGGGGGTATCCTGCTATAGTGGCTAGGTTTCAGTCTGTGTTATGGTAAGAGTAGCTAATTTGCTTGTGGGTGCTAGGTGAATTTGGTGTAAGGTCATGTCAACTCTTGTTAAGATTTCTGAGCTATGAGCTATGAGCTATGAAGATATATAGTGGTGGATGCGAAACGTTCTTGAGACAACTTGCATTGAACTTCATTTGAATAGTATCATTGAAGTAACTCTTTTAATTCGATGTTAGAGGAGATTCTAAGATACAGAAGCTAGAGCAGCTACTACTATGCCAGAGCTATCCCATAGTGAGTTACTATGTCCATCTTCACCTTCCACCTACTTCCTACATCTGTATCATGGACTGAAGTGCTTGAGATCCCTTTGCTTTTATACCGTGCTCACAGACCAAAGCTGACACATTCCATGTGTCTTTGATAGTTGATTCAGTCTGTCGCCAACTTGCTTTTTGCTACCCCTTTCACGCAGAATTACCTTACCTACACTGTACCTCTCAGCCTAGCTAGCATGACAGCCAGGAGCTATACCCCACCCAAATTGGGGATAATTCCTCTCCCAGCTTATTAAGAAGACCAGTGGAGCAGACCACCAGGATCTAACCTGGCAGATATACATAGAACATCAGAAATGGCATGATTTGAGTCCAGGTCAGCATCCTGTAGATCATGTATGCAGCCATGACATCATCCACTTCCGCCCGCAACCTGTCCACCATCATCTATACCTTTCAACCATTGCACACTGTAGATAGAGCATCACCAGCGCTGTCATATTGCCATTGACTATTATAAACCTTTCCGATACTCCCACCTGTAGATCCCACACAATCCCCCCAAGCAATACTATATATAATTGATGTCCCGGAATCAAACTGGCCCGTCGCGCCAAGCCCCGGAATCCGCCGTGATGACGGAGGACAAGACCATCCACAGACTGACTCCATCCTCCTGTGTACATAGGAGTATGCATGATCACCAAGTCTAGATTACACAGTCCACACTCCATAGTTATGTCTTGCAAGACACCCAACGCGGCCCAGCACCATTGGCCTCCCCACTCCACAATGACGTAGTCCAGTTGCGTAGGGCCAAACCACGCTGACTTCACCTGACTGGCCGTATCGTATCTGTTACTTGGTCTGCTCTTGAACTCAATTCTCTCTACCTGTCTACCTACCTATCCTCCTTTTGCACACATCGCACCGCCCGGCTTGCGAAGCTAGGGATGATAGCGTCGCCATCTCACCATCACCCTTATACTTATACATACACCTTACACCTCACCCTCCCACCGAATATCATCTAAGCTATGGCACAAGCCCACCATGGCCGCGAATCCCCCAAAACGCACCGTGTGGGCGAGCACTGGAGCGGCGCGAACCCCGTCCCCACCATCGGACGGTTCCTGGAACGATTAGAGGTGGATAAACAAGAGCGAAAAGCCCATGAGGAGGCATTGATGGCGAAACGAAAAGAAAAGGAGGAGAAAGGGGAGGAAATCCCGCATAAACCGAGGAAGACGACGGGGAAAACGCGGATGGTGACGGATCCTACGACGGGAAGGGAAATTGAGGTCGAGGATTTGGATGAGGATGCCATGGATGCGGTGAAGGATCCGAAGGTAGGTTTGATACTATCCTATGGTTCGTGATCGATAGAAGGGGGGTCGGGTGCTGATGGGGCCTTGTAGCTTGTCGTTCCGAATGCGAATGTCGGGAAGCCGACGGTGAGTTGCGGGATTTGATATGATATGATATAATTGGGGTGTGCTGATTGATGAAAGGATATCAAAACCGAAGCGAATCAGAGTCTCTCGCAATATAAAGAGAATCAGGATATTACGGCACCCCCGGATCCCATTGCAGAGGGGACGACGTCGGATGTGCCTATCCATGGCGAGAAGACCAATATCCTCTTTCACCCGACCCCGACTGTCACCTATAAGCCGATGTTTGATAAACTGGAGACCCGTGGCATGGGGTTATGTCTAGGCATTGTCGCTGCCATCGTCTTCATAGGTCGGATCTTCGGTGGCTCGTTATGGGGCTTGCTGCCGCTGGCATTTGGCGTCGCAAGTGCGGTGTGGCTGTGGATACAAGAGCTCATCCGCAGTGGTCGGGAAATGGAATGGAGTAGCGAACAGATCAGAGGCCAGATGGTAGGTGTTGCTCTTTCATACAGGGACTAGATGCTAACAGGTATCTAGGCCACTGCGAACCTGCTCCCCGAGTCGGTTGAGTGGCTGAATTCCTTCCTGGGCGTCTTCTGGGGTCTCATCAACCCGGAGATGCTGTCGCCCGTGGCGGATACCATCGAGGATATCATGCAGGCGTCTGCGCCTGGTGTCGTCGAGAACGTGCGGATTGCAGAGATTGACCAGGGCAACAACCCCTTACGGATTTTGAGCCTGCGATCCCTGCCCGATTCCCATGTTCAACAACTCAAAGATCACATCCACGAGGAAAATGTCAAGAACAAGGACCCCCAGGAGGCGGCTGCCGCTGAGGAGGGTGGGAGCTACTACAACATCGAGGCCTCCTTTGCCTACCATGCGAAACCCAGCGGGCAAACCACCTCGTCGAAGGCGCGCAACATGCACATGCAGATCGTGTTTTACTTGGGAATCAAAGGCCTCTTTGGTGTGCCCTTCCCGGTCTTTGTCGAGCTGATCGAGATGGTAGGCACGGTGCGTGCACGATTCCAGATGATGCCAGAGGCCCCGTTCATGAAAGACGTGACGTTCAGTCTGGTTGGACTTCCTCACATCAAAGCTGGATGCATGCCCATGGTCAAAGGTGGCGTGAACATCTTGAATCTCCCGTTGATTTCCAACTTCGTCAACTATGCGATTGCTACCGCTAGTGGACTGTTTGCGGCCCCCAAGTCGATGACCATGGATCTGAGTATGATTCTCAAGGGAGACGATATTGTCAAGGAGACCCAGGCCTTGGGTGTCATGTGGATCCGTATCCACCGTGCGATAGGGTTGAGCAAACAGGACAGACGTGGCAGCTACGGCGGTGGCAGCGACCCCTACATCAACCTCTCTTTCTCGAAATACGGCAAGCCCATGTACTGCACGCGTGTGATCGAAGACGACCTGAATCCAGTCTGGGAGGAAACGGCAGCATTGCTGGTGACACCAGAACTGATCAAGGCTGACGAAGCTCTGAGCGTCGAGCTCTGGGACTCGGATCGAACTACCGCGGACGACATTGTTGGCAAGGTGGAACTGCCGATTCGGAAGATGATCCAGCATCCTGGCAAGATGTACGCCCAGGTTTCGAAACTCCAGGGCCTCAACGAGGGCAGCGAGATGCCCGGAGAACTGCACTGGGAGGTTGGGTTCTTCGGCAAGCCTAAACTTAGGGCCGAGTTGCGAACCGATGGCAAGAAGAAGGATCTCCCAGAGAACTTCCAAAACACCCCTGAGTTCCAGGACGACAAGGGCGTCATCAGCAACGAGCAGGAGGAGGCCATCACCAAGACTCCCCCTGATCCGCTCTGGCCCAGCGGTATCCTGAGCATCGTGGTCCATCAGATCGTCAACCTGGAGGTTGAGAACGTCAAGGGCAGCCACGGGAATCGCAAAGGCAGAGATTACGAGCCGGCCAAGCCCTATGGCGATCAGAAAGAAGAACAGGGCGAGAAGCTGCCCACGAGCTACTGCAAGATTATCCTCAACGACGAGCTGGTCAGTTCTACCCCATCCTTCCCCATAAACCCCCAATCACCTAACCCTCCCAGATCTACCGCACTCGCGCCAAAGCCCTAAGCTCCAAGCCCATCTTCAACGCTGGAACCGAACGATTCGTCCGCGACTGGCGATCCGCCTTTGTCACCGTGAGCGTCCGGGACCAACGCTATCGCCAACACGACCCCATCCTCGGCGTCATCCCCCTCAAGCTCTCCGACATCCTCCAGACCAGCTCCCAGGTCACCCGCTGGTACCCTCTCGACGGGGGCATTGGATTCGGCCGCATCCGCATCTCTCTCCTCTTCCGACACGTCGAGACTCGACTCCCCCCCAACATGCTCGGCTGGGACGTAGGCACCTTCGAATTCATCTCCGACCAGATCACGGTCCAGAACTTCCACGAACGCTCCAAGATCCGTCTCCGCACCGGCGGCAGCAGTGGCAAGATCACCCGCCATGTCTGCACCGTCAACGGATCCAACATGACCTTCGACCTCTCCGACGAGTCCTATCGCCACGCCCTCCGCCTCCCCGTCAAGCACCGCTACCGCAGCCCCATCGTCTTCGAATTCCACCAACAAGGCCACCACCACGCCAGCGCCTACGCCATCTACTGGCTGCAACACATGGCCGACAACGAAGAAACCCCCATCGACATCCCCATCTGGGCCACCAAGAACGGCAAACGCCTCACCCAGAACTACATCACCGAGCAAAACGCCCACATCAAACGCAACCCCGGTCTCGAAGACCTGCACGAAATCGGCCGCCTCCAATTCCGCGCCTTCTTCAGCCCCGGCATCGACTCCTCCCACGAACGCTTCGTCGTCGACAACGAATCCCGCGAGACCTTCGAATCCTGGGAAGCCTGCATCGCCGAAGGCGTCCGCGCGCGCCGCATCTCCTCCGACATCCCCGAGGACCTCGAACAACTCCACGAACAATCCCTCCTCGACGGCCGCGACATCCTCAAACACGCCGAACCCCGCGAACGCAAACGCTGGATCGACAAACAAGGCCAAGACTGGAGCGGTGCCTTCGGCCACGACCCCGGCGCCTACCTCAACCAACACGGTCACCAAGTCGCCGAACCAGGCCGCGAACCACCCCCCCACGACCCCGTCAACCCACCCCCCACCGTCGCCCAATCCTACGGCACCATGCACGCCGAAGAAGCCCAACACCAAACCACCCCGCAACAAGAACACCTCGAACACGAAGTCGAAGACGAACCCGCCTCCTCCTCTGCCACCTCGTCCAGTGAAACCGAAGACGACAACGACGATAACGTCTACCCCCACCAACAACGCGTCTCACACAGCACCATGTCCTCCAACGGCGGAGCGAGCAGCAGTGTCGGTGGTGGCCCGAGTCGCTCCAGTACCGATGACTCGGCCGTCAAGAAGGCGAACAAACGGAGCGAGAAGCGTCAGCAACGGGGGATGATGCAGTGGCGACCGGTGCGGAATGCGGTGTTTGCGAAAGATGAGACGAAGTTTGCGTTACGGAGAGTCAAGAGGAAGTTTACGGGGGATTTGTCCGGCCGGGAACCGGATATTGAGACTGAGACGGGGACATAAATACCTTTCTCCCCCCCTTTTGTTTTCTTATATGGTATGATGGTATTTGTAGGATTAGCATTAGTATGTATGTATGTATGCATGTATGGATCTATGAATGAATACGAATGATATGTACAAATTCCGGTGAAAGTCTCCGACGGAGTGCTTACTACACATCCATTCATCCATCACGTCTGCCTCATCGATCATACCACCAGGCATCCATCCATCTTACCTTCTTCACTCAGGGTTACCAATCTGTGCCCAGCCCTAACATTCATACATATATCTATACTGATGGTAATATAAACACGACTTAATATGCCCGCATAATTCCTACCAACTACCTAATAGCATGGATCCCCCCCCTCCTCAATCCCACGCCAAAGGGACATTACTTGAAGAATCAACAGACACTGAAAGCCTAGGGAGATCAGGAAACGTATCCTGAAGATGATACTCCAGTCTCAATTGACGAGGATGAGTCTGGACTGGAAATGTCACGTATTGATCCCCATCGTCGTTCGTCTGAACCGAGCCACCGAGTTTTCGGTCGTTAAATTGCAGGACTTTGCATCGGGGACAAAGTTAAGAGCTTTGAGAGATGCGGAGGTCCTGATGAGAAGGGATGCTGAAGCTGGGGCCCATGATATGAGACGCGTCCGTGGATCGCTGATGGCAAAGAGAAGGAAAGGATTGTCGACATGGTTGGGTCGCGGAGGTTGCTAGCTACTAGTAACTAGTAGTAGGTGGTCAGTAATAGCCTGCAGCTGGGAGGCGCGGCATTGGCGGCCAATCAGATGATGATAACCTGATTACGGTGGGCATAAGAAATACAAATACTGGATGAGCTCTACATGTCACTATCTGATGGAATCGGAGCCATGGTATGGTTAAGTGCATTCTATGCATGCACGTATGTATTATGGAAAGAGATATGTATAAATATAGAAGAGAAACCTTGGTCGGTTGCACCTGCATGTCCCGGACATCAAGGCACGACCATCCCAAGAAAGGAATGGAAGTCGATAGTTGATAGCTATGTATAGGACAGGGTAATGCGGAGGGTGGGGTTCATCTGCCGTCTATATGCATAAGTCGTGATCATCAATGCAAGGGGGTCGTCCCCCCGGCATGGGTTATCGTCATTGATCGGCATGCGTGCATTCAAGGTCGTGAGTCATGTGCTCCAGATCCGAAGCGACAGATGAACTGGGACTGGAGTGGTAGCAGGTGGTGGTAGTACTGGCGCTGGATAAGGGCAGGTCGGACGAGGGGGTCTCAGTTTCTGACTCCAACGGTATCGTTTCAGGCTGGGACGCGGATGAAGGCGCAACGGTCTCATCCGACACGGGATGCAGCTGGGTTTCACGATGCTCCAACGGCCCCAGGGTCCATCGCCATTCGCAGCGACGCTTGGCCCGTTTCCTGCACGGCGTCTGCGGCGTCAGAGTGTCTTGGTGGTGGTGGTTGGCTGCGATTCCGTCCATCAGGGCCACGGCCCGAACTTGCCTGTCGGCATTCGGAAGTTTCCGCTTCCTGCGCTTGACGGGAGACAAGGGAGTCTTGCCCGTCTCGGTCTCAGGCTCATCCTCGGATGTGCTGGTGTCCGAGGGTCCCACGCTCGCACTGGAATCAGAATCCTCATCTGAAGAGGCTGGCTCGAGCAGCTGGGGCACCGGTTCGGGGTCGTCGTGAAGATCGGAGTGGCGAGCGGTGTAGTGCACGGTCTTGATCTCCTCCTCCAACGGACAGCGATAACTGACCTGCTTCTTGGCGGGAAAGAAGACGCGCCGGGCGCTCGGTCCACCATTCGGCCCGGTGGTGGCCACCGAACTAGTTCGACGGCGGCAGCTCGGCTCTAGCGGCGAGTTGCGCAGAATACTCTTCACCCCCAGCGGGAGTTGGTATGGATTGTGGGTGGTGTATGGCGAGGACGGCTTGCTGAAGCGGTTGTTGGGATATTTGGAAGAGGGGGAGGCGGTGGCGGATGGAGGGCCAGTGACCTCGTAGGCATTCTTGAAGGTGTTGCGGACGGTGGGAGATGCTGTAGGCCCGGCGGCTAGGGACAGGGACAGCCCCGTCGAGGATGTGCCAAAGGTGCGAGGAAGGGAGGTGGTTTGAAGGGTGAGCTTAGGTCGGGAGGAGAGCGTGGGAGGGTTGGCCCGACAGGCCATGTTGGACGAGGATGAGGAGGAGGACTGCGGGGTCATCGGGGTGGCGAGCATGGCGAAGGGCCCCCAAACACACGAGGTGAGCCGAGGGAGGGAAAGAGGGGAAAGAAGAGAAGCAGCAGCAGAAAGAAGAAAAAGGACGGCGAAGAGGAGGAAGAGGCAGACGAGCAAGCGCCGTGTGATTCGAGGTGCAGAAGAAGTGCAGGCGATAAGGTTCTGAAATAAGACCAGGTGGGATGCCAATAATAACCCCAGAGGAGAGACGTGGGTGCCTGTACGAGGGCTTCCCAATATAGAACGATCAGCAGCGACTCATGCTGGAGGAGAGAATCCAGGTATGTTCCGAAGGTTTAAGGGTGGTCAAGTATGCGGTGGTCCATGTGGTGATCGATGGATGGACGACGCCTTAAGAATCGATTAGAAAATGCTGCACGGTGATGACTAGAGCACGAAAACCCTGGCGGTGGAAATTAATCTCAATCAAAGTGCTAAAATTATGAACGACTCTGCTCCATCCTATCAACTGCGCATCTCCATCTTGTCCCTCTCGACCGCCGCCCTGCTAATTTTATCTCAACTATTGACGCCGCCTCCGACCGGCCCCAGTTTTCTGATGATCGAGAATGGCCCATCCTCAAGGCTCCATTCCATCTGCCCTTCAACGACCGGCCGAGACACGCGGCAGATCCATCCCTCCAGTCGCCCGATCCCCGCTCGGTCTGAGACGGATGATTCTGATGACGGTCGAGTGGCCGACGTTTTCCACTGTCCTCTGATCTACCCACCCAGGCTGTCCTCCCACGTTGTTGCGCATGGCACGCGTTCGATATTTATAGCAGCTAAAAAGAGGCCCATCGCCATTAGGTAAGCCTGCTGCCAGCCATTTAGACCAATCAGCACTGCAGATGACGCGGTGTTCTATATATGGCATAGTCCCTGCACGAGCTCTGTGGGGAAATGCCCGATGGGGTTAGCGGGCCAGTCACGGGCTGGGTGAGTCAGCCAGGGTCTGTCCAACCGCGTCCCACCGGCGCTGCCAGCCACTTCCCAGCCCGCGGGTTTCTGCACCAATCAGCGGACGGTCACCTGCAGCGGCCAACAATGGCTTCACCGGTTGGATTGTCCCACTGCAGCAACACCGCAGCATCCAATGGTCGGCATGGCTGCATCCACTACAACTGGGCGCTAAGAGTAGTTAGTACACAGTAGTAGTGACTGCTGCATGGCACTATCTACTATCTAGTATTTACTATCTATCTATCCTCCTCATCTCTGATTCTCTGCAGCCAGTGCTTGGCGGATGGGTTCATTTGCTGGAGTCGTTTGTCTCAGATCCATTGCCAGCCTCCCGCCAGCCAAGCATAGACAAACTTCATTACCACCCGAAATTTCTGCACGGAGTACCGAGTACAGAGTCCATCCTATTGCTTGAGTGACTGACTAGTTCATGGCGGTGGCTCCATCCCGAAATGACCGCCGAATCATCCTCCACTTGGTCAGTCCCTCACGCATCTCGACTCAGCCATGAGCCAACGCCCTGCTAACTTGGTCCTTGCTCCCCACAGGATTATGACTGTTTCTACGCCTCGGTCTTCGAGGTGGAACAGCCCGTGCTGAAAACCCTGCCGTTGGCCGTTCAACAGAAACAGATCGTAGTGACCTGTAATTATGAAGCCCGCCGGAGGGGGCTGCGCAAACTCCAGTTGATCAAGGAAGCCAAGCAGATCTGTCCGGACGTCGTCATCGTCTTGGGGGAGGACCTGTCCAAGTTTCGCGATGCATCAAAAGACATTTTTCGCTACATCAGATCCTTCGTCTGGGGGGAGAGGGTTGAACGGTTGGGGTTTGACGAGGTACGTTTGCGACAGACCTGGTTTCAATCGGACCGTTTCTCCTGATTGTGATACACGCCCATAGTTGTTCTTGGATGTCACCGAGATGATCGCCTACAACGTTGATCTGCTGAACCGCCATGATCTGGAACACTCATTCTTTCACCTTGACCGCCTGGAACCCACTGTGGGTTTCACATATGATGCCACCCGAGTGTGCGGCTCCACCTATCCTGCTGGACCGGATACGACATTCGGGACTGCGCCCTCTGCGACAGCTGACGAAGACGCATCCGAGCTTCGCACCCGCTTGCTGGTGGCCTCGCATTTGGCCGCCTATCTTCGCGGCCAACTGGAGCATCACAAAGGCTACACTGCCACGGTGGGGATTTCGACGTCCAAGCTTCTTGCCAAGCTCGTAGGCAGCACTCATAAACCGAACAACCAGACCACGCTTCTGCCCCCGTATGCTACCACGGATCGAGCTGCGCCCACGAATGTGGTTGACTTTCTCGACGCGCACGAGATCCGGAAGATCCCTGGGATCGGCTCCAAGCTGACCCAGAAACTCACCAAGTATCTGACAGAGGGCTCAGCCTTGGTCTCAGATACGGCCACGAACCCCGACAGGGTGACCGTTAGGGACGTGCGGTTGTTGCCTGGCATGGGTCCCTCCCTGCTCGATCGGATCTTAGGGGGCCCAGGGGCTCCCCGGGATATCGGCGCGCGGGTATGGGGACTCCTCAATGGCGTAGACAATACCGAGGTCATCCAGACCGGAGATTTGCCAACGCAGATCAGCATCGAAGACTCCTACGGTCGCCTCGACACCCTGGACGGTGTCCGCAGAGAACTGATTTCACTAACAGGGAGCCTACTCCGTCGGATGCGGACGGATCTGACGGAAGAGGACAACGGATCTGACAGCGTAACGGACCTGTCCTCGGAGACCTCGAGACACCCAGGGCTGTCTAAAGTCCGATGGCTCGCTCGGCCTCGGACCCTGCGGCTGTCCACACGACCCCGGTCCACCACTGACGGCGCCCACGCTCTTCATATAGGTAGGATCTCGCGCTCGGCCCCGTTGCCTGGCTATGTGTTTCATGTCGATGAGAACGTGGACGCGCTGGCCGAGCGACTGGTGCACGACCAGCTCCTCTCCATGTTCCGCAAGCTTCATCCGGAGCGGTCGGGGTGGAACCTGCGCTTGATGAATGTTGCCGTCACTAACATGGTCGAAGCAGCTGGGGATCAGAAGCAGAGTAGCGGCCGCGACATTGGTAAGATGTTTCAAAGTCAAGGATCGCGGCGCAGAGACGCCTTTACAGAGCCGGAGACTGCTTCCGAGAGCGGCCCATTGAATCTGCAGCATGGGGAAGCCCTACGCCCTGTATATTTTCCAGCTGCTCCTCCAGTGGTGAACGATGCCTGGGAAGAAAGCGACGGGGAAGACACTACGATGGCTTGTGTAGCATGTGCAGTGTGTGGCGCATTGATTCCGCATTTTGCCCGAGATGCGCACGAGGTGTTTCATTTGGCTTCTGACTGATCTTGGACCTGGAGGGCGTGGTGGCAGATTATGTACATAATGAATCATGAAGGATCCCTCCGTAAGCGCCGGGGGCTTGGCGTTGTCCGCGACAACCAAAGGGGGCCAATGATTCCCCCCGTCTTTCCAGACCCTGTCAATCCCTCCTCCTCCTCCTCCAGCTTTCTTCCTCCGCCTTTTCTGTTTCCCCTCCGCCGCCACCACCTTCTCCTTCTTTCGTTGTTTCCCCCTCGTCCTCCTCCCTCTCCTCCTCCCTCTTTCGTTGCACAACGATCGCTTTGTTCGTTTGTTTCTCTTGTGGGATTCCCTTCATTCCTTCGCAATTCCCGCCCGCCCGCCAAGGCGGCTGCGCCCCCAGCCAAGCCAACACCCGTCGTTCGTTGTTGTCGGGATCCCTTTCCACCTCGTCTGGAGGGGAGTCGTTCTGTTGTCGCGCTCACCTCTGCGCCTAGTATATTCCTCGTGAAGGCGTGGAACTCGGAGAAAACTACGCATCTCCAGCCATCCACAAATTCCTATCTCCGGTGTGATCCGTCATACATGATCGGAGCGCGAGCCAAGATCTCGACCGGGTCCATCGTCGCGTGAAGGGACGGGTTTCCACTTTTCGTCGCTGCCTGATGCTGGGGCTCCAAGGGGTCTCCTGGATTTCTTCTTCCTTTCTTTGTTGATCTCTCCAACATCTTCAATCGGCTGGATCACTCGCTGCCAGCCATGCGGTTCCTTACTTATACTCTCCCCCTCATTGCAAGTGTAATATCCTTGCTGGGGGTTAATGTGCAAGGTCAGTGCGGTGCACTCTGGTTGTGATCCGGGCTAATTTGTCTTTGTGCAGCTCGATCGCAAGCCCCCAGTGCTATCCGACATGTTTCCACTCTGGACCATACAACAATCAAGACGCTCTCGCATCGGGTCGATCATCTGTCCAATTTCGACATCGTCTTTCATCTCCACGATAATGACCAGCGGATCAAGCTCGAGCTTGAGCCGAACCATGACATCCTGGCGGAAGATGCCTACGTGCAGTATCTTGACGCGGACGGCAATATTCGACGGGAAGAGCCCATTGCGCGACACGAGCACAAGGTCTTCAAGGGGAGGAGTCTGCTCGGTCGAGGCAAGGGCATGTGGGATCCCGTCGGATGGACGCGGATTTACTTGAAGCAAGACGGCCCACAGCCACTGTTCGAAGGAGTGTTTAGTGTCAACGGTGACAACCATCACGTCGAACTCAAATCCACCTATCTGGAGAAGAAGCGCGACGAGGATGTCGACATTCTGGACACACAAACAGACTATATGGTCTTCTACCGGGACTCGGACATGGTGCGTCTGCATACAGAACTCAAGCGCTCATCGCTCGGGTCGACTTCGTGCCAAGCCGATAAGCTGGGATTCAACACCGACCCCAATCACCCTGTCTTGCAATCCTTCGGTCAGCCAGATACCAGTACCTGGGGAGGGATGTCTTTGACGTCGATGTTCGGCCTCAGCAAGCGGCAATCGGACATTGGGAATGTGACGGGTAATGCCGGTGGAGTGAACCTGCAGACGACCATTGGCGATACTTCGGGCTGCCCCAACACGAAACAGGTCGCTCTGATTGGCGTTGCAACGGACTGCTCATTTACTGGTTCCTTTAGCAACGAAACGGCCGCCAGAGAAGCGGTCATCAGCATTGTCAACAGTGCCTCCAGTGTTTACGAAAAGGCGTTCAATATCACCATCGGTCTGCGGAATTTGACAATCACCGACAGCTCCTGTCCGGACAACCCTCCCGCTGCTACCGCGTGGAATATGCCTTGCTCCAGCGGGAACCTTACCTCCCGACTCGACCTCTTCTCCAAGTGGCGCGGAGAGCAAACGGACGACAATGCCTATTGGACCCTGATGAGTGATTGCGCGACCGGAAACGAGGTCGGACTGTCCTGGCTGGGCCAACTCTGCAATTCCGATGCGTCTACGGATGGCTCCAGTACGGTCAGCGGAACCAACGTCGTCGTTCGTTCCTCCGGCGCGAGCTGGCAAATCTTTGCGCATGAATCCGGCCACACCTTTGGGGCCGTGCACGACTGTGATTCCCAGACCTGCGCGGAGGATCTCGAGGCCACGTCGCAGTGCTGCCCGTTGACCTCTTCCACCTGTAACGCGAACGCGAAGTACATCATGAACCCGACGACCGGCACGGACATCACCGCGTTTTCGAATTGCACCATCGGCAACATCTGCTCTGCCTTGGGCGGCAACAGCGTCAAGTCCAGCTGTCTGTCCGCCAACCGCGACGTGACCACGTACACTGGCAGCCAGTGCGGTAACGGGATCGTCGAGTCTGGTGAAGACTGCGACTGTGGCGGGGAAGAGTCCTGCGGGGACAACCAGTGCTGTGACGCCACGACGTGCAAGTTCAAGTCGGGGGCCGTGTGCGACGATTCCAACGACAGCTGTTGTTCGAGCTGCCAGTTTGCTGCAGCTGGTACGGTGTGTCGGGCCAGCCGCGGAGCATGCGATGAGGCCGAGACCTGCAGCGGCAACTCGAGCACCTGTCCGACGGATGCGTTTAAGAAAGACGGCACCGACTGCGGCAGCAGTGGCTCGGGACTGAAATGTGCCAGCGGCCAGTGCACTAGCCGGGACTACCAGTGCCGCAGCGTGATGGGCACCCTGCTGCACAGCAACGATACGTATGCCTGCAGCGCATTCAGCTCCTCGTGCGAGCTGATTTGCACGTCGCCAAAAATTGGCGAATGCTATAGCGTCAACCAAAACTTCCTGGACGGCACCCCCTGTGGCGACGGCGGGTCGTGCAGCAACGGCGACTGCAAGGGCCAGAATGTCGAGTCCTGGATCAAGAACCACAAGGGCATCGTCATCGGCGTGGCCTGCGCCGTGGGGGCTCTGCTCCTCCTTGCCCTCTGCTCCTGCATCCTGGGGCGCTGTCGCCGGGCGCGCGCGCCCCAGCCCGTGCCGCGTCCAGCATACGGGGGCTGGACCGGCCCTATGCCCCCGCCGCCACAGATGAACCAGTGGCCCGCGCGAGGCTATCAGGGGCTCGGCAATGAGCCTCCGCCGCCCTACCCCGGAGCGGCCGGCCAGCCGGTCCCCCAGTACATGCCCGCGGGGCGATACGCCTGAGGGAGTTTCCCACCGCCGCCGATAAATCTTCGATCTAGTCTTGCATCATGATCCTGTGAGCGCTATTTCTTTCTTCATGTTGACGATTGACATTCTGGTGTACTCCCGGCGGCGCTACCGAGGTTGGGTGGGTCGGATTGCATTCTTTTCTTTCTTTTCCTTCTTTGGTTCTTCTTGCCCATATTAGACGGGGCGTGGTATATTATCTTGGCCGTGTACAATGATTGGTGCGATCCTACCTTGTTTGATCAGTAGTCACCCGACTGACGCAGTAGACCAAGCCATAGCTAGTTTGTGCTTGTAGATGTCAGTATGTATGTATTTTGATTAAACAACAGCGGATTCAAAGGGCAAACCAAACAGAACTTCACGATAAATACCAGAAGTGAAATCGATTAGCGCCACCATGCAGAGGAATCAAACCAGGACCAACACCAAGGAGAGTATTAGCACCCCTCTACCAACAACCAGATACAAAGTATAGAGTATAGAGTACCAACAACCCAACCCCTACTTCCTATCTCCCCCCAATCTCCATCCCCCAATTCACAAGCACGAGACCGAGAGAGAAAGAATAATCACTGCCAACAAATCCCCACAAACGCCTCACGCGTCACACCCCCCACACCCTCCAAATCAAACTCCTCAATCATAGCCCTCAACTCCTCCTCCTCGAGTCCCGTCTCACCCAACTCCCTCGCCACACGTCTCAAATCCTCCAAATCAATATACCCTTTCCCGCCCTCATCAAACAGCTCAAACGCGCGCAATATCTCATCCCTCGGATCCCGTTCCAGGATCTTCAGCGCCGTGACGGCCTGGAACGCAGACAGGGGCATGAGCAGATTACTCGGGTGTTGGGGGTTCGTGATACCGCCGGATTTCTGCTGTGGGGGTTGTTGGGCGTTGGGTTGGGTGGATTGGTGATGGTGGTGTTGTTGTTGGTGTTGCTGTTGTTGCTGTTGTTGTTGGACTTGGGGGCGTGGGACGCCGTAGGTGGTGAGGAGGGAGATGAGCTCTTGTTTGGGGAGCGTGAAGCCGAGGGCGCGAAAGGCGACGCGGAGTTCGTGGTAGTCGAGGTGGCGGTCGCGGTCGAGGTCGAAGAGGGTGAACTGTATTTTACCATCTCGTTAGGGTCTGATTGGGGGGTGTGTGGTTGTTTGTTTGGGGAGGGAGGGATTGGAGGGATTGGGGCGCACCGCTTCGTTGATCTCTTCGCGCTGCTCCTCGGTTAACCGGTTCAGAGGATTCGTGTCTTGTGGGGAGGAGCCATGGGGTTGGGAGTGCATGGGGGGAGCTGGGGGCGCTGGGGGCCCGCCTAATGGGGCCTGAGAGCTGGATTTGGGGTCGGCGAAGTCGGCGGTGGTGGTGGCGCCGGGGGCGCCGGCGAGACTGCGGTGTCGCGAGAAGGAGGAGGCGTTGAAGGGGAGGGCGTTGGTGTTAAGGGAGCGATCGGGGAGTTTGCCGGAGGCGTAGGACCGCGTGAAGGGTTGGGTGGAGGAGGCCATGGTGGTTGTTTATGGGGGGTGGTGATGAGGGAGGGAGGGAGGGACCCCGACCGTGGTCGGTGGGGTGGAGTAGGAGTGTAGGAGAGTCAATGAGGTGGGTTGGTTGGTGGATGAGGGGTTTGGATCAGCAAGGAGTAGGATGGCAGGTGGGATGGGATGGTTGCAATGGGGGAATTGGATGGTGGATGGACGGCGTTGGAGATGGAGATGAATTGAAGGAGAGGAACAACAGGAAAGTTGGCCGGAGTGGGGACACGATGGGGACGCGATGATTGGCGGCCGCCGCTAGTCTGGAACACCAGGTCAACCTGACCAGCAATCTAAATTCTACATATGGAGTAGTACGGAGCAGTAAACTGCAGCATGATAATGTAGATGTATCTGCTGTCAAGAGCCATTTCTGGCTGATCAGCCCCTATTCATACTGTTCGAGATATGCCTTCTTCCATAGCCATATATCCAATCGCCATGTGTGGTGACTCCCGTGATGAGCAACTGCTAGACGCAGCATAGATTGACAGACAGGGCCCTGCCATGTATCTAGCAGACTGGCGTAATGTCCAGACCTAACGTAGATGCAATTCTTTCAAGCATCCAACGCTAGTCTTGGGTCGTAACTGCCAAGGGCAACCAACCCGATGTGGTGCGCTTCGATATCGCGATGAGGCCCTCGCCTACATTACTTATGCAGGAAGCCGAGTCTACGGCAAATCCGGGTCTATCTGATACCCCAGGTCCCGATCCTCGAGGAACGCCCGTCCCTGGAGTTGCTCCGGAAGGTACTCCTGGGCCACCTCGCCATTAATGTAGTTAGGGTTGTACTTGTATTCCTTGCCGTATCCGAGCTCCTTCATCAGTCGGGTCGGCGCATTTCGCAGATGAATCGGGATGGGTAGCCCGGCAACGCCCGGCTCTGCCAGCGCGGCGAACGCATTGTTCAGGCCGCGGTACGACCGCGTGCTCTTCGGGGAGAGTGCCATGGCAACGGTCGCGTGTGCCAGGTTGATCCGTGCTTCTGGAAGCCCGATCTTTTCCACCGCCGAATGGGTCGAGATGGCAAGTGTGAGCATGCTGTTGTCGGCTAGCCCAATATCCTCCGACGCGACAACAATAAGACGTCGCGCAATATAGAGCGGGTCTTCTCCCGACTGGATCATGCGAGCCAGATAGTACAGCGCCGCGTCGGGGTCGCTGCCCCGGATAGATTTGTGGAAGGCGGAAATGGTGTCATAGTGCTGGTCCCCAGCCCGGTCATAGACAAGCGTCTTGGTCAAAGCCCGCTTGATCTCGTCCTTGCTCATCCCTGGCCGCTTGGACAAGTCCATGGCGAGCTCGAGGAGATTGAGGGAGGTCCGCGCGTCACCGTCGGCAAACCGGGCCAAGTACTTGATCAACTCCTCGTCGACCAATTCAGAGGGGGAGTACTTCGGTCCTTCCACCCTCAAGGCCCGGTGAAGGATCGACATGATATCTTCATCCGTAAGCTTGGACAGCGTGAATGTCCGACACCGCGAAAGCAAGGCATTCTGCACTTTAAAGGAAGGGTTCTCCGTGGTGGCGCCAATGAGCGTGACCTGCCCGCTTTCCACCGGCCCCAAAAAGACATCCTGCTGTGACTTGGAGAAGCGATGGATCTCGTCGCAGAAAATGATGGTCTTCCGTCCCGTCAGGCTCAGTTCACTTTTCGCTTCGGAGAAGATCTTCTTGCACTCCGCAACTCCAGTGCTGGTGCTGTTGATCTCGACAAATCGGCTCCCCACCATCGACGCAATCACCCGAGCAATGGTTGTCTTCCCCGTCCCCGGACCACCCCAGAGTATCATACTGGGAACCCGATCTTGCTCAATGAGTCCGCGGAGTACGCCGTTCGGACCTACGAGCTCCTGCCCGCAGACCTCATCCAGAGTCCGAGGGCGCATCCGTTCCGGCAGTGGTGCTGCCTTCTGTAATGCGCTCACCTTTGGTTTCTTTGGCTCAACTTGTGACTGGCCGGTCTCCACTCGATCATATACCTCCGAGGACTTGGCATCGTGCGTCGTTGTCCGCTTGCCATTGACGTTGCGCAGAGGGGAGGAAGTGACATTCTGATCTCTCTGGCCGTTCGACTGAGTGGAGGCTTTCCGAGCGGAGGTTGGCTGGAAGAAGCTGGGAACTTGAGCCTTCTGAGTGGCGGGGGTCTCGCCTGAGCTGGATGGCTCCTCGATGAAGTTCTGACAGTCGGAATCGATGTGATCGTTAATCTTCAGGGACGACACCGGCTGGCTACAGATGGGGCAGGACACCATGATGACGAAGGCTCATCCGAACCGTCAAGAAAAGCACTGCCAGCAGGCTGGATGGAAAACAGCTCGCCCGTGGCGGCCATCGAGTTGATTGATCGGATCGATTTGCCTCAAACGCGTGAAACGCGCGCGCGATAAAGCCGGCTGACTAAGAAGCATGCCTGCGTGCCTGAGGACCCTGCGTCATCTCAGAGCTGGTACAGTCGAGACCAGGATGCTGCAGTCTTAGAGAGGCTATAGACTGAACACTAGCAATTGCTTCATTTGCAGTCCGCGACAAGAGTGAGTTGACTCCTGTGCATTGAAATGGAGGCCCGGTCCGAATGCGCCGTTATCGTTGCAGTCGAAGGTTACTACCGAGGACTTGCTGCAGATCCCCCTCCAGTAGGGATACACATGCCGGTCAAGGCAGCCAGCAACCGATTCAATCGATATCTCCTCATCCATCTAGCCAGCGCTAATCTTCTGTACGGCACAGCATCCGCGTTGAAAGCGCCCAATCATTCCATCGCCATACCCGACAGCCGCTTATCAGCGAGCTCGGCCCAGCAAAGCACGCAATAATAACGAATAACCTCCGCCCACCAAACCGAGTCCCGCCGCAGTCTCCGGATCGGCCTTTCTCGTCGTTCGGGTCACTTTTCCTCCTCCACCTCTCCCCCAATCCACCGGCGCAGCTGCCTCTATGTTACCTGGCTACCGTGCTGCCACCTTTTCCACCAGAGCCGTCCAGTTCCAGCGCTCTTCGCACGCGTTCCTGCGCCCCTCAACCCCGGCCTTACCCCGCCATCCTTTCTCCAGAGCCATGTCGGCCACCACGGCTCGTCCCGACCCTTTTCGACCGGCGGCGAGAGTCGCCGGCCAGAGACAAGATGTCTGGTGCGATGGCGCGAGAGCCTCTTGGAATGCTCTTCAATGTGTCTGACAGTCGCAGGTCCATTGTCAATGAAGCCGCCGCTGCCTCCCCCGTCCAGCCCATTGTGAACATGGGACAGGGTTTCTTGTGAGTGATAATGTGCCGGTTCAGGATGACGGGGACTTTCTGACCAGGCCTCATTGGCAGTGGCTACAACCCGCCGAAGTTTGCCTTGGACGCCGCCAAGGAGGCCCTGGACCGTGTCGACTGCAACCAGTACTCCCCGACTAAGGTACAATCGGACTGCAAGACATGACGATCGGAGACAATTGCTGACAGTCGATAGGGACGTCCGCGTCTCAAGCAGGCTCTTGCCGAGGCCTACTCTCCCTCCTTCGGCCGGACCCTCAACCCGGAGACCGAAGTCACCATCACCACCGGTGCCAACGAAGGTGGGTTATACTGGGCTGTTTGCGCGGCTTCTCGCTGACGGTGTCAAGGTATGCTGAGCGCATTCATGGGTTTCATCGAGCCCGGCGATGAGGTGATCATCTTCGAGCCCTTCTTCGACCAGTGAGTCCAGCTTGTCAGTAATCGGGATCTGCTCTGACGCCCCTCAGGTACATCAGCAACATCGAGATGCCCGGTGGTGTCATCCGCTATGTCCCTCTTCACCCTCCCAAGGACGGCGCGACGAGGACCTCCCCCGCTTCCGAGTGGACGATAGACTTTGAGGAGCTGGAGAACACCATCAACGACAAGACCAAGATGATCGTAAGCTGCCCATCTTTATCTGACTGATCATGCTGCTAACCAGTCTAGGTTCTGAACTCCCCGTAAGCAGACTCAAGTCTCGACGTGGAGCATTGACTAACAAAGTGTAGCCATAACCCCGTTGGCAAGGTCTTCTCGCGTGCTGAGCTCGAGCGCATCGGAGAACTCTGTGTGAAGCACAACCTTATCATCCTTTCCGATGAGGTCTATGACCGCCTTTACTACGTCCCTTTCACCAGAATCGCTACCCTGTCGCCCGAGCTCTATGAGCGCACCCTCACCGTCGGCTCCGCGGGCAAGGCCTTCTACGCCACTGGCTGGCGTGTCGGATACCTGATCGGCCCTGAGCATCTGATCAAGTACGTGGCCGGTGCGCACACTCGGATCTGCTACAGCAGTGTGTCTCCTCTCCAGGAAGCGGCCGCTGTTGCCTTTGAGCAGGCCGACAAAGTTGGTTTCTGGGACGAGAGCCGGAACGAGATGAAGAAGAAGATGGAGCGTTTCTGCGAAGTCTTCGACGAGCTCAACATTCCGGTGAGTCACAAATGGAGAACCCCCAAGACCTCCACTAACCTCCACCTCAGTACTCGGACCCCGAGGGAGGCTACTTCGTCCTCGCCAACATGTCTTCCGTGAAGCTCCCCGAGGGCTACCCATTCCCTCCCCACGTTGCCAGCCGCCCTCGCGATTTCAAGCTGTGCTGGTTCCTGATCCATGAGGTCGGCGTGGCAGCCATTCCTCCTACCGAATTCTACACCGACGCGAACGCCCACATTGCGGAGAATTATCTCCGTTTTGCCGTCTGCAAGAATGACGATGTGCTGGAGACTGCGAAGGAGAGGCTCCGCGGCCTGAAGAAGTACATTGCGTGAGGAGGTGATGGAGATAGTCGGCAACGGATACCTAAAGCGAACCTGAATAGCCGTCAACGGTCTGGTTCAAAAGTATGCAGGAGTGATAGAGCTACCGGTTATTGGACTTGGAAAAGGTAAACTGAAATAGAAAGTTCATCTCATTTTCATATTGTACATTGAGCTCGTGCCATGCGTCCAACCAAACGACCATATTTCGTTAAATTACATCAGATCAATCTCCCTTGGCTTCGTATCGTTCCAAGCTGTCTTCTTACCCCTGGGTTTCTTTCCGTCAACCGAGCCGTTAACAGCTCACATCTCTCACGAAGGAACATCAGGCAGACCAATCCGAACAGTCACCGCCCTTGGGCACAGAAACCAGCTGCACCCAAGGATTCGCCCAATCTTTGGACCCGGCAAGCACTCGAGGACAGGGGATTTACTCGTTTATTCCCTCGATCTCCATATCGCCGGTGCCAGCACCGTCCCAGCCGTCTCCCCGTCGAAACACACGCCGATCTTCCTCTGCTACCTCGTCAAACCCCTCTCCCATCATCCGCTTGTTCGCATCCGACACGGTCGGGTGGGTCGTTCTAGCCGCGCGAAGAATCCAGTACGTCGACTCCAGCGTCTCAATCATCCGACAGAGCCCTCTACCCCCCAGGGAGCCCAGGAGCCGGCGATACTCCGACCGACAGACGAGATCCGGACAATTGCGACGATTTCTCCCATCCCAGTCCGTCTCACATGCATGTCTTTCACCCGTGATGAGACCCTGGATGGTCACATTGAACTCCTGAAAGACCTGATACCGGACTGCAGTCAGGATATGTTCTGAAGTGGGCACCGATCGCAATTTGTCGCGGATCAGCCGGAATAGATAATCGACCAGTTCGGTGACTTCCAGCGTCACTAGCGAGATGGGCGGGTTAGTAATGGGGAGACTGAAGGACAGCAACGACGTACTGAACAGACAAGTCGCGAGGACTCGGCGGAACCGGTCTTTTTCAGCCGGATCGTCGAACTTGACGACATACACCACTCGGCTGGGGCACCGCACCGCCGTCTTGTCCTCGGGTAACCCGGCTTTCACATATTCGGCCCAGTCGGCGAACACGAAGTAGTCGCCTTGTCTGGCGTTCATGTTGAAATACACGGCTTGGCGATGACGCTCGGGCACGTCGTAGGCGTGGAGACAGGGGATGAGAGGGGGCCCGGCTCGCACTGCCTTAGGGATCGAAGTCTCGCGACATGGATGACGAAAGACGAACTGTCCACAGTACAGCCAGTGCATCTTGATGTCCTCGAACAGGTGGACTTTGCTGCAATACCGGATTTCGGAGTATGGGCCGCAGCGCGGGCAGATCACCGTGGCTCCATCCCACAGGTTGCAGCGTTTGTCACAGTCGCTTTTGGCGCAGGGAAAGCCGTGGCTGTCGAGCTGCCAGAAGAATCCCTCCGGTTTCTGCGTGGACAGGGTGCCTTGAGTGTGTGCAATTGTCTGCGTGGGCATGGAGGTTGAGTGTGTGCTACTTGGTGAAGGGGGCGGAGGGGGATGTGCATGACTGCCGATGACCTGTGATGGCTGTACGTTGCGTGAACTGCTGGAGCTTATCTGGCAGCAGTGCTCGGCTCCTTTGGTGGATGGCTCAGATGTCTCTGTGGTCTGGGGACTGAGTGGCAGCGCTATGTTGGTCCATCCAGTGGATGTGGTACTGTTCGACTTGGGTGTAGCTGTGAAGAGACTCTGGGTTTCGGCAACTGAGCCCGAGCCCGATACTTCTTGGTCGGTTCGACTGGCAGGCCTCTCGATGCTGCATCGATGCTGCACGCATTCACTAGATACTTCCCGTATGGGCGACAGCTTGGCCTTGCCTGCGCTGGCACTCTTGGGATCAAACCCAGCTGAATCTTCAGCTTCCTTGTTAGCCTGCTCAGGGAGCTCTGTCGATGCCGCTTCCAACTCACTCAAGCTTTGGCCTGGGGCCGTAGGTGCGGGATGTGAGGGCTTCATGTCGACGGAGGCCGATGTGGGCTGAAGAGAGTTGCACAAGGGACCGCTGTTTGGTGCTGGGGTGGTGTTATTGCTCACGTTGCGTTTGCCTGACAGCACCGTTGCATAGGACGGGCTAATCACCGAGTCTCTCGCCTTTGACACCGGCTGGGGAACGCGTGGAGTCGGCACCAGCTCAGGCACTTCATTGCCAGTCACTGGATCGACTCTGCCGACCCGCCGTTTGCCTTTGATGTCTAACTTTTTGAGGGGCTGAATCAAAGCATCACGCTGGTCACTACTGTCTGCAGTGCTATTTTGGGACGCTAGGTTGCCTCGGTGCTCCGGCTCGGTAATCACAGAACTGACCATCTCTTTACATGCCTTGGCAGCATCCACGGCCTTGGAGATCGGGTCACTGCCCTGCAAGTGTGAAGTGGTGCTCGAGCTGTCCTCTTGTCCTGACGAAGAAGACGAGGCGCGACTCCGAGTTTCCAGCTCGGTTGGGGCCTTTTTGACCAGCTCATGTCCATCTGACAGACCAGAATCCTGAAGTCCAGTGATACCACCCCTCATGTCACCCAGCAAGAGTCGCTTCTTCTTGTTGGCTTTCTTCTTCTTGGTCTTCTTCGATGCCGGAGCAGGCTCCATCTTGACAACTGGGGGGTCCATCACCGGCCTCTGGGCATCAGCCTGCTCGCTTGACGGCTGTTCCTGTGAAGAAGCCTCTGTCGGGGACGTGCGTGTGATTGTACGCGCGCGTATGAGGTTGATGGCGTTTGACCGTGCCTTGTTATCTTCACTCTTGCCTTGTCCTTGTCCTTCTGCGTCTGACGGACCAGTTAGTATGTCTTCCTGCATTGTGAGAGTGAACGCGGGGAAAAAGAGGGTCAAGCTCAGGATTTGCTTACCAGGACGAATATTATCGGAATCCTACGAATCTCTGTTTGTATTCATCTCAGTGCACGGGGTCTCTTTGCTTGTGGTTCCCGTGACCTGTGAAGCGAGGTGCAGTGAATTGGCCCAGCTGCTGGCGTTAAGGACTGTGTCTTTATGGCACTCGGTCGGTCGGTCGGTTGGGTGCAAGAAGTGGCTCTACGATGCTTATGGGCTTAGGTGTTGAAGGATGTTGCGTGAAAGGGTCTTTGCATGATCTGTTGACATCCTTCCCTGGATCTTCCTCTGGGCGGATCCTTCATATCGCGTCCGGGATTTCCCGTGGGTAACTGACGGACTCTTCACTGGCACAAGTCAAAGCACGGAAGAATACGGTTGCTAAGAGTGAAGGATCTAGCTGTGCAGGTCTGGCATGGCTTTTGGGTCAGGTCTCAATTGATAGCCGTGGTGTGTCTGAAGTAAGTCTACAATCACTATGTTGCTCTACCTCTAGCTTTGAGAACCCTCTTTTATGACGCACCTTGCATCGTATGGATGGGGAGTTATCCCTCCAGTAGCAGGAACGCTCCTCCATCCGGTGATGAGTCTCGGTTGTTCCCTCTATCAAGTGATGATATGAACTGCTTCCTCTGTCTTATGAATTAGGTCATATCACTAATGAGCTGCATGCGATCAGATAACATCAAAACATTCACCCTTGCCTGGCTTCTACTCTCGTATGCATCTCTAGAGGCGCACGGTGGCTGAATCAGTCATCAAGGTATATGCACCTGTCTACTACATTCAAGTTTGATCCCTCCACCTTGGGTTACAAGAAAGCTAGAAATGGCTTGACCCACCAGATGATATCATCGTTTTTAGAATAATACGGCCATATAATTCTAGTCATGTTCTGAGAGCCGTCATGTTAAGCGCTGGGATCGGCTACGGAAGTATTGTTGGCTGTGGCAGCGATCATGCGTCTGGCAGGTGAAACCGCTGTCAGGTTCATATGACCGGGGCTAGAGAGAGTCTGAGTCTGTCTAAAATCGGAAGATTGTGGTGTCCTCTCACTGGGCACGAATAGGAGTCCTGCGAGGGAAAAGTGTAGCGGAAGCTGAGACACTCCTGATTCAGATGCCGGAGCATGTCTCTCCACACTGTCACCCTGCCACCACGTCACCGCAGCTAGCCTGGAGAAGCAGCAACTTCACTCGTTACTTTAAGTCAATCTATTCAAGAAGATGGCTCATTCGTCTGCTTGGTTAGTGGGCGTCTGGCTGTCTGCCGTCACGTGCTCCGTTCCACCACATTTAACTGAACCCAACCCTTCTTCAAGCGCCATCCTGTTGACTTTCGTCCGGTTTCTAAATTTAACATTGGCGAACATAAACTTTGTTTAGCTTTCCTCAGGCGCAGTGGTATCTGCAGCTCCGAACCAGTCAAGCAACGTGCAATAAACTGATCCCAGCAACATCCTGCACCGGGAAGCGCCAACCCCCCAGGCACTAGGCAAAGAGCCATTGGGCGTTGACACGGCCGATTGCAAATATCCGGCCAGCTGCCTGATTGATGTCGCGACGCTGTGGGTTTGGTCGGTGCTGGCTCAAGGATTGGACGACAGCGCTGTATGCTAAGCGCCGACCCGGGGCCTATATTTGGCCTGCCCACAAGAACTCTGCAGAACCCGATTGAAATAACCTCTGCCTAGAAACCTAGCGCCAGATGAAACTTGCCATGCAGATCCCACCGATCAGCTGCAGCTTATGGCTCTAGGGTTTGCGTTCCTTGTTGGCGCCGCGCACTCTCAGTGGCTACCGTTGGTTGTGTCTTCAGGCCCAAACAAGCGGTCTTTGTGTTTGTCGATTATTCACCTCGTCACAATGAGAATCGGTCTGCTGGTTCCCTCGTCCATAATAAGGTGGGGATACCCTTCGCTGGAGACAATGTCACTGTTTTTCTTTGTTCAGCTATTGTTTCCTCGTGTTACTCTTTCGTTTTCTTCTGCACACGGCCGATGGTGTCTTTCTTTCATCTATAGATTTGGACATGCGATACTTCTAATTAACGGGCTGCATTCTGTTTGCTTGAAATAATCGCTGCTGGTCAGGATTATTCTCTCTTTGGTATCTTCTCTTTGCTCTTTCTATATCCTTGTCGACGATAGACTTCTTTTTTCGCAGACTCAGCTAGCTGAGCGCTGTTCAGACCTATTTCTCCGTTCGAATCATAAGGCCATTCGACATGGTTTTCTCAAGCTCTGGTCGGAATATGTTCCCGCTTCTTCCCCCCTACGGCGTCCATGATCCCAATGGTGTCCAGGGTCGGGTCATTCCGCTGCACCCCGATGGCTCTACGCCGTACCTGGGTCTGCGGGCGCGTCTGTCCCAAGTGTGGCTTAACCGCTGGACCGTGTTGCTGCTCTTGGTCCTGGCCCGGGTGCTGATGGCTGTCACAACCATCAAGACAGACATGGGTCGCGCTAAAAGCGAGGCCCTCTCGGCATGTACAAGCGTGGAATCCATGGGCGATGCGATGGTCTCCATGCCCCATTACCTGGCGGAAGGGGTCAACGACCTCACCGGAGACATGGTCGATGCGGCCGTCGATGGCCTCCAGATGATGCTGATGCTCACCTTGACGGGCGTGGAAGAGTTGATCATCTTCTTCATCAAAGTGATGTACCAGACTTATCTGTGCCTGTTCACGCTCGCCGTGCAGGGCGCCGTTGAGATTGGAGTCACCTTGATCGAAGATGCCGCCGATTTTCTGAACTCCACGGTCAAAACCGTGGGGAAAGACATCGCTAAAACTGTCGATGTATTCGAGGATGCCCTCAATGACTTTATCAAACTCGTGAATGTGGCCGCCAGTCTGGCCGGGTCGAGCGTGCCGTCACTGAATCTCACCAGCGAGATCGACAAGCTGGAAGATGTACACCTACCGTCGTCGATCGACGAAGGTCTGGATAAGCTCAACAACTCCATTCCCTCTTTTACCGAAGTCATGAACTTTACTGAAAACGTGATCCGGTTTCCCTTCGAGGAAGTCAAGAAACTCGTCAACGAGTCCCTGGGGGACTATACATTCAACACCTCCGCACTTCCAGTTCCCGCGAAGAGGAAGCTGAGCTTCTGCGATGACAACAACGGGATCAACTCATTCTTCGCCGGGGTCACGGATCTGATCCTGACAGCCCGCAAGATCTTCATCGCCGTGCTCATCGTCGCTGCGATTCTCGCCTGTGTCCCCATGGCCTGGCAAGAGATCCGACGCTGGCATACCATGAAAGAGCGCTCTCAACTGGTCCGCAAGGAAGCGCACGATCCCATGGACGTCGTCTACATCGTCTCCAGACCCCACACCGCAGCCATGGGGATCAAGACCGCCAGCCGATTCAGCAACAGCCGCCGACAGACCCTCGTGCGCTGGGTGATCGCCTATGCCACCTCCCCAGCGGCCCTATTCGTCCTCTGTCTCGCCCTGGCCGGCCTCCTCTCCTGTCTCTGCCAATACATCCTCCTCAGCGCCATCAAGAAAACCGTCCCCGAACTCGCCACCGAGGTGGGCGAATTCGCCGACGAAGTCGTCGGCGTGCTCCAGAACGTCTCCGCGGAATGGGCCAACGACGCCAACAAAGTGATCCAGCACGCCGACGACGAAATCAACGACCACGTCTTCGGCTGGGTCAACACCAGCACGACCGCCCTAAACGACACGCTCAACACCTTCGTCGACAAAACCATCGACGTCCTCAACGACACCTTCGGCGGGACCCTCCTCTACGAACCCCTCCTCGACGTCTTCGACTGCCTGATCGGCCTCAAAGTCGAAAGCGTCCAAAAAGCCCTCACCTGGGTCTCCGACCACGCGCACGTCGACTTCCCCCTCCTCCCCAACGACACCTTCTCCGCCGGCGCCACCACCAGCCTCAACAGCTCCAACTCCTCCGACAGCTTCCTCACCGAAGCCGGCTCCAAAACCTCCAACGAAATCACCGAGGTCGTCGACAAAGTCATCAACACCCTCACCAGCGCCATCCGCACCGAAACCATCATCGCTGCCTGCATCCTCCTCGTCTGGGTCCTCAACGCCCTCCTCGGCCTCCTCCGCGCCCTCACCCTCTTCTGGACCCGCGACAAAACCCGCGGCGAGGGCGGCCCCGCACCTCTCCACTCCCGGCCCAAACCGGGCTCTGCCGGGGGCCGCCCAGCAGACCCAAACGGCTTCATCGACGTGCCGTTGACCAGCCTACCCAGGAATCATCATCCCGCTGCGATGGATGCGCCAGATGACACCGATGCCGCGCGCTCACAACCCGCGCCCCGGTACGAGGTAGCCACCAGCCAGGGAAGCTCCGGCAGCTCGGGGATGGTGGTGCCCCACGACTGGGAGTATCCGGCCGAGAAGGTCGGGTTCGCGGGGCAGCGCAATGCGTTGCAGGTAGACGGGGTGTCGGATTTACGGGGGAGTAGTTATGTGGAATATGGGATGGAGAAAAACTGACCTGTCTACTTATGTACCTTTACCCGTGTTTCTTTATCCGTTCTCGATCTTCTGCCTTGGCCTGTATCTAGGGCGCCCACCTTATACCCATAGATCATCATATCGTCCCACTGCATAGGCTCCCTTCATGGGAACAAATCCCTAACTTCTGGCCTTATGGGGCCAAAGGCCTTCAGTAGATGAAAACTGGCCAGGGTAGAAGTAGATAGATAGGCAGCACGGCGAGGGAACCCATGGCATCACGTGACCTACGCCGACCAGGTACTAGGCAATCCTTTTTCCCTTAGGCGTCGTGGGCGTCCTCCTGTTTAATGCCCAGACCGCCTCCGCCACCGCCAGCCCGGGTTTTGTTGTGCTTGCCTGAAGCGCCCGCAAGGAGAGAGTACTAAGTAGCTTTCGCAACTCCCTCCCCGGCCGTCTTCTATAGCCATGGCTCAGAAAAGGTCTCGTTCCCTCTGCAGCGATACAAATGATACCTCGAGTATGATACCGGATTCGGAGCGCGGCGATTCCAGTGAAAGCTACACTGATGAAGAAGAGGACCCTGTAGAGTGGTCCCCTGGCGATGGGGTCTGTCCACCATCGTCGGAGTTCCTGGCCCATTATAGAGCCAGCAATGATATCTGGAGCCGTGCAGCATCAACCCAGCCGAATGATTCTGGATCCATTGTTGGCATCCTTGAAGCCTTCCTGCGAATGCTACGAAACGTTCCACCCTTTTTTGATCATCCGCCGAAAGACGTTCACGTTACAGGCGGATCTAAAACTCCATTAATTCTACGGTCATCGTTCCGCCTGGGAACAACGGATAACATGGACTGCGACCAGCACTGGAAGTCTTCGGACTATTTGCAGTGTCTTGGATTCTTATCACCCGTGACGTACAATATGACTACAGAACTTCAGCAACCCATATCTCTTCTATCCTCACCCCTTCGCCGCGGGCACCTCACCAGTATTACAATGGCATGGTCGTACATAATCTCATGTCGTTGGGTCGAGATCTTACAAGGGGCCGGCTGGAAGTGTTCGATCTCTCATGACCGAGATGTTCAGTTGGCCGACGATTTCTGGGATATAGTGACGCGAAGCCGTTGGCTAGCTCGCTCGGAGACCAGGAAGGGTATACACTACTCTCCATGGATGCTGAAAGATAGAAAGATGAAGCCAGAGAAGCAGTACGTTCCTTTCAGTCATCGAACTCCAGAATCAGCTAATACACCAGGTTTGCTAATTTCCTAGGTTCAGTAGCGACGACTGGGTAGAAGCTCTTCCTAACTCATCTCTCGCATTTGATATACTCCTGAAATTCTGCACTAGAGAAGGTCTTGAGGCGGAGCTTCTGGTTGGTCTCGCCTCAGTTCTGATGCTCACATCACGAAATACACCCCCGCCAAAACTGAGCCCGCCGACAATTATCCCTCAATCATCCACGCCCCAAGCTCCCGTGCAGTCGACCAAACAAGATGGCATCCTCTATAAAATCTTTGATTCGCTGGACAGAGCTATTTTTCTCAGCTCCACGCAGGATGCTTTTGACTCCTTGATCTGTAGCGCCTTCTTTGATCCTTCTGTCCCATGTAATCTTCTTGGGGCTTCGTCCCTAGGTATCAAACGAGTGTTGTTCCCCTCGGGTGAGCTGGACAACCAGAGATTGCTACATGTCATTGTTAAGCAGACGCCACACCTGAGTCCTTTCTGGGCTGCTGCCATCTGCACAAATCAGGCAGCATCGCTACTGCGCTTGTCCCTCAATCGGTTGCCACCTCTTTGTCTGGCAGCCGCATTCTGGACCGACACTATCCAATCATTCCTCCAGGTGGCATACCAGTCTGACAGCCCAGCAAATTTGGAGTCGTTGATCTCTCGTGCTACTGAGTTTCAAACATCTTACTTTTGCCGGCCTATGGCATCCGTACCATGGTCACCTTCTCCTCCATTCGGTTCGACGACCCTGACCAACATTAGTCTAGAAGTCAAAGAGCACCTAGAGCATGGGCACAGGCCTAGATCATGGCAGATATACTGGGTTACTAAATCAGGGTCGGAGATTCCTGCGACTGCACGATATCAAATCAACCCTCCGAAAGTTGAGATAGTCCCATGCGCTGACGGCAAGGAGCCTTGCGAGGAGTAAGTATAACGGCCTTTTCATCACCATATCTGCTGACGGTTAAGGTTGCAATGTCCTGGAAGGGAGGCCGCTGACGAACAGTCGTGGAGCGCAACATCCCGCTTATTTAACTGGCATCGAGATTACGATGACGGCATTTGGCTCGATGATGGAACCAAAAGCATTGAAGCTATTCGTCGCATGCAAGTGCATCCGTGGATTGCGAATCCGTTCGAGGATAATGGTCAGGATGATCCGGTCGAAGACGAAGATAATGGTCAACAGGTTCCTACAGAGTCTATCCTGGACTGGTATGCGGAGGTCGAGAGGTGTCAAGAGTTGGAAAATCCCGCTCTTCCATGAAGATCTGTCCTATTTGTGTCAACGGCAAGCTATTCTACCCCGACGAGGATGTCGGTTCTAGCCGGTATTCTTTGTTGTTGGGGATGCTATTTCAATTCCACGGAGGAAGGTGATGATGTTGACGCTATCTAGGCCTCGCAGATTGCGAAGGTAACAACGATTGAGCAAAGCGATCCCACACATGATCCTCGCCGACCAGCAAACCAGACCCTCCAACATAGGTTATCATACACGACAGAGTCCACATAAGATCTCAAGCGATGGCGACTTGGAACCGACCGAGTGTCCCTAGTTAGGGTCGCTTGGCGCAGGGCTACTCTCACTGGTCTCTCCGCTGGATGTATCACCGCCCGCTGTTCCTGTATCCTGGTAGTCCGCCTTCTGGGCCCGTGTGACATCTCTTTGCCTCAGTCCCCCGAAGTCTAGGTTATCCCTGACGGCCGGGTGGGCTTTGCAGGCATAACACATCCGCCGGCCCCAATTATTCGACCTTTTGAAACATCCGCCGGTGACCTGGCATTGCTTCCATCGATTTCTGCAGCGAGGCACGGGGCAGGGCGCAGTGTTGTGCTCATTGTTAGCATGAAGACAGACATCGCACGTTCCTCGCAGGCCAGAACTCGCAGACATGGCTCAGGTCGACTACTAGGCACTGGGCATGGTCAGCTCGCTCTACTTGAGGCGTTGGGCTGGGATGGCATGTGCCCTACCTTTGCCTACCTCTGTCCGATGTATATATAGAGGGCAACGGTGACCAACGCGAATATAGTACCCGGTGGGTGGAATGACTTCGAGGGGCTGGGTGGATCTGGGTTTACTTGAACAACTTTTGTATCACGAAGAGATAGAATCGCACCAAGAATAATGGAGTCCTTGGTTCGTGTGTCCAGGACATCATGGGAGGAGGCACATTTCAGCCTGCTTTTATAGACCATTCCACTCCCCCAGGCTTGCAAGGCTTTGCCGCCGGGCATTCGAAACGGCCAAACGTCGCCTTGCTCCTTCAGCCAACGATTCTCTGCGGCTGAACCAGCTGCACCCTGTGATCTCCCTTTAGCCGCCGACACCTGTGAGGCTGAGACCGTGCAGTACAACTTGCACCCGACAAGGCTGAGACGGACTCCGTTTCAGAGCGCTTAGTCGATTGTTCGCTCTGCCGTGTTGGTGCATCCTATTGGGCGGGGATTCATCTATTTTTCTTTTTTTTTTTTGTAGATGTCGCGCTTATAGAGGTAGAGATCACTCCAATCCACAGAACATCCCGAGACGTGTAAGCTGCCATGATAGTCCTCAAGAGGTCTGGTCGGGTAGGGGGGGGGGAAAGGAAAAGGGTGGGTGCGCTCAAGGGAGCACCGAATCGCGCCTGTATTGGCAGGTGTGCAGACGGCGCCCTTTTTTTTGCCATGCCGCGTTCTAAGGAGAGAGTTGAGGAGAGGTTCAGGCTCAGACTGCTGTTGGAGGGATAAAGCCGTACAAGCCTCCCCCCCCTCCATCCCTCTTCCGCTGACCGGAGGTACTCCACGTTTTGTGACTTGGAATGGGGTAGATACAAGCACCCATTCCATCTCATCTCATTTATTCTAGCGTTTGGTCTGGGTGGACAATCGGGCATAAAGCGAGTCAACCTCACCTCGTCTCGTAGAATACTACGAGGGAGTTGACTGCAATTCCTGTTGATCCTGTATTCAAACATTCATAGTAGTAGTAGTAGTAGTAGTAGTAGTAGTAGTAGTAGTAGTAGTAGCTCAAACCAAAGAAACTCCTTCCTGCCATTTTTCTTCCTACTCGGTACTATGACCAATTACCTCCCAAATGGCGAGCAAGAACCACAGACCGGATCTAGACACCACCAGCAATTATCATTCATCTTCCGCAATAATTCACATCTGAAGCCCCATCTTATGTATCCATCACCCTAGTCCTTCCCCTCCACATGCCCCAAAAGCGAGCCAAAACATAATTGAACTCACAAGTAAACTCCCCCTTCCCTCCAGGAACCCCAACCATGTGCCAAATTTCCCAGCCGCGGCACCAATAGATTTAGCGCCCTCGCGTGCATCGCTCCATGTGCCGGCGGGAGAATCCAACCCAATCCCCCGCCCACGTTGAATAAATCCCTCGGCAGTGAGAGTGACAGTGATGTACTTCGGATTCCGTGCATATTGCACAGAGGAAATCACTGCATTAGACACGGAGGTAAGATGCCACTGAGGGGGCGGAGAGTGGTCATGTGCGGGGATCGCTGGACCTGGATGGTGGTGTTTGGTTTCTTCATGGGGGAGGTTCTGCAGGTTGAAAAGGTTAGTGTGAATAAGGTCAGTGGAGGTGTAGATCACGTCAGTGGGTGAAGGGGTTCCCCGCTTTTCTCTTTACTTCTCTTTTGTAGGGAAAGGGTTGTTTGTAGTGGTGTTGGTGATGGGTAGGGAGGGATGGGGTTGGTGCTTGTGTAGTTCGTACTGGGTGTGTTGGATGCTTTTGTTTGGAGATGGGATGGGATGGAAAGGGTCGTTCGAGATGGCTGGATATGACCAGACTGTCGAGGTAGAATGTGTTGGAGATCTGTAGGTCAACTTCACATAGGGTGACCTTGACAATTGGCGGGTTAATCTCGCTGTGCAGTCTCCGCAATCAGGTTACATCTCCGGTGCGCTGGCAGAGACACTTGTGCAGGCTAACATCGCAAAGACAATGCTGCTGAATCCAGGCCTTGGGCCATCGACATCCATCGGTGCTCCGCACTGCTGGTCCGAGGATATAGCTAGCTGGGTGGAGGCGAGCACGATATAAAAGCCGGCATGATTTCTCTCTTCTCTTGAGATCCATTCTCGATTGCATTCTCACTTACATTCCCAATTGCATCTCAGTTTGAATCGATCAAAATGCTCACCAAATCGCTCCTTGCCACTCTTCTGGCCGTCTCTGTGGCCACTGCCTCCCCCATCACTAAGCGGGATGCATCAACAGTCTTGTCCGACTTGAAGACCATTCTCTCCGACGTGGAGACGCTGGAATCCGTCGTCTCCACCTGGGATGGCTCTCTTTTGACCGCTCTGACCATCCTGACCGACTACAACAACCTCAAGAGCGCCTTGGACACGGCCATTACCGACACCGCGGCCACCTCGGCCCTGAGTGACTCTGACAGCAGCAGCATCACCAGTGAAGTGCAGACGCTGGGAACTACCATTGTTGCCACTCTGGACACCATTATTGACAAGGTGCGTTCTCAATTCCGGACGGTGATGCACTGACGATATGCTGACGAGTCTGATAGGAATCCGTTGCCGCGTCCGCCGGTGTCACGAGCACCCTCCTCTCCTCCATTGAGACGCTCGAGACCGACACCAACACCCTGGGTGCCGATCTTGAGGCCATCGCTACCTCGACCGATGCGGAGACCATTGCCTCGGTCTTGTCCGAGGTGGATGCGGCTTTCTCGAGTGCTGTGGCGGCGTATTCTTGAGAATTGTGTACAAGTGGATGATATATAATGAACCAATTGATGGCTCGTTCAGATTGGTTAGCGACAAATCCGTGCCGTAGATTAATCCCGGACTCGTCGTCATATGTATGTCGTGTAGGGATGAGTAGTCTCAACGCTTCATCATTCCAATCCTAGTTCTCTTGTGCCTTCAAGTACGGTGTACTGCCAACCATGCCCTGGAAAAAACATGCCTGTCCCTTTTGCCCAAAGAGATTCAAAATAACAGGTGATCTCTGGCACCATCTCGCCTCATATACCGGGGAGTGGCGGATCCGCGCCGACGGGAAGCACGATGTCCTGCAGATCAACCAACTATTTGATCCCGGAGCCATTGACAACAGCCCGTATCGATGTCCATCTTGCCGGCAGATTATCTTCGGGCGCCAACGGTTTCAGGACCACATCCGCGCTTCAGCCCATGCCAAACTCATCCCGCGGAGCCCTGACTGGAATCGTTGGCAAGGGACATGGGACCTCCTCATTACCGAAGAATCGGTGAAGATCCGTCCCACCGCGGTACCGTTTCTGCGTTTTCCGTACGGTCAGTACTAGTCCTCTGGTGTTGTTGACTGCCGGATCGTTTCCTAACCCCTCCCATCAGACATCCGGATCATAATATACCGCTTCATCTTGGTCCATCAAGCGATCGTTATTCGATCTGAGCCCAGTGTGGACATCACACAAGATCAGTTCCGACTTCGGCGCCAATATAACCCTTCTGGCAATCCCCTTGCCCTATTGATCGCGAACCGGCAAGTATATGAGGAGGCACGGATGGTCTTCTATTCCCTCAACGCCTTCTATTTCCTCTACAGCAGTTCTGTCCCCATCTTTTTGGTGGGAATTGGGCGTCACAATGCAGTATTTCTGCGCACTCTGCATTGGAATATGGTAGCACCGACGAAGAAGTACCAGCAGACGAACAGCTTTCAGCAAATGGCCAAGAACCAAAAGGCGATGATGCGGTCGTGGCTGGTTCCTTCATCTAAAAAGGATATCTGGAATGATAGACAGATGTATGTAGAGCTACAGAAGGCGATTCAGTGTCATCTTCCAGGGGAAAATGTCGTTCGACGGTGGGATGCCGGGGACTTGGGCGTGTGGTTGGGTTGGCGGGTTCGCAGACGGTTCACGATGCAGGTGGACTTTCAGCTTGAAGATGCGGTGACAATGGGGGAAGTTTCGTTTGAGTTGAGGATGCAGAGGAATCAAAGGAATCAGAGAATGTAGTGGGTGCGGGGCCACGTTGAGAAAGGAAATGCGATGGATGAGAATGAGAATGGGAAGGAGAAGGAGGATAGTGAGAGTGAGAGTGAGATGACAGACAAGAACATTGAGATGCAATCAAACAGGGTCACCTGATCCCCTCGTCGTTTCCTTCCTTGCTTTCTCTCTCTCTCTCTCTTTCTCTTTTTCTCTCTCATCCAAGTTCTCTCTCCTGATTATCACAACACATCCCTCTGATCCCAATTGTATCTGGCTCCAACATAGTCCAAAGCGATCCCAGAGTGCAAAAACCGGATGAAGTCTCCACTGATATTCATACTCATAGGATCCTCTAGTGAAGGATCATCGTGAGCTTAAGCCATCCCAGCTAGATCTACTAACCCATCGGCCAGCTGTTTAGCCTACCGCTTCTCAATCCACAGGTGATGTCAAGCTGGGAAGGGAACATCCTCAAGTACAATGCCAAGAAGGTTCTCCTGGCAATGGAACTTCCCAGGTCAAAATAATTAAAACGGAAGTACCAGGGCTAACAAAGGCTCAACCCTTGATGTCAATCAGACTGACTTTGAGTGATTCCACTAATGAGTTCGTACTCACGGGTATACCGGTAGTATTTCGAGTAACCTCATCTTCATTCCTATTACCATTCAGGCAGAAACGTTACACGATCCCACCTATTCTTGGAAAGCTCCCAATGAAGAAAAACGCATCAAGAAGAAACTGATCTGCCAGTGAATGTATGGATCTATATCTCAATCGAGCTCTGTCGTGAATAGCTGGTCCAGACAGCTGGAGTGCCCTCCATCATTCTTACATCAACCAGATTCCTCAACGTCCTCCGGATCCCTTTCCAGGAACGTTCGTCTCATTTACCGGGCTAAAACCCTTTCAAGGAAAAAAGCACCATGCCCTGGAAAGCCCAAACCTGTCGCTTCTGCCACAAACGCTACGCCAACAAGGCCGGGCTTCGGACCCATTACGAGCGGTACATTCACCGATGGCGCATCCCCGCCGATGGGGTCCACGACGTCCTGCGAATCGAAGAGCTTCTAAATGGCAACTACATAGACAGTAAAATCAAATACCAATGTCCGACCTGTTCGAAAGTCATCTTTCCCCGGCGACGCTTCATACAGCACGTTCGCGATCGACGTCACTATGGCGACCACAACTTCAAAAAGAAACAACCAACCACCAAGAGACGCCCATCATGGGTGCTCCCATTCCCCGAAGAGAGCGTCATGGTCCAAACGAAGCCATTCCCCTTTTTCCGCCTTCCCTATGGTCAATAGTATACCTCCATCCTCTCTAATAGGTCCTCCTCCCTATTAACCCCAGACCCAGATATCCGCCACCTAATATACCGCCACATCCTTCCCTCCAAAACCACCATCACTTTCCACGGCCCAACCAGAATCACCTACGCCAGCAAAGCAATGTACTTCCAAGACATCTACCTCCAATACAACCCCTACAACAACCCCCTCGCCCTACTAATCACAAACCGCCAAGTATACGAGGAAACCCGTCAAATCTTCTACTCCCTCAACACCTTCGTCTTCGACAACGACCTCTTCCTCCCCGTTTTTCTATTGGGGATTGGACGTCACAACGCGGTCTTGTTGCGCTCAGTGCACTGGCGCACCAAAATGCGGCCCTCAGGCGACAACCAGATAAGTATTCTCCGGCCGTGGCTGGATCCATCCCCCTCAGGAAGGGATATGTGGACGAGTGAACTGGCATATATCCGATTCATGGGTCTGCTTGCTTCAGAATGGGGCTTTGAGAAGATTAGGAAGATGTTTCTGGGGAGGCCGGGGGTGGAAGGAAGTGCGATGGGCTATGCGGGACGGTTTAGTGCGACGGTGGCGTTTGGGGAGACCAAGGCCTGGGTTACTTATGAGTTGTTGGAAAAGAGTTGGAGCGATGCCAAATAATGATCTCTTCGGTTGGAAGAAATGCCCGTTGCTGGATGTCGTTTTTCTCGCCCCGATGATGCTACTTGCTTAACAAGGGCCAGGGAAGACCGATTCATACTTTGCAATCTAGCTGTGCTTGATGTAATCCGGCTTATGTTACAGAATGCAAATTAGCCCTGGCAAGAGACAAAGATAACCCGAAAAAAGAACAAGCCACAGTCGACAACCAGTCTCACTGGGCATAGGTATCATAATTCATTCACAGTATCACGGATCTAGATCAGAGACCATCCAATCAAATCGCAACAAAGAAACTCTTCTCCCCCTCCTGAGGCACCACGCGGGCCTGTTCAATAATCGGATCCGCACAGCTGACCCGAATTCGCTCCGGCGTGGCCGGGCTCTCCAGACGCAACACATCCTCCACGTTCCATTGCCGCCGCGCGGCCTTGAGCGCATCCCGGATGGCAAAGAAGACCGCGCTACCCATGAACAGCGGTGGTTCACCGACACCCCGGGATCGTTGAATGGTGCGGAGATTCTCCCACTCCACGTCCTTTAGGAGACTGACGTTGAAGATCTGAGGGATGTCGCGGAATCCTGGGATCTTGTAGTTTCCAGGTCCCTTGGTCACGATCTGTCCGGAGGCCCGATGCCAGAGACTCTCTTCGGTGGTGAAGAGACCTTGCCCTTGGATAAAGGCACCTTCGATCTGGCCGTAGTCGATGCTGGGGTTGATGGTTCGGCCGACGTCCATTTTGATGTCGGCGCGCAGGGGCGTCCAGTCGCCGGTTAGAGTGTCGATCTGGACTTCGGCGGCTGTGACGCCCTGAGTGAAGTAAAAGAACATTTGGCCTTTGTTTTCGCCCCATACGTAGCCGATGTCTGGGGTGCGGTAGAAGCCCTGTGCCGAGAGGTTGACTCGGTCGAAGTAGGCGGCGTGGGCGAGTTCTTTCATGGTGGCCCCGGGCATTTTCTCCTTGTAGGGCTTCAGACGCTCGTTGAGCTGCTCGCAGGCGTTGAAGATGGCGTAGCCATTGAGATCGGAACTGGCGGATGCAGCAGTGGCGGATGTGTTTGCTACCGTGTTCGTGGCGGTCTCGGAGATGAACACGCTGGATTGAGGCACGCCGAGGGCTTCGGCAGCAATCATGGTCATCTTGGTGTGTAGGCCTTGGCCCATCTCGACTCCGCCGTGAGCAACCAGGATGCTGCCATCGTGATAGATATGGACTAGGGCACCGGCTTGGTTCAGGAACAGTGCCGTGAAGGAAATACCAAACTTGGTGGGAATGATGGCCATTCCACGCTTGGACCATTTGTGTGTCTTGTTGTACTCCTCCACGGACTTTCGCCGCTCCTCGTACGAACTTTCCTCCAAGACCTGCTTGTACATTAGCGGCACGTGCCAGTCTTTGAGCGCCTGGTTGTAATGGGTCTTCTCGTCGGGTTGGTACATGTTCTGCCAGCGGAATTGTTCGACCGGGATGTTGAGGTGGTCTGCAACCTCGGAGACGAAGCATTCAGCGAAGAACAAGCCCTGAGGGCCACCAAAGCCACGGAATGCCGTGTTGGAAACGGTGTTCGTCTTGCAGATGCGGCCGCGAACGTGGACGTTGGGAATCCGGTAGACTCCGTCAATGTGTGACAGTGCTCTTTCCACGACCGCACCAGAAAGATCCTGGGTGTGGCCACCGTTGGAGTAGACATCCGCGTCAAGAGCGAGGAGTTTGCCTTCTTTAGTCACACCGACCTTCCAGCGACAGAAAAATGGATGACGTTGGCCGGAAGTAGCAATGTCTTCATCCCGGTTGAGCATGCACCGAACAGCCCGCTTGGCCTTCGTGGCAGCAGTGGCACAGATGCCGGCTAGCTGAACCGATCGAGTCTCCTTCCCACCAAATCCGCCACCAAGGCGCTTGACTCGGGACACGATCTTGTTGGAGTCCACCCCAACAACTTGTGCGACGTAGGTTTGTCTGCGGCAATGTTAAAAAGGGTTCTATAGAAAAAGCAGATGCTGTAACTCACGTTTCTGTAGGGTTCTGAGTGCCGCTCCAGATCTCCATCTCTCCGTCTTCCAGCTTGGGAATAGCCACACACGCTTGAGTCTCGAGGTAGAAATGCTCCTGACCACCCATTTTCGATTCTCCGGTAAAGACGTAGTCTGCCTCTTTGAAGGCACTCTCGGGATCACCACACTTGATGAAGCGAGAATGTTCAAAGAAGGATCCAGCTTCGATGGCTTCTTCGATGCTCAAGATTGCCGGCAACTCCTCATATTCTACTTTAACCGCTCTAGAGCCCTCTTCCGCGATCTTGGCCGACGTTGCAAGGATCATGCCAATCGGCTGACCCGCAGTCGTAATCTCATCGACCGCGAAGAAGACCTCGTCACACTTGGGAGCACCCCACCAATTGGCCTGTGGGTTGGGAAGATCGGTGTGATCCACATAATCGACAACACCAGGGATATCAAGTGCTGCCGTCGGGTCCACGCTGAGAAGTCGAGCATGTGCTTTGGTCGAGAGCACCAGACAACCGTACAACTCGTTCTTCTGCACAGGCATATCATCGGTGTACTGTGCCTCTCCTGTAGCTTGCTTCAATGCAGAGACATGAGGGCTAGCCTTTCCGAGAATCCTCTGCTGGTATGCCGCAGAAGCCTCGTGGTCCTTTGCTCCTGAAGAGATGGCTCTTTCGATCTCCGCGATGACATCTTCATCAACATCTGCATCCCTGACCTCGATGCCAGACAATACATCGTGGTAGAACCGGTAGAAAAATCCCAGAGCGAGGGATTTGCGATAGGTTGCCATTCCTCCAGGGACACTGAACTTCAAATCGAAATCTTGCCCTAAGGCGCTCATGGTGCCCTCAAGGGTGGCGGGATTCGTGAACTTCTTACCAATCAAGAAGGCCTCTGCGTTGCGTGCAGACACGGTCATGGGTGCCAAGCCTCCAAAGACGAGATTCACGCTCTGCACATCATGGGAGGCAGAGAGGGACACCCGCAAGGCTGCATTTACAATGGCAATGTCATCATCCTTTCTCTTGGACTGCTTGTAAGCACGCATGTATTCTCCCTTCTCAGACGCAACGGGGATCCGTAGGCCGGAGATAACAGCGTTGGCCGGGAGTGCGGTCGATCTATAACCCTTGAAGAACTGATTCATAGGGATCTCAATGACCTCCCCCAGCGACATGGCCACAAGAACGGTATTAGTAGCCACAAACACTGGGTTTAGGTCCGAGATTGGAGATGCAGTAGCCAAGTTTCCGGCCGGTGATGCGACATTCCGAATCTGCCTTCCGGCAAAATAGCGGAGCTGCTTTTTAATGGCACTGAATGGTTGGCCTCGCACAGGCCCATAGCGATCAAGGGCTTCGTCACAAATCGATTCCAGATCGGTCAAAGAGACATTGGCTCCAAGTTCCAAATGGTCATCCTTCAGCGAATATTGGCGGAGCTCCGGGATATCACCGACATAGACGGAAACGCTATATTTCATGGCCTTGAATTTGACCTCAATCTGCGTCTCCGTGCTTCCTCCAATAATCTTAGCATCAGGGTGGACAGCCTTGATCTCCAACAATTGCTCGAGAGTGACCGGGCGGTACCACTTCTTCTTCTTGTTACCGAGAACCAAAGGCCGATATTCGTGTTTGTGGAGATGAGGCGGGAAAATAAGCTCCGTGCCTGGGTTGTAGCTGATAAATTCTGGCGGTGTGAACTTCGGGCCATCTCCATCTGTGGTGTCTGCCGATGTCTGCTTGCAACAACCCCCAGAGCCATTCTGCTTGTCCATACAACAACCTGTTCCCCCGTTGGCCAGAGCTTTCCCGCAGCCCTTGGGAGCTGTGAAGCTCTGGGCAGCATCCAATATAGGCCTGTATCCGGTACAGCGACACAGATTCCCGTCAAAAGCTTCCTCCACATCATGTTCAGACGGTTCGGGGTTATTGCGAATGAGGGCATAAAGGCTCTAGAATATTGTCAGCATTATTCCAGCTACCCGTGCTCCAAGACGCATACCATCACAATTCCTGGAGTGCAGAAACCACACTGACTTCCATTACCAATCGCAAGCCGTTGTTGGATTGCGTGGGGATTCTTCACATCCCCGATCCCCTCCACCGTGATGACATGTTTCCCATCCACACTTATCAAGGGCGCGAGGCAAGCATTAACCGATGCATGGTAGAGCTTCTTTGTCGTTGGATTTAGATGTGACACAACCTATCCCGGGTTAGAATATGCCTAAGTCGCAGCAAATGAACTTAGAACATACAACAGTGCAAGCGCCACAGCCACCCTCCGCACATCCTAATTTAGTTCCTGTCAACCCAATCCCGCGCAGGTATTCCAATAGCGTGACTTCAGGGTTGATCGTATCCAGGACGACTTTGGTGCCGTTGAGGTAGAAACGTATTGTATCGTCCCAGTCCTCTGTGAGTTGCGCCAAGGTAACCGCCTTACTGGCTGTCACCGTAGGCTTTGGTGAAGCCAAAATGCCTGGAGCCATCTTGTTGCCTGAAACTCAGATGCGGCAAGTCGAGTTCCCCGCAATTGTGAGGGGACGCCAAGATCGGCCAGACAGACGTGATGATGCAGTTGCTTAAGAATTAGGAAAGAATCCTACCCATGAAGAATTTCAGGGTCATGTATATAGTTAGATACTGTGAAAATGATGGTGGCGAGACGGTGAAGAAAGGGGGAAAGTTACTCCAACTCGCAGGGAGAGGCACGACCACGGAAATGGTGTCATGGAGCAGCTTATCGCCGCCCCTCACCGCGGATAACCACTGGCGGCGATCGCCACTGTCCGATGGGCGGAAACCAACGGCAGGGTCACCTGATCGTCAATCCGGCGGCTCTCACTGGTGCCCTGCTCTTCAGGGTACTGCTAGTAATATCAGGGTAGTATCGGGGTCAACGCAAGGTTGAATTCCATCGAATCTAAGACACATGACTCATCCGCTGATATAATGGTCTACGGTCGCATGTGTAGATCCTATCTCTTCTGCTTCGGGGGAAGTGGCTCGCTGTAAAGTATAGACCTAACCAGGAAAACCAAACAGTGAATTAATTTAGATCATCGAGAGATAAGGCCCTCGTATCGGCGACAGCTAGACAAGCCAGGTATCTTCAGCATCAAATCAACGCCGCTCCAAATGCTCCGATCCGTGCCCCTGTTAATTCAACATAATACTCCATGTAGGTCAAAGAGTTCCAAGCAAGCAAAGAGAAGCAAATCTACAAGAGAAGGCGATGGTATGACGTATATAATTGAAGCATTTCATGCTTTTAATTTGGCTCCAACGAAGTCTTTTTCATCCTCTTGCCATTTCGTGCGTTCCACGACGCTTCGAGCCCTAGAGACAGCAACTGATTAGCTCGAGATCTTCCCCACTTGCTTTCTTTTATGTTCCAGACGAGGAGTCTGGGCCAAATTGATTGATACCATATGGCTTTTGCTTGGTGATACGTACCGGTATGCTCTCACAAAACGCCAGACTTCGGTGTCCGCCAAGTTCCACGCCTCCGCCACATCGGTGATGCCGACCCGGTTCGTCCCTTTGCCCTTTAGGACCTCTCGAGCTTGTTTCAGTATGTTGTACTCCTTCTCGACGCCTTGCTCGCTCGGGTTGGCCTGTTGCACGCTTTCCTTCTCCTCTCCTTCATTCTTCGCATCGACCTTGCCATCACGAGGAATGCGGAACCCAAATTGCCATTCAAATTCGTCTAGAAGCTCAGATGGCAAAGATTGACCAGCCTGAGGGGGCAGAGACTCAACAGTCATCCAGAGAGAGGTGCCGACGACGGCGTCATCAGCCACAGCTCTCTTGAAAACAACGGCCCTTGGGGAACCCCCGATCTCAGTGCCCAGGTGCTCTTTGGTCACTTCGGCCAACCACACATCACGGTCTGTCTCGCGGCGGATGTGCCGTGTTGTGACTTCAGTGGAATCCTGTTGCAGGCTAATGAGTGTAAAGGGATGAGGGAGTGTCCCAATTGTGAAAACTTGGGTTGTATTCTTGTAGGTCGCCGGTTGACTGATATGCATGGGCTTCTCGGCATCACAAGGATGACACTTCTGCAGGTTCGGGGGACACGAACGCGGGACAGGAGAGCTCGGACATTGGACGAGGGCTTTCGCGAGCCGCAAGGCCGGTTCAACCAGAGCTGTAGTATGCTCGGGAAAGGGTTTCAAGACGGCAATGCCGGCTGGGAAGGCATTCTGGAAAGTGTTGTGCAAGTGGGCATTGATCAGCTCCGCCAACGCCAACCGTCCGGCGGTAGGGGAGGAGACAATCTTCTCCGCAACGGTAGGATAGAAGCTAGTAATGGCAGCCGAATCGTAGAGAGCCAACGCATTTGGGTCTTCCACCGTAAAGAATTCCGTCGGAATCAATTCCATCATGGAGGTGGACTTGTCATCCACCTTTTTCATGGCCTCCTTGATCGCATCATTAATCCGTGATTTCTCTCCAGCGAACAGAGCATTTCCAATGCGGTCGAAGCGCGTGATAAGGGCCGGGTCGGTGCCACGACGTAAGTAGGTTAACAGTGCATCATCATACCTTGCCATTGGAAAGCAGTGCCAATCTGCAAGCATACCATCACCCATGTGGCCCCATGCAAGCCATCTAAACAACTCTGCTTCCAGCTCAGGCTTCAAGTTCATAGGCTGCACCAGCTCATAGAGCTGGTTATTCATAGCCTCGCCGGGCCCTAGAATGACGGGACGGAAACCTTGCGCAAACCAAGCCCTACGCCAGGCGAGAAGGAGCTGTGCGTCGGCATTATCCTCCTCCCGATCGTTTCCCTTATTCGGCTCGTAGTAGGTATAAATGAACGGTCGATGTCTGAGAGGAGGTAGGACGGAACGGTTCTCATCGAGGGTGATGGATGACGAGAAAGGGTTGATCCACGACCAGTCGCTGAACCATTTGGACTCGCCGCTGGTGCTGTTGGGTTGCGGCTCCGGAGGGGTATGCACCGTCGGGTGGAAAGACGGCAGATGCAGGTTACTTAATGAAGGCAGTTTCGGTACATATTTGGCAGGGCCGGAGACTTCTTCTCCAGAGGAAGGGTCAGAGACCGGGGACGAAGAGAAGATGACCAAGACCAGGGCGACGAAGACGATGATGGTAATAAGAGCCGTGCTCCGGTGAGGGATCATTTTGACATGAGACGTACGGCCTGGATCAGGCCTGATCTGATGAATCAGGGGGAAATTGTAGAGTCGAAACCCGGCAGGGTCGAAAGTGCGAAGGGCGAGCGGATACTTGAGGCGTTTGCCTATCCCAGTGCGGATGGGACCCCAGTGGTAACCTAATGCGGTCAATGTTCTTTAGGGGTCAGGGGATGGAAAAGGAGCGAACAGGTGCGTGAAAGAAGGGGGGAATAACAAGAAAAGAAAGAGGTGGGGAAACGTCAGAGACACGTCCACTGAGAGAATACGAGTTCAATCCATGGCAAGCGAAGGTAAGAAGCGAGAATCGAGCACCTCAGGCAGGTCGGATGCGTAAAGCGTCGCACTTGTTCCTGATCGTATCGTTGCGTTGCCGCGTCTCATCAGCCCCAATCCGGGAATCCTGGGCAGAAGGCCCAGAGCCTAGACCCAAGCGGGTAAGTTGGCGCTGACTTGCTGGATCGGGACTAGTGGTGAGCCACCGCCGCCTGTGGCTCAGCAGAAGGCGGTGAGACCGACATGAAAGAGCGAAAAGAGGGTCGAGTGTGGGGTGAGTTGCACCGCAGATTGTGGTTAGTGTGGTCTGTGTGTGGTGTGCAGCCGACATCGGCACTTTTTCTCGCGTGCCCCTCTTGACTCATCGCTCTTCTCCCCATCAATCATCTTCATTATTCTTAGCCATTCCTATTCATTCACACCCGCCAGCAGCTCGACGCCCCCTTCAAGTTTCAAGGGCATCGCAACTGTAACCATGGCGGTCGAAACAGTCTCCTTACAGGAGCGCCTCGAGCGATGGGCCCAGAGACTCCAGAACCTCACAGTCTCTCCCCTCACCAGAGATTATCCCGACAACCAGAAGCAGGAGCTTCCCAAGAGAGCAATTGAAGCTTTTGAGTCGATCAAATTGTCCAAGGAGACCCAGTCCGCCTTGCAGAAGATCTCCGGCTCCTCATCGGGGTTTACTGTCTTCCTGACGGCCTTCGTCGTGCTCGTCGCGCGCCTCACCGGCGACGAGGATATTGCCATCGGAACTAGTTCCAATGATGATGGCCGACCCTTCGTCCTCCGGGTCCCAATTGAGGCATCTGAAACCTTCCTCCAGCTGTATGCCAAGGTCCAGAAGGTATGATCATGTAGGGTGGCGTATTATATATCCCGTCTGACCCTCATCTAGGCATTCGAACAAGGATCTGCCGAGATCGTACCTTTAGGCAGTCTACGGTCCTATATCCAAGAAAAGTCTCAATCTGAGCGCTCCCCCGTTCTCTTCCGCTTCGCTGCCTATGATGCCCCTGCTGCCTCTCAGGATTATCCTGCCAACACCTTTGAGACAACCGACCTGGTTGTCAACATCGCCCCCATCAGTGCATCGGATGGCTCCACGGCTCAGGCGGAATTGGGTGCATACTACAACCAAAGGCTTTTCTCGAGTGCGAGAATCTCTACGATCCTCAAGCAGCTTGCCCGTCTGGTTGAAAATGCGACCAGCGACCCAGAACAAGCAATTGGGCGCATTGATTTCATGACCGAGGACCAACTGGCCCTTCTTCCCGACCCGACCTCCGATCTAAACTGGTCTAACTTCCGGGGTGCCATCCATGACATCTTCGCTGCCAATGCTGAGAAGCACCCAGAGAAGCTTTGCGTGGTGGAGACTAAGTCGGAGCGGTCTCCTCACCGCGAGTTCACATATAAGCAAATCAATGAGGCGTCGAACATTCTGGGCCATCATCTGGTCCAGTCGGGTGTGGAGAGAGGCGATGTCGTCATGGTGTACGCCTACCGTGGTGTCGACCTTGTGGTGGCCGTGATGGGTATTCTGAAGGCCGGCGCGACCTTCTCCGTCATTGACCCAGCTTACCCTCCGGAAAGACAGTGCATCTACCTTGATGTGGCTCGCCCTCGGGCACTGATCAACATCGAGAAGGCTACCAAGGATGCCGGTGAGCTGTCCGAGGTGGTCCGCTCATTCATTGACAAGAATCTGGAGCTTCGCACTGAAGTTCCCGCCCTTGCTCTTCGCGATGATGGCTCCCTCGTGGGCGGATCGATCAATGGGCAGGATGTGCTGGCCAACCAGGTTTCACTGAAGGCCCAGCGTGTTGGTGTCGTTGTCGGACCGGATTCTACCCCTACGTTGTCCTTCACTTCCGGCTCCGAAGGCAGACCCAAGGGTGTTAAGGGTCGTCACTTTTCTCTCGCATACTACTTCCCGTGGATGTCGGAGACCTTCAAGCTTAACCCCAACGATCGGTTCACCATGCTCAGCGGTATCGCTCATGACCCGATCCAGCGAGATATTTTCACGCCTCTTTTCCTGGGAGCTCAGCTTTTGGTCCCAGCTCGGGAAGACATCCAGAACGAAAAGCTCGCCGAATGGATGCGCGAGTACGGAGCCACTGTTACCCACCTTACCCCTGCCATGGGTCAAATCCTTGTTGGTGGTGCTTCGGCTCAATTCCCCACGCTTCACCATGCCTTCTTTGTCGGTGATATCCTGATCAAGCGCGACTGCCGCTCCCTGCAGGCATTGGCCCCGAACGTCAACATTGTCAACATGTATGGAACGACTGAGACTCAGCGTGCGGTCAGTTACTTCGAAATTCCGAGCTACTCGAGCGATGAGGGCTATCTCGACACCATGAAGGACGTTATTCCGGCAGGTCGGGGAATGCTGGACGTTCAGATGTTGGTGGTCAACCGCTTCGAGCCCAGCCGCATCTGTGCCATTGGTGAAGTTGGTGAGATCTACGTCCGCGCCGGCGGTCTTGCCGAAGGCTACCTGGGCTCCCCAGAATTGAACCAGAAGAAGTTCCTCAACAACTGGTTTGTCGACAATGACAAGTGGGTTCAGAAGGACAAGGCTGAGGGTTCAAACGAGCCCTGGAGGCAGTTTTACCAAGGCCCTAGAGATCGCTTGTACCGTAGTGGAGACCTGGGCCGTTACACTCCCTCGGGAGAGGTCGAGTGCTCCGGACGTGCAGATGACCAGGTGAAGATTCGTGGTTTCCGTATCGAGCTGGGAGAAATCGATACTCATTTGTCCCGCCATCCCTTGGTGAGAGAGAATGTCACCCTGGTGCGACGTGACAAGTTCGAGGAGCGGACCCTGGTCAGCTATTTCGTGCCGGACATGAGCAAGTGGTCTGCTTGGCTGCAGGAGAAGGGCTTTGAGGACGACGACTCCGCTGAGGGAATGGTTGGCATGCTTAGACGCTTCCGTCCTCTTCGTGACGATATCCGTGACTTGCTTCGCAGCAAGCTCGCCTCCTACGCCGTGCCGACGGTGTTCATCCCCCTCAAGCGCATGCCTCTTAACCCCAACGGCAAGATTGACAAGCCTGCGTTGCCCTTCCCCGATACTGCAGAGCTTAGCGCCGCGGCTCCTCGTCGCAAGTCATCTGTGGTTCAGGCTCTGTCTGAAACCGAGCAGGCGCTGGCTTCGATCTGGGCCCAACGCATCCCCAACCTGACGGCTCGGATGATCGGACCCGACGACTCCTTCTTCGACCTTGGAGGACACAGTATCCTGGCGCAGCAAATGTTCTTCGACATCCGCCGCAAGTGGCGCGGAATTGACATTAGCATGAACGCTATCTTCCGTAGCCCTACTCTCAGAGGTTTCGCCGCCGAAATCGACCGCCTGCAGAACCTCGAGTCGTTCGCCACCAACGACGCTCGTCCCACTGATGCGGATGCGTCGGCCACCCCGGATGAGCTCGATGACGAATATTCGAAGGATGCACGGAAGCTGGCAGAGACTCTGCCTGCCACTTTCCCCACTCGTACCGAGCCCATCCTTTCCAGCGAGCCAACCATCTTCCTGACTGGTGCTACCGGTTTCTTGGGCGCGCACATCCTGCGTGATCTCCTGACTCGCAAGTCGCCCATGGCGAAGGTGGTGACTCTGGTGCGTGGCAAGTCCGATGAGCAGGCGCTTGAGCGTATCCGTTCTACCTGCCGTGCCTACGGTTTCTGGGATGAGGCATGGACTAGCAGGCTGCAGTGTGTGTGCGGTAACCTGGGAGAGCCCCGCTTCGGTTTCTCAGATGCGCTTTGGGATGACTTGACCCAGCGTGTGGATGCCGTGATCCACAACGGCGCTCTGGTGCACTGGGTCTACCCTTACTCTACTCTTAAGCCCGCCAACGTCATGGGTACGATCGATGCGCTTAAGCTTTGCGCAACCGGCAAGCCCAAGCAGTTCTCCTTCGTCAGTTCCACCAGCGTTCTCGACAGCGACCACTATGTCTCGGAATCCGAGCGTATTGTTGCGGCTGGCGGAGCCGGTATCAGCGAGGAGGATGATCTCGAGGGCAGCAGCGTGGGACTTGGAACAGGTTACGGCCAGAGCAAATGGGCCGGAGAGTACCTGGTCCGGGAGGCAGGCCGCAGGGGTCTGAAGGGAACCGTCGTTCGTCCTGGATATGTCCTTGGTGACTCCCAGACAGGAAGTAAGCAAAAACCCCAGTTTTCTCCTCCGATCCATCCGCGCTAACCTACAAACACTAGCCACGAACACCGATGATTTCCTCATCCGTATGCTCAAGGGATGCATCCAGTTGTCTTCCCGTCCTAACATTCACAACACCGTCAACATGGTTCCAGTGGACCACGTCGCCCGCGTGGTTATCGCCGCCGCATTCCAGCCCCCTTGCACGCCCATTGGCGTTGCGCAGGTTACAGGACACCCGCGACTCCGGTTCAACCAGTTCCTGGGTGCTCTCCAACTGTACGGCTATGACGTCCCGCAGGTTGACTACGTTCCCTGGTCCAAGTCCCTGGAACAGTACGTCAACGACGGACAGCACGATGATCCGGAGTCTCAGCACGCCCTGTAAGTCTATCCACCCCTTCTCATCATCCCATCAAGACGCTAATAACGCAATCCAGCATGCCCCTCTACCACTTCGTGACATCCGATCTCCCCTCCAACACCAAGGCCCCCGAACTCGACGACGTCAACGCCGCCGCCTCCCTCCGTGCCGACGCCACCTGGTCCGGCATCGACGCCTCCGCCGGCGCCGGCGTGACCGAAGAGCTGGTCGGTCTGTACGCCTCCTACCTCGTGCAGATTGGATTCCTTCCTCCCCCGACCGCCGCATCGACTGCATCTCGTCCGCTGCCCACGGCCCAACTAAGCGAGGACCAGAAGAAGGCCCTCGCCAACGTTGGTGGTCGTGGCGGTTCCGCATAGATTCAGACTTAATCGCTAGCGTGCTTTTTTGTTCTTTCTTGCGTGGGTTTCTATGCTATGCTATGATACATATCCAGCGTTATGATGTTTGGGGGAGTACTATGATAAAAGTTTCTTGGATGGCATGTTGGGATTATGAAAATGTGTACAGATGGAATATTCAGGGTGGTATAGTGGGCTGGGGTTAGAGGGTAGATGTGGAAGACTTTCTATGGATAATGAATGTATTTAGATTTTTTTTTTCAGATTGATACTATCTTATGAAGAGTGCCAGGTTCATTTGTTATTCTGGGATACTAAAATTTGTAGCTGTATACGACTCATGATATGAAAGAAATCACCACTACATCTACGGGTTAACATGCACTTCAATCGATGCGGATCAACTATCATTCGTATACTAAGTAATCAAGAAGCCAGACTAACGATCATAAGGAGCGACTGAACAGCAAAGCACAAAAACAGGTAAGCACAAAAAGCAGAAAACTCAAAGACAAAAAACCCGAAATATAATTCAAACTGGATCCGCATCAACGAAACTCAACTACCACTGTGAGGACACACTCCCATTGGAGATCCTAAGGGGCGCGGCGCGCCCACTAGGTGGACCAGGTCGCATCACCGGTGTCAGGGCCCTGGAAGGTAAAGGCCGAGGCCTCCTGAACGATACGCGCAACGGGCTTGGAGGCAGAGTCGGTGAGATAGAAGTCAATGATGAATTTCTGGGGTGTGGGTTAGTGGCGAGATCTGGACAGTGAGTGAGTGAGTGGGTGGGGAGGGATTGTGGCATACGCTTCCATCCATGTAGACCTGGACGCTCTGGTTGCCCTGGAGGGACTGCTGATCGTCGTAGTAGACGGTAGCACTAATAGAGTTAGAGGTTGTTTGTTGGGGTTGAATCTGGAGTAGGTGAGACATACTTGATATAGGCGCTGGTAGGCCTGAAGAAGCCAGCGGCTTCACCCTTGACGGACTGACCCATACTCTTGGAGTTGAGGTCAAAGGTCAATTCGACGCGGTTGATGTTGACCTTGCCGCTGATGCGGTCGTGGTAGTTCCAGTGGTAGCAGGAGCATGAGTTTGCATGCGACAAGGAGGCCTCCAGGACCTGCCGGCCCAAGGGCCGGTTGATCTTCTGCTGGAATGCCCGCTTGATTTGCACCTCGGAGACGTCATGACCGTCGGCGCTGTCGATGGTCACTTTGCGGAAGAGCTGCAGGAGCTCTTCGTCCGAAGCGCCCTGGTGGGTAATTGTCTGGAGAGACAATGTCTGGGCAGGAGGAGCAGTGGTCACAATGGTAGACATATTGAATACGAGTGATGGTTTGGATTGATGTAGAAAGGCTGAGAGATGGTCTCTGTCTTTGCTGTGCGAGCTGTGCTGGTGATGATGCTGAGAAGGAGGGCTATGAAGGGTGAAGGTCCTTCCTTATATAGTTGTGGAATTGGATCATGGCCTGGGCTCAGTTCAGCTTCTCTTTGCCGCCCGGAAGACCTGAGTGGATGCGCATGGCAGAGCCACTTCGAGTCGACTCTCAGAAGCATGCCAATGGAAACCTCGCTACGAACTACCATCTGCATGATGAATCACATTCAGCTGCCCTTGAACCCTCGGATCTCTGGGATAGCGACACGGTCTCTCCATTGGGCATGAATCCTGCAATGTGCTGAGCAATTGCTCGCGATGAGTATCCCTATCTAGACTGAATGACTCTGGAGTGAGCGACCCAGCTAGCCACAATCACATCTGAGATGTGAGGGCCGTGAGCATTCACAAGCTGCCGGCGGCTGCTAACGCCAGTAGCCTGGTGGCTGAGCACAGGCTACCTTTGAAGTTCATGTCATTGCTCGTCGGCTTTCTTGACTATCGACCATTATTGGTTGATGATGTGCAGCTGGTAGGCAATTACAGGAACAGAAACCCCGACAAGGTATGTTGAGTGTCTACATGAAGCAAGGCTGCTAGCCATACAAGTGAACTCGTTTGCTTGGAGGAGGGTTCTCAACAACTGCTGCGATGTGATGAGAGGCTGACCCAGTTTGCATCCATCTTGGCTATAGAGTGTCCAGTGAGGTCTTGTCGATGTGAGTTGAGAGAATTGAAAATAGCGCAAATCCAATCATGAAGACCGGAGATGTAGTCGGGTATACCTCCCCGCGCGTCATGTTGGAAGCCACATGCATGCAAAGACATTGTATCACTGAAAGGAGACATGTTCATCCAGCGAGTCAGCGTTGGATAGGAGCCCCACCCTCATCGCCTGCATGAATCGGGTAAACTGTCTAGATGTTTATCAGCTCAGGCACAGTGGATTGTTTAATCAGGTGGACGTCTATGCAGACGTCAGGCTGTTATTACGCAAGTCACTCAGACTGCAAAGGGGACCGATTGGTGCCGTTGGAAAGCGGACCAGGTGCTAAGGGGAACTCATGCAGTCAGTCCTGCAGAAGCTGGCTGAACCGCCCACAACCAATAGCATCGGCCGGATCAATGCTCGACAGGCTGTGATCAGACCCAGCTCGGGAATTTTTACCACATTTCATCCTCCTCGCCGGGGTTTCCGGTCTGCTCGAACACCATGACATACAGAGCCTGGCTTGACTTATCCTTCAGCCAGCCCTTGATGCTCCTCTGCATTCGTCTGTGCCGTTCGTCCTGCGGGAGGGGCCACTCGGCCGGGCTGAAGCCAAGCCATATGTTCCGTGACACCTGCGCCACGTGCATGAGGGTGCACAGCATGGCTGATGGTCGCGAACAGGAACAGTCAGGTGCACCACTGATTTTGTCGCCCTGCCAGTCTGGACTTCTGAGCTCTGAAATCCCCAGTGGTCCGTCATCCTGTCGAGTGGGTTTTCCCCGGGAATCCCGTTATTCTTGGGGCAGCCACCAACTCTGTTCATTGGCGGGGTCCGAGGGACGAACTATCCTTAGGAGCTGAGTGATGCCTATACTGGTCACGGAGGATACTCCAGGGATCTAGGCTCACGGCATTCAAAGACAGTAGAAAGCGATGTCACTGACCACCTTCTGGAGTATCATCGAAGAGAGAAAAGGACGACGGAGGAAAAGAAGGGAAGAAGAAGGGGAACCCAGTCAGCAAAGCGCCTATCACGGGATCCCCACCTGATTGCCCCTCCTTTATTCCCCCTTCTCTCTGTCTTCTTCCTCAACCATCTTCTCCCTTGGCTTCTCGCCAACTTCTGGCTCTCTTTGGCCATGACTTGCAAGATGCGCAGACTCAACCCTGCGAACTATTCCCGACATTCGGGCCCGATGCTGGAGCGTCGCTCAACCCGAGGAAGCAGGTCGGTTATCCATCGGCTCTGCACATCATCGCTTCGCGGTTTCGGCAGTTCCAGTGGGGAACTTGGAGGAGCAACTTAAACAAGCTCGCTCCGAGCTATGCCTCATTGCCTCCCCAACTCAATTTAGCGCAGGATTGATAAGCAGCTTCTAGTCCCTGGAAGCGGGTCCTCTCTTTATGACTCCTTCCAGATCCTCTACCATTTTTTTCTTAGATTATCCCATACACGACGCCGATTCAGCAGTAATTCCGACTTGTCAGTGCCCCTTGCGTTTCTTCATTCTCTCCGCGCCTATCCGGGTGCAGGTCGGGATGACATCATGGCTAACCATTGGGTTTGCAGTCCAATTCGAATACCACCATGGCCTCCACCAACGAGATGGAATATGTCCGGTATGTAGACTGCAATTGCTCTCAACCCCTACCCGGCTAACGCTATTGTCATATAGCCTGGGAAACTCAGGCCTGAAGATCTCCAAGGTCATTCTGGGTACCATGTCCTATGGCGCCAAACAGTGGCAAGATTGGGTGCTGGACGAGGAGGACGCCCTTCCTTTGATCGAGCATGCCTACAAGCGTGGAATCAACACATGGGATACGGTACGTCGAGCTGCAGTCCTTCTTCCAGGATGTATGACTAACAAAACCCCAGGCTGACGTCTACTCTCACGGTCGTTCGGAAGAAGTCATTGGCAAAGCCCTGAAGAAGTACTCCATCCCCCGTAACCGGGTTGTCATCCTGACCAAGTGTTTCTTTGGTGTGGACGACCAAGGGGGCTTTCCTTCAATTGCTGCTTCCGGTCGCAATGATGGTGAATTCGTCAACCGGGTTGGTCTGTCCCGCAAACACATCTTCGATGCTGTCGACGCTAGTGTCGAGAGACTAGGAACCTATATTGATGTGCTGCAAATCCATCGGTTGGATCGCGACACCCCCCGTGAGGAGATTATGAGGGCTCTCAACGACGTGATTGAAAGTGGGAAGGTCAGGTACATTGGGGCCAGCTCGGTAAGTTTTTCAGTTGTCCCGCTCTCCCTCCAGTGACCTTTTAGACTCGCTTACACACCCTCTAGATGGCTGCATGGGAGTTTCAGACTCTCCAGAACATCGCTGCTCGCAATGGCTGGCACCAGTTTATTTCCATGCAGAACTACCACAATCTGATCGCTAGAGAGGAAGAGCGCGAGATGATCCCCTACTGCCTAGACACCGGTGTGGGTTTAATCCCCTGGTCACCCATGGCTCGGGGTGTCTTGGCCCGGCCCTGGGGATCCCGCTCCACTGTTCGTGAGTCTACGGACGGGGCTCTCAAGCTTCTGATCCGTAGCCGCGAGACAGAGTCGGACAAGGCGATCGTCGACCGTGTCGAAGAGATCGCCAAGAAGAAGGGCGTCAGCATGGCCCAGGTGGCCATCGCTTGGTCCCTGAGCCACCCTAACGAGAACCCCATTCTTGGCCTCAGCAGCAAGGAACGGATCGACGAGGCCGTTGCCAGTATCAAGGTGAAGCTGACCGATGAGGAGATCAAGTACCTGGAGGAGCCTTACATCCCTAAGGCTCCCTCTGCCCTGGAGCGGTAAGGGATAGAATACAATTTTGAATCAAAGCCAATTACACCACCTCCTAGTATCATGATATAGATTCTGAGCTAGCTCCGCCCGCGCGACTATGTATCGGTGTCAACATTATCCCCCTAAATGAGGTCCTCGCACAGTCACTATGCTGACTCATGCTCAAAATACTGCCGGCCCCGCTCTTCTGTCTCGATATTCAGTTGCTCGATCAAGAGAGAGGTGAAGAACCCGACCCCACCAAAAGCTGTCAAGATATAGTAAATGGTCTGCATGGCATCCTTGTACGCATCGCGTATCTCACTCTGGAGTAACGGAGATAGAGCGGCGGTCCTGAGGTGAGGAATATAGCTTACGGCTTCTTCCGCCGTTCTGAGAAATTCCAACGACTCTGGCAACGAGACTGACGAAAGAGAGTGTTCGAAAACACTTCCAAACGTCGTGGACCCGATGGCAAGCCCGACGAGGGCCCCAAAGAGGCGGAATGAGACCATGATCCCAATAGCCAGGCCTTGATCTTCCGCAGTCGGAGCGCTGGCTTGCATTGGAATAGGCGGGACCGTAAAGAGCGTCCCAATCCCGACTCCCGCAATAGCCTGAAAGCTTGCCGTCATTGCAAGGTCGGTATCACGATGCCAAAGCGAGAACAGCCCAACCCCGACAGTCAGGAACACCCAGCCCCCCCAAATCTCCCAGCGGTAACTCCGGGAGTATTCCAGCGCCCAGGCCGCGATGACCGTGAAGCCCATGAGGACACAGCAAAAGGGGAGCATCGAAATAGCGGATTCCAGTGCCGATTCTAAATACACCGCCTGGAAGAACAAGGGCAGATACATTAACAGAGTGTAGAGTACGAGGCCCTGGATGAAGCTTCCAATAAGGGACATCTGGGCTGTCCGGGACCGAAAAATGCGATATGGAAACACTGGAGCTTCTGGTCGAGATTCATAGACAGCGAAGCCCACCAGCACCAGCACTCCGATCACCAAGGGAACAATCGTCTGCCAGGATCTCCACGGGTACATGTTCCCCGCCCAACTCAGAGGCAATGCGAATACCGTGCATCCGATTGTGAATAGCACGATCCCCAGCCAGTCCAGCCGTGCAAGCTGCGTACGGAATGAGTCGGTAACCGGTTTGAGACGCATGAAGAAGATTGCCAGCAGGACGGCGATGCCAATGATGGGAAGATTGATCCATCCAATCCACCTCCAGTCCACAAACTCGCTGAACAACGCCCCAAGGATGGGTCCCAAGATACTACCAGCTGCCATGGGAATTGATAGCAGACCGATATACAGGGCGCGCTCCTGGAGAGTTGTCATATCCGCAACAATAACCTCACTGAGAACGTCCAGGCCACCACCTCCTAGTCCTTGTAGCACCCGACCTAGAATAAGCACAGCCATACTTGGGGTGACGGAGAAGACAATAGAGCCGACGAAGAAGAGGGAAAACGCGGCATAGAGCGGGAGCTTTCGTCCAATAATGTCGGAAACACTGGTATAGATCGGCTGGACGACCACGACAGCCAGGGTGAAGGAGATGCTGGCCCAGAAGGCTGTGAGCGTGGTCCCGGACAGCTCACTGGTAATGGCCTAGGACGTCAACGTGAGCTTGAAACCCCACTGCTAGGAAAGGATATCCAACCGGTGCTTGGCACATGGTAGGAAACATACCGGAATAGCGACGGCCAAAGTGGTTGCATCAAGTGATACCAGAAAGACCATCAGCATCAAGGCAAAGAATGCGAGAAAAAAGGACCACGGCTTCCTGCGGCGGATACCATCTCGCGCCGGGGCCACTGGCAGAGACAGAGTCGATGCATCCAGGCCCACCGATTTCTCCCGGTCACAGTCCGACAGGGCCTTGGAGTCGGTAATGGAGATGCCCTCACAGCACTCTGACATGGCTACTTGAGACATATACCCTGGGATGGCCTCGAATGGCTGTACCCTGAGAGAGCTGACCTGGAAAAGTGCATAGCAACGTACTTTTAGGGCTTCTCCCTCTGTCCCACGTCAGACTGCCAGCAAGGCATCGAGCCATTACTAATTGTCGCGCATTACTAATGTTCATCTAGAATAGGGACATCGTCTGACCTTCAATATCGCTCTAGCGCACGTGGATTGGTTGGGTTGGTGAAGCTTATATTGACGCCATATAATCCCTGCCTGATAATACGCCTTTTAGCGCGCCTGAGCTGTCAAACCGGCTTCCCGACCAGAGCCTTCGTCTTTATCGGGTATCGCTTTGCCTGCGATCGTTAGGCGCATGGCGCTTATTCGCTACTTCATCTTGCAGGAGCGATCCTTCTGGACTAGCCTGACCTAAAAGACGCGCACGCATCTATATACGTGAATAATTTAAGAAAGTATGTGACGGCTTACCCTAAACCCTCCCACGAGGCACCACTACCTAAGAACTGTGACGACACCATGCTGTCACTACTCACTGCAGCTATCTTGCAAGCGTAAGCCTGAGAATACTATCTTCGATGATGCCGACATTATATCTCCTAACTCAGACGAACCATCCCAATCCCAGTCAAGAGCTGTGAACGTAGCCGGGCCAGAACCAGCTGAAGATCTACCAAGAACACTAGCAAGCAAGCAAGCAAAGGTCTATCATGGAAGAGCATCAGAAATGAACTTCATTGAGTTTCTCTTGGGGGGGGAAGAGGGGAAATGTGTCTTGTTGAAGAGGTAAATGGGAGTTGTTTTGATTTCACCTGATTGATTCTAGTGGATCTAGGTAAGATAACATCCCGGTGGGTTTGTAGTCTACGGAGGGAGAAAAGACAAGGTCAAACTAAAACAGAGAAGAAAAGAACAAGGGAAAAGGGAAAAGATAAATGATGGCGACATCAAGGCCAAGCACCTTCCATAGTAGCAAGGTGAATAGCGTACGTTGTAGATGGCATAGTATTTATAATTAATGACTGAGCCACGCAGGTGGCTGGAAGATTCATCTTCTACTTGGGTAACGAATATGTGCATTTCATGAGATATTTTCATTGTTCTTATTCTTATTTTCATCGTTCAGGGGCCTTTCCCCACAATCTACAAGGTATTTACTTCTGTCGAACATTATTTCCCCCTCCAAGCAATCAATGCTGTGTGGATCATAGTTCGGACATATACACGGTCTGGATGACGATGTCGGAAGAGAGAAGCGGGAAGGAGCGCTATCAGATTTCTGTCGTAGTATTCATATCGCTGGTAAGAGCAAGAGCTGAGAGCTGGTGTGTGGAGGATAGTCATGAGGGGTAGATGGAAAAAATGGGGGGCCAGACACCCCGTGCAAAGGATTAGCAGTAGCTCTGAGCTTGTAGAAGGTTCCTGCCACATGCATACAAAGTGACCTCGGCGCCAGGCTCTCGTGTCACACTTGCAGTGCCTAGAATGTAATCTTGTGAAGATATCACAAGAGCTTCTCACCTCTGCAAGAGGGAGGTAGGAATCGAAGATAGTGTGAAAGCAGAAGAAGTATAATGAAAGCGCCAATTCTCGAATCGTGTGTGACGTAAGCTCCAGGCTTCGCTCAATGGTGGTGTCCTGTTTTCCGGATGATGAAGTCGAAGAGATTGCTGATCCGATGGCGGCGCTTTCCCTTTGTAGGGACAGATTCTCCAGCCGGTGACTTGATGTCAAGGTCGCGGGACATGTCGACTTGACGGGACTGAGGGTTTTCAAAAGCTTGCGGTTGGTTTGATCTATGGTCGGGAGTCGCGATCTTTTTAGGGGTTTGAATGTCCGACTTCCTATGGGACCATAACCGGCGGCTCTTTGAATCCTGCCGAGCAGGGGTGGCCTCCTCGGCCTCGTCCTGTCTCTGTTCGCGAGGACTGGAAAGTGTACCGTGTCGGTTGAGTCGGCCATTGCTCCCCGAAGCACGCCGGTTGGTGCGCTCAATGAAAGCTGCTCCAGTAGAATTGGACCGCCTCGATAAGCTCCCAAACGTTGACCGATCGGAAGTCGTGGTTTGCGAAGGCACATGGGTTGAAGTTGAGAGGCGGTGTCGCGAACCATTCAGGACAGACCCATCATCGTGACCGTTCTCCTGTTCACCGAACTTATCACTATCCACTCTAATGGCCGTTGGCGAGCTATGTCTCGACGGACACATCGTCTTCGAGTTGAGCGCCATGGCCGAGTCATCGTAAGTGAAGTTGTGTGACCAGCCCTCTCTAAATGCGACCCATATGCTGGTGACGATGATCAACATGCGGAGTTCATTGTCGGTTGTCATGACCTTCCGATCCGGTGAGTCTTCCATCTCGGACAAATCGCTCATCACGGACATGGCGGAGGTTGGCGAGCTAGCAATGCCAGGAGCCGTTGGCATCGAGAACTCATCGTACACCTCAAGGTAATTGCGAGTCATCGTGCCAACAACAGGATGGCGACGAGTGTTGGGGTTGATCACACTGAATGTGAAGCGCTTGCTGTCTTCTTGAGGTGCGAAACCTGGGGGTGCAGACACACGACGATTCTTTCCTCCTCTCAGAACCCACCGCAGGACTCGGATACCATGGTCGGTATTGGCCACAAACTCATAAGAACCGTTCGCAAGAGGCGTAGCCTCCCATACGGGTCCATGGTTCAGGCAGATCTCCGCTTTTCCTTTCGCAAGGGCATCGTCCCTGAAGAGCTGACATATCGTTGCGACCACCTCCCGCTGCTCTCCACTTTCATCATCGGAGCTCAGATATTTGTCCCCCACATCTCCAGGCGCCCGCTCATAGAGGTCGCTAGTCACGACAATGAGGTCGTTGGGACCTAACCCTTTCTTGCCCCGGAATATTGTCGGAAACTTGCGAGCTAGAGGAGGTAGGAACACGGTTGAGGGTAACACGTCCAGGATGGGGAGGGGTCGTGGAGTTTGCGAGACACGTTGGAGCTGCAAGAGAAGCTTAGGCCGGAGCTTTAGTCGCCTATGGCGTGCGTGGGCCGCGGGGTGCGCTAGCTGGTATGACGTTTTAGGCCGCGACGATTGTTTCCGAACCGATTGCGAACGGGCGATCCTTGATGGAGCTAGAACTGGCGCGATGGTTGAACGCTCGTCATCGCTCGAAGATAATGTATCGATTGTTACCTTCCGCGACATTGTACGCTGCGTCATCTCGGGTTCCGGAGTTTTGTGGCGGTTGTAGATGCTTCCCAGGCCCCAAGATGGCAAGGAAGCGAATGATATGGCCGGGGACGAATGGCGCGTCGGGCCAGGCAGCTGAGTTTCGGTCGGAGAACCGAGGAATTCGTTTTCGTGAGCTGCTGCCGCATCCGCTGTCAGACCAAGGTTGAATAGCATAATCTCAGGGGATGCGACAACGTCTGTCAATTCTCCGAGCTCAACATTGACAAAAGAGACGGGGGTGGCGGCGACAGGTACGGATAAGAATGACGGCGCAGAGTGTGGCTGTGGCTGACAGGGTACGTCAGTCAACTAAGCCCTGCCCAGCTAATTGACTAGGCCTCGTATTCGAGCTAGTTGTTGTGCTGAATAATTCGGAGCAATGAAAAAGGGGAGAACCAAGAGAGAATAGACTGGGGAAGAGGGGAGTCGAGAGGCCAGGGGGGTGGGCGGGTGGAATATAGTATAGCAGGGGAAGTATGAGCGTGACCGGCACGGCAATCAATGGTCGACCCCTCCACCTGAAGAATAAGGCTGAGGCGGAGTGGACAGAAGAAGGAAGGGATTGAGGTCAGCGTACGAGGCAAAAATCGATCAAGAGATAAATGGGAAGATTTTCAGACGTCGTACGACGTGGACATTTGGGGAAGGGAAATGCGCAAAGAGTGGGCGGGAGGATGTAAGGGAGAGCAGACAGGTGGGTTGGGGGTCCAGATGCGCCTTAATACTCAGTGCAATCCGTGAAGAAAATAGCAGATTCAGGATCGCATGTCAGATGGATTGAGAGATCAACATGGCGGTCAAGATCCCACCATGGGTTTTAAGGGCAATAGTCACTCAAAAATCATGCTAAATAATTTCCTCAGAATGAGCGGGGGGGGTGGTGAAGTGGATAAAAAAGAAAAGAAAAAAAAAAGCCCTCCCAAAAGAAAAAATACCCGCAGAGAAGTAACGAGCCCACATGGACCAACACTGACAGAACAACAGTGGTTCAGAGTATTTCCACTAAGATCCCGCTTGGGTATACTTCTCGGCGGCTGTGACTCGAGGGACGGACGCTCCATCGTCGGAGGCATCGACAGGTCCCGCGGGATCTAGAGTCCATCAGCCCGCCAAATCGGGGGCAAATTAGTGTTCAAGGAACAGAGTGGTCGTCTGGTCGCGCTGCATGAACCGCGTCCTCGCATTCATGGCCACAAGCAGCTAGCCGACGATCCTCGGGGCGACCCAGACGCCGAGGTGCATCCATTGATCCATTCATTGGAGGTTTGCTCCCATTCGGCGGATTACTGGCTGCGTCGTATCGCGTATTCTTGGCTCGTATCAATAAGTGCAGCAAATATTAGGAGATCCGGATCATGGAATGATGGAACTGATGGAAGATGGGGAAAGGAGGCTGGAGAATTAGGTAGCTTTGACTTCCGACGCTCCGAAGCCAGTCAGTCGGTCGGTCGGTCGGAGGCGGATTATGCAATCGTGCTTAGCTAATGAAAGGCCGATCATCCCCTGTTATGCATCCTCCATCAACTCCGTAGGTTACGATGGAGAGTAGCGTCTTCCCCATACCTCCCCATCAGGATCCTCAACTTCATACGGAGTACAGACAAAGTATCTACATACCCTCCTATCTTGGAAACATGCCGCCAATAATGTACCTAGGTACACAGGAGAGACAGACCTATTAACCTTCAAACCCCACTCATAAATTGTGATCAGTCCCCGTAAGGATTATTATGACCTGCACCCAGAACGATCGCAGACCTTCGGACTCTGGGATCTTTCCAACGGAACCGGAAGCTCCGACTTGCCGGTACAGCGTAAGGTCCGCACCGTTCCATGGACCGGGTATCGGATTTTAGAGGCAGCAACTGCGCAGAGAGCTTTTGCAAATTTTGGGGTGGAACCGTCGCTGGATCCGCTGACTCAGTGTGACGGAGACCAGCATAAGGCTGATTTTGGTGCGAAATCCTGTCACCAAGTGACCAAACAGCTAAGCAGATCATTGGCGCCATGAAACATCTGCTCCCAAGTGCTGGTACTACGGTGTACCCAGCACTGCGGAAGCATATACTTTCCAGCTAGTAAGCCTTGCCCAGCGACCTAAGCTTGATCCTCGTATTGACTGATTCGGAGGCTAGCTGGCACTCTCACCTCGCATCCTCAAGTCGGTCGGCGGCGCCCTCCTGATTCCGACCGAATGACTTTCTGGGTCGGGCTTGGCATTACGATCTAACAAACGAGGGTCTGGTCCTGGCGGGGACCTGATGGCAAACTTTTCGCTTTTAGTCTGTCCGAAGTCTATCGTGGATCCCGGCGGAGGGCGAGGCTAGGAGCTTCTGAACGAAGTCCGGTTGATCAGCTGGCTCCTCAACTTAATATTATGGGGTGACGGTGACTCGGAATTTGGCGAATTGAAGACCCAAACCCTCACGGCCGGGTTGGAATGTCACCCAGAAGTGAAAAAAAGTATCCAGCAGATCGATTCGATCTTCAGGGACTCCGCGTGATCCGGTATGGCATCCATTCACTTGGCTCTAGCTTGACCAGAGAAAGGAACGTAAAGATACTCCCGGGTTTCGGCCCTGGGCAGATTTGGAGGATCTTGTACTGCTGCGAGAGTAAATGCCTACCACCAACGCATAAGCAAGGAAGGGCTCGCCGTACGGAGTGCACGCATCAGTAAGTAGTACCAGATGACTCCTCATGGTACATAGGCGTCGTTGGGTAAGCAATGAGCAATGCGGTGGCTACAACGGGACACCTAAGGGCACCTCAGCAGGCAATCGCCACATTGTATTCTGTGCTACCTGGTGCGTCGAGCAACTAGCCTAAAGATCTACCAATCATCATGAGAACCATCGATTTGCTCCATGATAATATTGTTTGCCTTCTTAGGACCCTTGCTATCTATCATCCTATTCCTTGGGTAGTGTACTATGTACACGGTACTCCGTACATAGTACTCCCTCTGGAGATAGGGATCACCGTCTTTAGTGCCGGAACTGCCAAACATCCCTCGTCATGTGGACATACAGGGATGGATTTTGTCAATATGCGCATAAAATTCATCTGGGTGTATTGGGCTCCATCAGCTCCGGCCAGCGCCGTAGGGCTGACCTGCCCGCGGGTTGATCCAAGGTTTGATGACATGTTCATCCATTCCAGAACCGTCGCGTTGTGTATCCAGAACGGACAGGCCAAGTGGTCTGACATCATCAAGACCCTTTATGATGTATCTCCCTATATCAACTGTGCTGTGTAGGCTGTCGAAAAGTCTGATCCGTACTACTCGGTAGATAGGATAGGAATCATGTAAGTGTAATCGTATCCCGCGGAGTCATAGGCCTCGGGATCTCAATACCAGTTGGGACTAGTTGAGCGGATTCTCCCACCCACGCGCCACTCGCCATGACCGTACGGCGTATGGAGTTGGAGGTATCTAGTCTCTTGACTCCTCAGGGTTCCATTCTTCATCATGAAACTAGCTCGTAGGACTAGCAGCTAGCAGCAGTTAGCCCATACCACGACGCCCATTACGTAGTTATGCAGCAGTGGAGGCTGAATAAGAGGGGGTTATGCTTGCCGAAGATTCCGATCGATCAACCATCAGCCCGTCTTTTAGTTTGACGCGTCTTTTTCTTTCTCCACGATCGCTTTAGCTTTACCTCGGTTTCTCGCTAACAAAATGATTTGATGATGATTAGGTCGCATTGAATAATCATCACTTCTTTTGTTCTGGGTGGGCGAATCATCAGACTCGCCTGAGTGCCCCAAGATTACGATTGTCTTACGATGCTTGGGAACCTGGTGGCCCTGGATTGAAAATTACACGCAATGATGAGCTCCTCCTCCTCGAGCTCTCCCACGCCAACCCTCCTTAATCCCCGGCAGCCTGTCAAGGCGTTAACGGTAGCGTTCTGCCTCTGGAAGGCTCTAGTGTATTTGGTCATCATCAGTTGCCCTGGCCTTGGCTACGATACTTCCACAGGCCATCTTTATCATACCAACGGTCGCTCTGATGTCATCTCATCAGAGGACATCGCTTTTGCCCACCTTCCGATCCCATTGAAGTTCGTCAGGTGGGACTCCATCTACTTTCTGCATATTGCAGAACATGGCTATGTCTTCGAGCAAGAATGGGCGTTCGGCTATGGGTATACTCGAGTCCTGGCCCTCATTGCCACTGGTAGATACACCTGTTTCTTCAACCAACGTCCATGCCTCTGTGATTCGAACACTAATTGTCGATGTAGCACTAGATCGGTTAATCGGTCCCAGTGGAGCGGTCAGGACGGCGGTGGTGGCCGTTGCCCTGTCTCATCTTGCCCATTATCTCTCAGTCTTAGCCTTATATAGACTCTCCATCAACGTATTCGGGCGCGACACAGCCACCCAGAGACTAATCTGCTTTCTTTCTGCAGCACTGCACATCATCTGCCCCGCAGGGGCGTTTCTGTCTGCGCCCTACGGGGAGTCCCTGTTTTCCCTGCTCAATATCACTGGACTCTATGTCTACTCGTCCTCATTCCTCGACAACAAAGCCGGCAAACGCCTATCCGGGGACGTGAAGCTGCTCCTAGCTGCTGTACTGTTCTCAGCTGCTACGACGGTTCGCAGTAATGGAATACTAAGCGGCATCTTGTACGCCTATGATGGTCTTTTGCAGCTTCGACGGGTGTTGTGCCAACGGTTTTCAGTGAGTGCTTGTGCTCATCTCTGCGTGATCATCGTGAGTGGCTGTGTTATTGCCCTCGGGCTTGTCATCCCCCAAACCGTAGCCTATACGGCTTACTGTATGGAGGATGATGCTTCACGCCCGTGGTGTCAATGGCTTGTCCCCAGCATCTATGGGTGGGTTCAAGGGCATTACTGGTACGTTGTCTTATCCACCTAGCACTGCACCCAGACCGCTAAATCGGGAAACAGGAATGTAGGATTCCTTCGGTATTGGACCGTGTCCAACATCCCACTGTTCGTGCTGGCCATGCCCATGCTAGCCATCCTCTGTCGGTCGTCACTCTGGGCATTGGATGTGGCAGTGCCCTTTATTTTCCCGGGCACCTTAAGTGGAGTTGACCAGGCGTCGTCGTCAGCCACGACTGCCTCCCTACTGCTCCGACTGGCTGTTCCTCAGGGACTACTAGCGGTGCTGGCTCTGACCAGCTACCATGTGCAGATAATTAACCGGATATCTTCGGGATACCCGCTGTGGTATTGGTACCTCGTATATCTAGTGTCGGGCAACTGGGGGCAGTCGCGACCCTCGCTGCACGACAGCCGGGGCTTTGCTGTGGCGGTGCGGGGCATGGTGGCCTATGCACTGATCCAGGCTCTTCTCTTCGGTTCTTTCCTCCCGCCCGCATGAACAGTACTACTTTTAGCGGAACTGTAGCTCGATAATTGAAAGCGTCCGTACTCACAGTAGAGTGGTACTATGTACAACCACTTCTCTCCGATGAAAGGGACCCTGCGTGTAGATAATAGATAGTAGATACTAGATCGCTTTTAGCGTCACGAAGGGAAATGCGGTTGTTCTGGAGACGGGGCCCAATTAGGCGGCGGCCGTTACGTGGAATTATGTCATCACCGATCTTACAAAACTGAGCCAGACCGAAGGAAGGATACCTCCACCGTCGAATTGCTACGCGTGAGCTCGACTTATCCTGAACCCCGAGCGAATTTTGGTGCAAAAAGAGCATTGCTGGCCGAATTCGCGTCTCAGTCCAGTGATACCCAACACCTTTTGGCTGGCTCCTTGATCTGTGCAGTCCAACGCTCTGGTGATTTCCGGTCGCCTTCCTTGCCGAGACTCAACTAAATCGCCTATGCGAAGACTGGCAGCAGGCCACGACTTGGGCATCGATTCCTGCAGCTTAGAAGTTGCCTCCAATCTTCATGTTTAAGGTGCGCACTCGGCCGCTGTCCATCTGCTTCGGTTAGTCATTTAGTGATAAGTGAAGCTAACAAACCGCGGCCCCTAGAGCTCTCCCGAACCTCCTCCTACGTCCCCAAGCTTCGCACCCCAGTAATCGCCCCACCGATCGCACAGCTATGGATCAATCCGGTCCTAAGGCTATCCTCACATCCGACAACTTTCAAAATGCGCACGAGATCTCCCGGGCCACCTCGCCAGGAGGTGAGCCGATGGCCATAAATGGAGACGGCGAGCCGAAGGCACGGGTCCGTCCTCGTACATACCCATATTTCTCCTATCTACCATACACACTTGAAGACGAACCTGAGAGGGAGCGCAGCCTACAAGAGATCCTGAAACAGCTCTATATAACGGTGGAGGCTGGTGACTTCAGCCCCGGTGCAGTTCACTGGACCCGAGAGCTCAGAGGATGGTTATCACTCAAGTTCGATCCCACCCGCAGGGAGCGGATCAACCTTGTGAAGCTGTACTATGAGCTGTCACTTGCCCCGGGAATCGATCCCAATGTTTCAGAGCGGTTTGCAAGCATGTTCATGCTTCTGACTAAGTGAGTTCGCTTGTTCGATGCTTCGCTCTACGGCAACTGGAACTGACTCGGGCCACAGGCGCAAGCATTATCTCAGACCGGTTAAAGATCTAGTATTAGACTGGAGACCATTATACAGAGAGTTGAAGTCATTCGTTCTGCCGACCGAATCGGGACTCGTCCATTCGACTAACTTGAAGCGCAATGTCAAGACACTGACGAAGCTCTGCGCCTTCATTCAGCTGTATATCGACCCATGTGAGCTACCGGCCATGTTGGAAGAGTTTCTCCCCCACTACACCACGTCCTTCTCGGAAGGCGCCTTCGTCGTTGTTGGGTTGATCAATCTCCTCCTTCCCACCTCCCCTCCGCCTGAAGACCGAGAAGATCTCCTACCACATCATTATCTACCCACCTACTTTCACCTTTGGTCGCTCGTGAGTCGCTCCAAGACGTTCGATATAACCTTCCTTGATTATCTCTCGCGCCTTGCCCGAGATTCGCTGCCTGCTGGCCATATATCCTTCTCGGAGTATGGAATCTTCACCAAGGAGCAGTCGGCGCTGGTCTTCACTGCTATCCTCCGGTTATTGGAAATCCCGGTCGGACAATCAACGTCGCCCTACAGCGCTCTTGTGGATATCTCCTCTGGGCTGGGAATCATGCTGGATCGAGACACACGGAAACATCCTGTCGCTCATCACATTGCTAGATGGATCGTGATGTCGCTCTCGCCTGCATGCCTTGATGCTGAGGAGTCGGTGCTCACTCAGCTTGAGGGTCTTATACAAGCTGTAGAGACCTTCTTCCATCCTTCTAACTCCGGAAGTTGGACCAAAACGTTGGCTCAGTTAGTGTACTATCTAGCCGACTTTTTTGTCATGCGCTGGAACCGTGAGCAAAGTGGGGAGATGGACATCCCAGCAGAGCGAAGACTGAACGAGCCCTTGAAACGCCGTTTCGTGCTTTGTCTGCGCGACGTTATCTTCATGGGCATTTATGCCAAGAGTGGCACGGCAATGACCTTCTCCTTGTCTACCCTACAGAGTTTGGCCTTCTTGGAGCCTCACTTGATCCTTCCAGGCGCTCTGCAGCGGATATACCCGTCTCTCCAAGGACTTGTGGAGGTTCATCGTACGACCTCCTCGCTCCGCGCTCTTCAGATCCTCTCGCGTATTATCTCGAGAACCAAAGGCTATCGCTGCCATATGACCACTTTATTGGGCCTTGCTCTGCCTGGTATCGATGCCAATGATCTCGAGAAATCTCTGCATGCACTGTCCTTTATTCAATCTGCATGCTACAACATACCCATGGCCGACTTGACGAAGGACAGAGAAGATGTAAATTGTAACATGCTTGCAATGCAATGGATCACCGGCGAGATGGAACGCATGGAAGAGCAAGGCGTCGAGGTGCAGCTGAATTACGACACCGAACTGGATGACCAGACGGAAGAGATGGTACTTCGTTCCTCCACATGTGGGTTTGGGGACTTCATTGTATCATTCCTGGGCCGTGTCTTCACCCTCCTAGAAAATCTGCCGGACGTGACCAGAGTTCGGAACGGATCCCCTGAGGAGAATATTGTGAACACCCTACCCGCCACGTTCATGCCATTGCTATCGTCCCTCTCCCCAGAGTACTACGATATTGCCTTGTCGAAGGTCGTCGACTTCGTGTCGAACCATGTTATCCATCAAGCCCGGGATGCAATGGCCTTCATCTGTAACTCGGTGTGCAAAGTCAACCCTCAAAAGGCTTTGAAACGCTTTATTCCGGTGTTGACGCAGGCTATCCGTACTGAGATCGATGATAATGGCGCAGGGTCCACTAGGACAACGGGGACCGATGTTCTCCCTCGCGACCGTGGCCTGGTGTGGAACGTCAGTATGCTGAGCATGTGTGTTGTTCATGTCGGAGACGCAGTGCTCGCTCACAAGAAGGAGCTCTTCGACATAGCTGTCTACATGCAGCAAAAGTGTAGGGGAATACCGACGGTCCATATCTCCAATTTCATCCACCATCTTCTTCTCAACCTGACGGGGACATACACTTCCGACTACTCATTGTACGAGCCTGATGTGGTCGCCAAGGGTGTACAGCCTGAACTGTGGGGCTACCGACAGGATCCTTGTAAATTGAGTGTAAAGTGGCATGTTCCAAAGCGCGAGGAACTCGAGTTCGCCGTTGAACTTTTCCAGAATCAGGCCCAGACTGCTCTCAAGCAGCTAACGGCACTGACTAATGAGACTTCTAGCGTCAAACGGGATGGAAGTGGGAAAGAATGGTCCGACGAGGTGACCAGGAATTTGGTCCTGCTACGACTCATCCTTTCGGGTATCTCTGTGCTTTTTGACCCCAAGGCAGCGTCGACAACTACTGCCAACGGACCTTCCGGAAGCTCCAATGATGTGGAAATGGTAGACGCCAAAGATACTTCGCATGCGGTCCAGGATGAAGATCCCGACTCTGCTCTTGATAGCTCCGATGAAGCTGCTGTTCGAGAATCCTTCTCGTATCCGACGGGTTATCCACTGCAGGAGACCGACCAAATGTACACCACGATTCATGAGATTCGAGAGAGGGCCGGCTGGGTTCTCCACGAAGTGCACAGATTCCTCTCGGATAAGCAAGAGGACGATGTACCTTGCTTTGCTGCTCTGTACTCTGCTTACCGGTCTTGGTTCGTCGACGTTGGAATCGAGAGGTCCGCTCATGTCCTTGACAGAGTGACGCGTCTCCTTGCGGCCGACATCCACCCCTACAAAATGAGCGGTATCCGTAAGGATTACCCGCGCCCTTTGCTCGTACGCAGGGCCAATGTGTACCATCTGCAGCGCCTGAGGCACAATGCAGCGCCCCGACGTCGGTCGAAGTTGGATGAAATCCTGTTACTGGACATTGCTGAGTCGTGTGTCTCCGTTTATACAGAGACACGGCGCAATGCTCAGAGCGCAGGCGAGTCAGCTCTGAAGGCTGTCTGGGGTTCTCGGCTGCTTGTTATCCCCCCACTTCTCAAGGCCCTCCAAAAGGGCATCAGAGAAAATGACCACGCCCGAATCAAAGGAGCGTTATTCTCTCTGTTGCTTGGCAGTGTCGCCAAAACCGTTGGGCGTCACTGGAAATATGCACCCACCTTGGTCCGGACTTTCATAGACGCAAGCGCTGTTGACAAACCGTCTGTACAGAGAATTTGTTCGAGTGCCGTGTACCAGATCATGGATTATGGTCGTTCCATGGAAAGAATGGCCATCTTGGATCGTGACATTATCGAAGCGATCGCTCCTCAAGAAGACGTCCAAGATCAAATCACGCAGAAGCGGGAAGTCATCAACAACAAGCGTGTTCTTATCGAGAAGAAGAAGGCCGATCTGTCGGAAGAACTTGTAAACCTTGCAAGGGTGTCTCACTGGAAGGTTGCCAGTCGTGCGGCCACGATCGTCATCACAATGGGCCTTAGATTCGATTACATCGCGAGCGAGAACCTCATAGACCTGGTCACTCATGGTTCCATCGATGATCACCCCGGTCTGCGTGGTATGTACTCCCAGGCGCTCATCGCCTTGTTCACGATGATAGATGTCCGGGCGATTTGCAGCCACGATTATAAGAATTACATCTTGGGACAGCAACACTTTCCTTCGAAGATCAAGGTTGCCACCAAGCGATACGAAGAAGGATGGACCAAAGAATACCTTTCGAGCTTTGCAAATCCCGAGGCGGAGTACTATGTTGATCATGACTTTCCTGGCTGGCTGGTGTGGGCCGACAGTATGCCTGCCTACAAATCCAATGTGGAACGTGATATTGAGTATGATGGGGTGGAATGGAAGGTCCGCACGCATATGGGTAAATTGTTCGACCGAGGATGGTTCTCCAAGTTTTTCATGTACTTGAAGCAAGAGCCCCGTGACCCTTCGGCAGATAAGTTCCGCATGCCCTGCGCCATGATGCTCCTTTACGCCTTCGAGTTGATGCTTCGGGATGGGCTCACGGCGGCTACGTTCAAAGACATTCAGGAGGAGATCGAGGCTGTCTTTGAGGATGGTAGTGACAAGCACCAGCACCGAGCTACTGCTGAAATTCTCGGCGCTTTGGTGAGCTCCGTCGCCGATACTAGCGTGGAGAAGCGGACGATGGTCTGGGAATATGCTTTCCCCATAGTGCAAAAGATTTTCACTGATGGCTTAACTCCCGAGAACTCCGGTTACTGGACGACTTTCCTCCATATGATTCTCCAGTGCCGGGATCCTCGACGAGCTTGGCCTTTGGTCGACTGGCTTGCCAGCTTCCGGCTTGACATGGGCACGAATGCGGCATTTAAAGAAAGCTCCAAGATTAATCTGCTGCATCAGTCCATCATCGATGCTGGCTGGCACTTCCAACTCGACAAGCCAATTGTTGAAGATTTCCTTGCCCATCTTGATCACCCATACAAGGGCGTTCGCGAAGCGATGGGGCAAACTATCGCAACGATATTCCGCACCAGGTATCACGAGTCCTATGCTGATCTTAAGCGCCTCCTTACAGCGCAAGAGACGGCATCTTCGGTGGGCTCATATCCTTATCTTCCAACCGAGGACTTCACGAAGATGGTTCGTGAGGTCTTTGATCGCATTGAGAAATGGCGGCATGAGAGGACCCCCGGTCAACAAGCCCCTTCTTCCTACACATCTGGGAGCAAGACGGTTCTCCTGTGGCTCGACTCCACTCTTTCGTCCCACGAATGCACCCAACTGGTTCCCTTCTTCCCGGATCTGTTTACGGGGCACCTCTTGCACATGATGGATGTCAAGGAAGATCCAGAGCTCCAGTCCCTGGCATACCACGTCTTCCGTCATCTGCCCAACATCCCATATCCCGCCGAACAGAACTCCGGTTTCATTAAAACACTCATTCATATCGGACAGACTTCTCCCTCGTGGCATCAACGTCTACGAGTTATGATCAACATCCAGATCATATACTTCCGTCGCCTATTCTTACTCTCCAGTGGTGATCGTGACAAGCTGTTTGAGTGTGTAGCGAGCATGTTGGAAGACCCTCAGCATGAAGTGAGAGTCGGAGCATCGGCCACACTGTCCGGTATGATTCGTTGCTCGCCTGTGTCTCTCCGGCAAGAGATGGTCAGCCGCCTCAAGCAACGGTTCACCAAAGTCTTGGTTGACAACCCTCTCCCGAAGAAACCCAAGGCACTCCGCTCTGGTCTATCGACTCCGGTCTCTTCCGGAGCTGGTACCCCGACACCTGAACATACTCGACTCATACTAGTCCGGCACGGTGCTGTTCTGGGCCTAGGAGCGCTCATCCAGGCGTTCCCATACAACAGCCCGCCTCCGCAATGGATGCCCGAGGCGCTGACTACTCTAAGTGTTCGTGCTGCAAGTGATCCGGGCATTGTTGGTTCAAGTGTCAAATCTATCATTAGCGAATTCAAGAAGACACGACAGGATACTTGGCATATTGATGCGAAGGTGAGTTCTAGCTGCCATAGAATAAAAGCAACCTCCAGTCACTGGAAATACCCGCTAACCCGATTTTTTCGATAGGCATTTACGTCGGATCAGCTCGAAGACCTTTCTGGTGTCCTTTGGAAGAGCTATTTCGCGTAATGTGCACATGAAGTACGATGGCTACGCATCGGGTGAGGGTGTATTGGGCTTTATTTCCTAGACCCGCTTGAGACTCACATATCGTTTTCGGCCAGGGTTATAGCACTGGGAGGATACTTGAGGTTCTGGCATTTGGTAGCATACCTAGGGTAGGGGCTTAGCATGTTTGAACCCCACCAAAAAAGGCATACATATTCTTTCTCTTGAGTCGTCAATTGCACATGTAGACACTGTGGACAATTGTCCTGGGTTTCTTTGATCCCAGCAGATTGTTTTGGTGTAGTTACTCAGTACTCAACTCTAGTTAGTTAGCGTAAAGAGCTGAGACCATGTTAGTCAGCCGCCGTGAGCGGCGTCACGTGCCCGGAAGCAGCCACGCGGCTCACCGGCCATCGAAGCGCATCATCAACCAACCCCAGGGGCTCTGGACAGCTTCAAGTTCTCCCTTTCAGCTAGTCCTTTGCCGTTTGGCTTTGGAATCCTATCGTTATCTTGCAGCTAGTTATCTCAACTCTGATTCTAGCGCTTCTGCGCCCTCTCGTCCCTGTGGTGGAAAGGAACTGCTCGAGGCAGTCTTGCTTTCACCATGGCTCCCAAGGACACCTTCTTCCGCTCGTCGGATATGAGCTTGACTCAGCTCTATATCGCCAACGAAATCGGAAGAGAAGTTGTCAGCGCTCTAGGAGAGCTGGGTCAGGTCCAATTTAGAGATGTGAGTTGGTGCCCGCTGTCTGGGTCGACATTCACGAAATGAACCGGGCTGACTTCTGTTGGTCTACCTCTAGCTTAACCCCGACACCAATGCGTTCCAGCGTACCTTTACGAAGGAAATCCGCCGTTTGGATAATGTGGAGAGGCAGCTGCGTATGTTTTGCAACCCGAGATGGTGGCTTGGAGAAAGTGATGGGTTGTGAATCTAATCTGTCTCGCGCAACAGGCTACTTCCATTCCCAGATGGACAAGGCGGGCATCCCCATGAGATCTTCCTCGGAATTCTCCGACACGCTGGCTGCTCCCTTGGCATCCGAAATCGATGAACTCGCCGAACGTAGCGAAAGCCTCGAACAACGGATCGCCTCGTTGAACGATAGTTACGAAACATTGAAGAAACGTGAGGTGGAGTTGACTGAGTGGCGCTGGGTGCTGAGGGAGGCCGGTGGCTTCTTTGACCGCGCTCACAGCCATACGGAGGAAATCCGCCAGTCTTTTGATAATGACGAGGCCCCTCTTCTCCGTGACGTTGAACAGCAGAGCCGCCCCAACGGCGACACACAAGGCCAGCAGTCTTTCCTGGAGATGAACATCGGGTTTGTGTCTGGTGTGATTCCACGGGACCGGATTGGAGCCTTTGAGCGGATCCTGTGGCGCACTCTGCGTGGTAACCTTTACATGAACCAGTCCGAGATCCCTGAGCCCATCATCGACCCAACCAACAATGAGGAGTCTCACAAGAACGTTTTCGTGATCTTCGCCCATGGAAAGAGCATCATTGCCAAAATCCGCAAGATCTCCGAGTCCCTCGGCGCATCCCTCTACAGTGTTGATGAGAACAGTGAGTTGAGACGGGATCAGATCCACGAGGTGAACACCCGGCTCGGTGATGTGGGTAATGTCTTGCGCAACACCAAGAATACCCTCGATGCGGAGCTCACCCAGATTGCCCGCTCGCTTGCGGCCTGGATGATCATTGTCAAGAAGGAAAAGGCTGTGTATGATACGCTCAACAAGTTTTCCTACGACCAGGCGAGAAAGACCCTGATTGCGGAGGCATGGTGCCCCACCAACTCGTTGGGCCTGATCAAATCGACTTTGCAGGATGTCAACGACCGTGCTGGACTGAGCGTGCCCACCATCGTCAACCAGATCCGGACCAACAAGACTCCTCCCACTTATGTACGGACCAACAAGTTCACGCAAGCTTTCCAGACTATTGTCGATGCCTACGGTATCTCGAGGTACTCGGAAGCCAATCCCGGATTGTATACTATCGTCACATTCCCCTTCCTGTTCGCCGTCATGTTTGGTGATCTCGGCCACGGTGCGTTGATGTTCATGGCTGCTACCGCCATGATCTTCTTCGAACGCAAGCTGCAGAAAACCAAGTTGGATGAGCTCACATACATGGCATTCTACGGTCGTTATATCATGCTTATGATGGGTCTCTTCTCGATGTACACCGGCCTGATCTACAACGACATTTTCTCCAAGTCATTCACGATCTTCCCCAGTCAATGGCAATGGCCTGCTGATATCAAGCAAGGGGAGGCAGTCCTGGCAACTTTGAAGGAAGGTTATCGCTTTCCGTTTGGTCTTGATTGGAACTGGCACGAAGCCGAGAACTCCCTTCTATTCACCAACAGTTTGAAGATGAAAATGAGTATTTGTCTTGGTTGGGCCCACGTAAGAGATGCCCTTCACCAAATTCCTTACATGGACGAATATTGACTTTCTCACAGATGACATACGCTCTTTGCCTGCAATATGTCAATGCTCGGCATTTCAAGTCCAAGGTTGATATCATTGGTAACTTCATTCCCGGCATGATCTTCTTCCAGTCCATCTTCGGCTACCTTGTCGTCACCATTATCTACAAGTGGTCGGTCGATTGGGCAGCCAAGGGCCAATCCCCCCCAGGACTCCTGAACATGCTCATCTTCATGTTCCTTTCTCCTGGAAATGTTCAGGAACAACTCTACCCCGGCCAGGCAGGTGTCCAGAAGTTTCTGTTGTTCCTTGCTGTCATCCAGGTGCCGGTCATGCTCTTCTTCAAGCCGTTCTACCTTCGCTGGGAACACAACCGGGCCCGCGCTCTTGGATACCGTGGCCTTGGGGAGCCCTCTCGGGTTAGCGCTCTAGACGATGCCGACTTAGATGGTCGGGCTCGCGACAGCATGGCTAGCGATGGTGAGGGTGTTGCCATGATTGCCCAGGACCTTGGAGACGAGGAGGAGCACGAGGAATTCGACTTTGCCGAACTCATGATCCACCAGGTCATTCACACCATTGAATTCTGCTTGAACTGTATCTCCCACACCGCCTCCTACCTGCGTCTGTGGGCTCTGTCTCTGGCCCACCAACAGCTCTCGATCGTCCTGTGGGACATGACCATTGGCGGTGCTTTCGAACAAGAAAATCCCACCACGCGGGTCATCATGATCGTGGTCACCTTCTACCTCTGGTTCACCCTGACCATCGCCATTCTCTGTGTCATGGAGGGTACCAGTGCCATGCTTCACTCGCTCCGTCTTCACTGGGTCGAAGCCATGAGCAAACACTTTATGGGTGAGGGTATCCCCTTTGTCCCATTCAGCTTCCAGACCCTCCTCGAAGAGGATCCTGTTGATTAGTGTTGTGTATTTTGTTTCCTTGTCCAAATGTCACTTTCCTTTCTTTCCCTTTTGGATCAGGATGTCCTATAATTCGTTTTCCCTGCGGGAATCGATTGAATCTAGATACTTTTGCCGTCGTATCCTCCCTCCCTTCCTTCCTTTCCCTTCTCTCTCGGCTGTGCTACTAGATGATCGTAAATAAACGTGTCAAATTGTATACCACCTAAACATCCAGCCAGCCCAAATAAACACACCCTACACACGCGATCAGTCCTCGGTAGAACCCAATGCCTCAGCATTTTGCGTCCAAAATCTTTTCTAGAAAACAAACAGAGAAAGAAGGGGGGGGCTAGAGAGAGCGTGAGCATGAGCGAGCAAACCACACAAAAAGCCAAATTTCACACACACACACACACAAAAAAACACCAATGAATGATGACTCCACTACCCCTACCCTCATCATACAATCAGACTTATTTCATTAAGTGGTGATACTGAATTGGGTTGGATTAGTTGGGGTGTCTCGGACAGAACATGGGCCAATATATATTTTGTGAGGGTCAAGTTATCTGGGGAATCTTTCCCGAGATCGAGTCAACTTAGTATGAAGGATAGTGTGGAGGAAGGAAGGGAGCCTAGCCCACTAAGGAGGACTAAGGAAGGAAAGATATTATTCCACCAATTACGGGACGGAATGGGAGTAAATTGCTCTACTCCGTATAATCTGGGGTGATTGTTCTATTTTCCTCTTGTTTTCACAATGGGGCAATTGTGTTGGGGGAGGGAGTGGGGGTGGTTCGAATTGAGTCGAGAAAGAAAAAAGTGAGGGGTAAGGAGATGGGGTTTTGTGAGACTTGCACGTAGGACTTTCAAGGTTCGCGAATCGGTATTATTTACGATAGGAGGTTGGTGATTATTGAATTTTTATTTGCATTTTAATAGTTCAGTATAGTTATGTGGTTCGTAAATGACATGCCAGTGCGAAGGGTGTCACCTGGTACCCTGCTGGACGCACTGGCAGACTTCGCATTAAGTATCATTCCCGTGAGCCATAAAATTCCACCCTAGTGCCGCTACACTGTGCGCCCAACTTAATTCTTGTGTTGGTTGTAGGTGTCGATGATTTTCTGGATCTCGTCCTTCGAGCCGAGGAATACTCCGCTCCGGTCGTGAATGTGCTCCGGCACCACCTCCAGGAGGCGTTCCATGTGGGAGTTAACGGCCAAACCGCCCGCATTCTCGAAGAGCATCGCCATGGGGGCGCACTCGTACAAGATACGCAGCTTGCCCTTGCGGCTCTTCGAGTCCGCCGGGTAGGCGAAGACACCGCCGTAGAGGAGGGTTCGGTAAGCATCTGCAACCATGCTACCAATGTAACGTGCGCTGTAGGGCTTCTGGCCTTCGCCGGGGAACTTCAAAGAGTGGAAGTACTTGTTCACCCACTCGTCCCAGTACATGCTGTTACCCTCGTTGACCGAGTAGATGGCCCGCTTCGCGGGTAGTTGCATGTTCGGGTGGGTCAGGATGAACTCACCCAGAGAGTTCTCCATGGTGAAGCCGTTGACACCACCGTTGCGCATGGTGATCACCAGCTGTGCGGAGGCGCCGTACATGGTAAAGCCCGAGGCGACCATCTCGGTGCCGGGGCGGAGGAGATCCTTGGCAGTGACCTTGTTCTGGGCACCGAGTACCTCGTCGGGAAGCTTGAAGATGCCGAAGATGGTGCCAACCGAAACGCCAGCGTCAAGGTTAGAAGAGCCGTCAATCGGGTCGCAAACGACAGCATAGCGGGCGTCAGGGTGCTCGTCGAACAGAATGGCCTCTTCCTCCTCCTCCGAAACGAGAAGACGGCACTTGCCGGAGCCCCTCATTGCGGAGATGAACACATCGTTTCCGATGACGTCAAGCTTCTTCTGATCGTCGCCAGTGGTGTTGGAGGAACCAGCCAAACCGGTCAGGTTGATCAGTGACGCGCGACGAATGTAGTAGGCAATGGACTTGAAGGCGAATTGAAGAGCGTGACAGAGTAATCTGAAAAGAGGGGGTTCCGTTTAGTCGGGGACTCCTGAGGTAGATGGATAGAGAGGGGAAGACTCACGTGAAGTCACCGGTGGCCTCTGGAACCTTGGCCTGTTCCTCCGTAAGGAACCGAGTGAGAGTGACAATATCAGTGTTGATGTTCTCCTGTCCTACAGGAGGAGCACCGCCATTGCCGTTTCCAGACATGTTATGTAGAATGAGGTATGATACAGGTAGGTCTTGGTTGAAAATGAAGTGCAGAGCGCAGGATGGTCCAGATCTGGGGGCCGGGAGTTCTTTTGAAGGGTAACTTCCAACCTCGGGTCAACGGGGAAAGCAGGAAGATGCGGAGATAACCAGGGTACGGGAGAGGGGAGAACTGGTGGGCAGTTTATATGTACTTTAGACGGGTGGAGGAGGGACAGTTGGCAATAGATAGAAGCTGCAGGAGAAGCTGATCTATCAGCCATCCCACGAGACCAGGGGCATCCTTTAAGGGCGTCCCGACCAGCCAGGAGCAATCTTTTACCGGGAATGCGCAGGACTTGGGCCTAACGTCAGAAGGGGAGTAAACAGGGTCGAGCCACTGGCGGAGAACCGTTTGGGTCCTTGACGCAATAACTGGACGGCGGCGATGGTTTTCGTCATTTTCCACTTTCCAGCCGGCGGCCAGGCGCTCCCCCCACCCTAAGCCCCTTCGGGTAGCTTCCCGGCTCTTTCTCTTGCCTCTGCCCCGAGTTGCCCCCGAGTTTCCCCGCGCTTCGAGGCTTCCTTAATCCTTCGACCTAGAGTCTCGACCCCAGACACATCGGCGGTCCTCCGTATCGTGTGCGCAATACTATGAAGTAGAGTGTCGTCAAAGTGTCCCTCCCATACGGTGTGTACGTCTTTCAATCCCAACGAGCCATGCCGGCAACAATCCGTATCCCCCGGCATGGGTCGACCAGACTATTGAATCCGTCGGTTCGTATTAAGGGGCTTCAGGAAAATGTCGCATAAGCGCAGTTCGAATGATATCCCACGACCCATTGTACCTAATCATAGCGGGTGGGTTTCGGATGGTCAGCAGACATGCGAATTTTGACAATCCCGCGTCGAACTATACCGAACTATTCGGGTCTCGCCCGCTCTCTCCGGGTCCCTCCTGGACGCCCGGAGTAGAGCCACCTGGTCCGTGGATCAACAAGGGATGCATCTCTTGCATGTCAAACTCTTGGGCCGGGCAGTTCAACCGGAGCTACTCCGTAGTGGTCTAGGAGTAATGAGACAGATGCTTTCGTCCGCTAGAGATACCACTTCAACGATCGGGAAACCGAATCCAAACCGGAAGGTGAGACGGGATCCCCTCGCCGCCTTTGCTTCCGCCTGCCCAAGTAGCACGACCCGCGGCAGAACCGGTTCTCGGTTAAGAATGCTTACCTAACCAGCTCGGCGGCTCGCCTCGGACCATATTGGGGCTAGCTTCTCGGTAAAATTAGCTCCGATCGGGAAGCTTGAAAAAGTTCGACGCGGGTTCTTCCAGCTTTCTTCCACACAACATCCCACAAAGTGTGATGCCTTCCTATAATGCCCGTGGAAGCATGCATCGCACATCTGTAGAGAAATCCACATGCTGTGACTTTGCTCATCTCTGTTGTTGAACTGACATATCTGGCTTCGATGCACAGGATCATTTGGTAAGTGCCTGAGTGCCATTTCTTTCCTGCAAACCCCCTCTTGTGATGATACCTACAACCATTTCAAACTAGAGTCTTTGACCCCTTCAGGGCATGAAAACTCACTTGTTTTGCACGTCAGTCTGATGCTTTGGCTCCAAGACATGCTTGTTTTATTTTTGACTGGAGTGACTGAAGCAGGGTGCTAACTGCCTTCATAGGACACTAACACTTCCATCTAGCTTTCGACGAATTGAGTGATCTGTTGCAAAATTGGTATGCCTGCCTTCTTCCTCCCATTTCTCCTATGACTTGCATGATGCTTTACGTATTATATACGCTGGAAATTACCGACTGAGACCTCTTGGTCTTCGACGATATCAAATGGCTATTTCTGATCAGTCACCTTTACACTCGCATTGTCTTCTTCGTCCATGTTGCTAGCATGTGCTAACAGCTTCAAGATGGTTTATAGGTTTCGGATATTTCAATATGCCGGTATTTGATCGATAAAGGGTAAGCTTTATCCCTCTCTTTCATCGATCACCCCCTTTCGAAGATGAAACGGCACTGGGCTCCGACGGCGTCAGACATAACGTCCGGTCTTGATGGATATGCCTCTTTTGCGGCAGGCCTAGAAAACCTCGCCCACTGAGATATTGCTCGAGCAACACATTTGTCTCCAGTGACCTTTTGGCTTAATGCTAACTGCTATCAATAGCAGCTGATTCCTGCCATGATCAGTATCCTAGCATGTACTGTTAAGGTAATTCCACACCCTTCTCGCGCACCCCCTGATACGAGGATGATTCCCTAGATGACGAGTCTTATTCGAGTTATCGATGCAGACAACATCTTTTTTATACCATTCATGCATTTCTGAAATATCTGTTACGAGATCAAACGCTGGTTCACATGTAATGACCCGTGCTGACTCCACCTGAAGTTCTTAGAAGTTTTTCTGCCAATCATATCCCATGGCCACTCATGGCTCCGACGAACGAGGTATCTGTATGTTACCACCACTGTTTCTCCATCTGCCCCCTATGGCACAATGATGATACGACATAAAATTAAAGACAAGCATATGTCCAAGTTGGCTCTGCCGACCGGGACGACAATCGTCATGACTGATCAGTCACGTTGTCTACACATGTTTTCGAACCTCGCGCTTGCATGGAGACTGACCAGCGTGGTAGATAGCAGTAGTCTTGTGCTAGTGAGGAACCTCCAACCATCGACAAGAATGTGAGTACCTGCCTTCTCTTCTACCGCTTCCATACCCATTCTCCCTTACATGATGATTTACTACTATTTTATCACGACGGTCAACATAAATATTTTACCTTGATGACCACCGCCTGTGACAGGGCATTGATCTGATACCCTTTCTTTTCCAAATATCGTTGATTTCATTAAACTCGATGATAGGAGTCTCGCTGACATGACTTCAGTAATATCCTAGGGACTCGTTCTCGATCGATCATCTCCCAAGCCCATTCGGGCAGGGATTTGCTCACTGCAGGACAGCAGTCGTGCAACATGCTGGCATGTTTTCCCAGCCAGGATCTTTAGCGTGCAGTAGTTCGACCATCTAGGTACTATAATAAGAATGCATTCCTGGTTCCACTTGCAGTTATCTCTTTTGACCCTGTATCCTCCTGTAATCCTGCGTAGGCGCTGGAAGCCTGAGGCGACACCGTCCCGTGCCCTGGCTCTGGCGACCACGAATAGCCAGCGGACAAACCTTTCCGCCCCATCGCGGACCCTGTGTGATGTCTGGGCTACTGCGCGGCCTGGCCGGCCTTAACCAGGTTCGTTATCGCGTGATGTGACAGCGACGCTGGTTGGAGGGCGGCGGGCCTGTGAGAGGGCGAGGACGAGGGTTAAGCGCCGGCCTCAGGCCGCCTGTGATCAAACCGGCCGGGCTGCAGCTGGTGGGATGCACTAGTCCTCTGAAGAGTCAAGACCTGCACCCTTTTCCCTTCTCCCCGCCCACGGCTTGTTGCCTCGTGTGCTATTTTTATACCCAGGATGCATCGCGTTGTCTCCACGGTCAGTGGATCGAACCCACGATGCCCGTCGAACGGTTGATACATACCGACTGGACCTGCTGGGCCTGCAAGCCGCCGCCGCCTCTGGTTGGGTCAGGCCGCTGCTGTTGCAAAGAATAGAAATCGGTCTGCGCTTCAGCCCTCCACTCCGGCTCCTGCTCCTTCTCATCCTCCGGTCGTGTTGGCAGAATCTCTAATCTCGTTCCTGCCCTCAGCCCTCAGCCCTCAGCCATGGCTCCGTGTTCGGTTGGCCCTGCATCCTTCCGTTAGTATGAATAGGTGCGCCCAGCTTTTCTCACCTGTTCTGCTGTGGTCTTCGACCTTTCCCCGTGTCTGTCCTGTGACGGTGCAAAGGTACTGATCACAGCCTCTTTATAGCTGGCGATCTTCGAGCAATGCTGGCGACGAGCCGCCGTCTGGTGCATATTCCCTCAGCGGCTGGCCAACACCTCATACCACCAGCACCCAACCGTCTCCTAGTCGCCGAGAGCATGCCGTACAGCCCCCTCCTCTGACAACAACGTTAAGTGGCCATCAGTTTCAGGGACTTGGGCTGGCACTGGGAGCAGGCTACACAGGCACGCCTCTCTCGTCGACTTCGTTGTCCAGTCCATTCACCCAAGGCTCGCCCGCCGTAGCCTCGCCTGGGGGGGCGGCAATCGGATCATCACCAATGGCATCGAGACAGTACAACGTGCCTTACAATCCACAGGATTGGGGTCCTGTGGGTAATGGGTCACTGAATGCTGGCCAAGCTTCGTATCCACAAGCAAATAACATGCTACGGATTGTCTCCCAGCCACGGTCAACCGGACCTCGCTCAGGTCTGTCGCTCTATCTCTCTTGCTTCCCTTTTCTTACTGTCAGGTTATTGTACCCCTTCTATATATACCATGTAGTTGTGGGAATCTCGCGCCTTTATATTCTCAGTGGCCAGAACCGTGCCTAATGTGAGCGTTGTAGATGCATCTTTATCGCCTCCGCCTCCGCCCTACTCACCTCCAAGTCAACAACATCAGAGAGACAATGTCAGCCAGAATGCTTCCTCAATGGGCTCGACATCGCCGAGCATTGGCTCCTCCTTCAATGGGACAGCGCGGGATGCCTCATTGGATTATCGACAACGTCGCCTTCCCCGAACTCGCCCTCTGTCCATGGCTGTGCCAAGTGAGACAGGCCACAACAGACGAGTCTCGTTACCTCCGCCTCCACCGCTACCCCCAAGCATCTCATCCAGATCTTCTTCTCAAAATCGAGTTGACGCCTACGGAGAACCGACCTCGGTTATGGCAGGATCGAGGCCGCACATTGTGGTTTCACCAGAAAACCTACGTTTCGCCCAATTGACCGACGAGAACCACATGTTTGAGACCGCCCAATCTTTTGATACGGACCGCCCTCCAGCTGCAAGAAGGGCTGTTTCAGCTGGACCTGCTGTGAACAGTGCGAGCTCATCGAGGGCTCATAGTCAGTCTGGAACCCGGTCCCCCTCGGGACCTGGTTGGGAGCCAGGGATGCCTCTGCCACCACCACCTCCTGGACCACCACCAGCAACAAGATCGCAGAGTGTGAGTGGGCGATCCGATCCATCGTCTTTCCGGAATTCGCAAGCTCCTGTCAGAACAGGCAGGGCGCGGCCTCCCCCGGTTCTTGGCACAAGTCTTGACAGCATTCCACCAACACCAGCTGGTTGGGTGGACGAAGGATCAGCTGAGGCTAAGAGCAAAGGAGACAGACTTCCACTTACCATTGACACAGCAACGACATCGAGCGTGGGTGGGCCAGAATCTCTCGAGTCGTCCCGCACGTCCCAAAATCCCAATAGTGGTGGTCTTTTTCGGAGCCCAGCTATCAAAGATCCGAACGCTAAAGGCATTCGAGAAAGGAGAATCGAACGTCGGAACAGGCAGAGCCAGGTGTTCGATAACCTCAGTGCTGTCTCCATGAGCAGCAACCCCTGGGCTGAAGCTCTTGAACAACTCAAGCCCTCCAACCTGGTCTTGGGAGAATCGGGCGTGGATTCAGATAATGCTCGAACCCAGTCTTCGGCAAAGTTCACGCCTCGTAGCACTCGGAGCATTGGCTCTGATGGGCCGCCGCAGGTCACCTCACGGTCACGAGCCTCTTCTGGGGGCTTATTTTCGAATCGATCCTGCTCCACCCCTAAGGCAGAGCCAAGCCCTCAGGGGCCGACCTCTACTTCGGGGTTTGCGCAAACACCGCCGTTTTCCCCAGGCACCGAAAGGTCGTCTACATTTCCCAAACGAACATCGCCAGCATTGCCCCCCAAAGCATTGCCAACGCCTCCGCTGCAATCCGGGCAAGACACAACGCCCTCCCGACCCGGGTCCAAGGAAGACCGACCGGTATCGCATATACTGCACTTGCCAAACGATGCTGTCACCACGGTCTCTCCCTTAGCCCCGCGTCGTGTGATAACACAGCAAGGGCCCTCCCTTGACTCGGTTGTAAATCGCGACGACGAATTTGTCCGAAGTGCCATGCAGAGACATCGCGAGTTCATTGAAAAGGAGGCCGACTCCGTGGACGAGAAAGAGGCATTGCGGTTGTTTGCCGAGTTTATCATCTCCGAATCCCAAATCAGACGTGAGAGATATGCTAAAGTGTGGAATCTCGATTCCTTCGACGTCGAAGATGTTCGCCGTAAATTGTTTGTATGCCCTCCCAAACCGGTGTTAATACAGCAGGCAAGCCAGGTAGCACCTGGGCCGTCGTCTAGGAGGGCATCTAATCCTGGAGTACCCAAACTGGATATACCTCAGACACGCCCAGAATCCGCGTGGTGGAGCAACTACAAACCATGCCTCTCGCCAATCGCAAGCCTGGGATTGAGCAATGACGAGATGAGTTCGCGGGGGCGGGCGCCTAGTCGTTGGTGGGAGTCAAAGACCGGATCTAGCAGTGAAGGGGGGGAGCGAAGAGTGCAGCGTTCAAAGAGGGAGACCAAATATATGGGGTTATCGCGTGGAGCCCTGCAATGGGAAGAGAGCCAGGGCTCGTCTGACACAGGGAACGCTGGCGCGTCCAATGGGGCCAATCAATTCGCCGAGTACGGCCCCGATGAATACCCTCCCGAAAAGGTTGGATGGCACGAGGAGCCTGCTCTGGCGGACTATCCTAACAACGTCCGTCCTGGGTTTATCAGGCGATCGGAAGAGGCACAGAAAATGGACGTCTCAAGGCTGATTACCTTGCCACCGCCATACCCCAGGCACTATCCCGCTGTCAACAATAGCCACCCTGATCTCGTTACTTACCGGACGTTGGTCCGATCAATAACAGATTTGACGGAGATCAAGGCCACCAGACAACGGCACCAAACAGAGATGGATGTTTTGTTCCAAGGCCACCAGGCACGAGTCAAAGAGGGTCGTCGGCAGTTCAAGGCCAACATCCAAAGCCAGATCCAACAAGGCAGTATCACATTCGCAGAGGCCGCGGAAGCAGAGGCTGCGTTGATAGTAGAAGAGAATCGGCTTGAAAGGGAGCTGACCAAGAGCGGACTGGATACTTACCAAGAGTCCGTATTGAAGCCAATGCGTGTGATCCTCACCGATCGAATCGACAGGGCTACCGCTTGTATTGATGAGTTACGCGGCAGACTCTTCGACGACGCCCGGTCTGAAACGCCCGATCAAACACAGGAGGAAGGGGATGAAAAGCCAGAGCTCTTGGAAAAGCTTACGCAGCTCAAGTGGCTGTTCGAAGCACGTGAGCAGTTACACCGCGAAGTGTTTGATTTGATCAGCGATCGGGATGAGAAGTATAGAGCTGTGGTCCTGCTACCCTATAAGCAGGCGTCCAACGAGGATAAAGTGCGCGAGACGAATGATTTCTTTGTCACGGATGCATTGGACCGCCGGGTGAACTTTGAGGCCGATGCTCTAGCTCGCCTCGAATCCTTTCTGGATGTGATTGAGGAGAATGTGGCCCGAGGGGTGGAAATCCAGCTGTCAGCGTTCTGGGATATTGCACCGTCACTGTCAGCGTTGGTGCAGCAAATCCCTGAGAAGCTCCGCGGCTTTACGATACAGATTCCCGCTAACGAATACGACGAGAACCCGAGTTATCGTTCACATCCCTTGCAGTACCTCTATACACTGGTGTCTCATGCCGAAAAGTCCAGCTACCAATACATCGAGTCGCAAATCAACCTTTTCTGCCTCCTGCACGAGGTCAAATCTGCTGTTATGAAAGCTAGCTGCAAACTGATGGAGGCGGAGCGGATTCGTCTCGGCGATCCCGAGGATAAAGTGCAAGAGGAGATGCAGGAGTCTCGAGCGGATGAAGAGCGCACGTTGACAAGCGATCTGAAAGACAAGGTGGCTACGGTGGAGGGCCAATGGGCAGAAGCCCTGGGCAGTGATATCCAACGATTACGCGAACGGGTCAAAGAACAGCTAGTGATTGAAGATGGCTGGGAGGACATGGAGCAGCTGGAGCAGGCGTGAGGATGGATGCCCAGTTGGCAATCAGTGATGAAGAAGACGGGAAGTTCGCGGTCAAATCGAGGGCTTAGGCTGGGGGCGTTCCTACTTTTGAATTTTGCCATCTATGGGTTGAGTTTGTGTTGCTGAAAGATACCCCACATTCGTTTGCTATTACCACTATTTACTGGTCAGGATGATGCATTGGTCATTGTTGTCGACGGAGTAGTCTCCATTCTTGGGCATGATTGTTCTTCCGGCCCGACGATGGGGCTGCTGACCTAAGGCCATCACGTGACCGCACTGCGGCTTCTAGAGCTTTCCTTCCGGATCCTCGAACTTTTCCCCTTTGCCTTTCTTCACCACCCAGTAGACCGGCCCAGTATTATTTAATACGGGTTCCCCCCTCCCCCCGCCGCTTCTACGGTACCTCCCTCATTGCTCCTGTCTACCATTGCCACTTTGGACTTGGTTGATCTGTCTTCGCTACAGCGTCTTTGAAGAGAGACGTTTTTCTTGTGACTGTAAGTCGGCCATGAATTTTCTTACCCCCCATCTTCCCATTGTCTCTCCTCCCTGATGTGGCCGGTCCCTTTACAAGGACCTCCGCCTCGGGAAGAGAGATCCCATCGAATGATGAGAACTCATAGCTGGCACCAGTCAGACGGAGGTGTTTTTTCGAATTCATCTTCAATGCTGAGTAGCTTGCGATCCGGGAACGCTATCCGTGATCCTGAAACGATGCATCCACCCAATCTTGATATCTACGTGTCTTTAATGATGGCGAATTCATGCTAATTGTGTGTGCGATGATACAGAACATAGGTTTAGCGAAAGAAGGGAGAAAAAAAGAGGGACTCGCTAAGATTTTTCCCACTAGCGAAGTTCAGCCCCGCAATAGAGCAGCTTTTCTTTGCAACGAAATCCTTAGACCAATTCATAATAAAAATAAACTACCACCATCATGGTTCTTCACAACCCCAACAACTGGCACTGGGTGAACAAGGACGCCTCTGGCTGGGCCAAGGCCTACCTTAAGGAGCACCTCTGTGTCCTCTCCGCGGAGGAAAATGGAGTCTCTGCCAAGATTTCCTCACTGCTGACCATGGATGGCGATGTAGACGTCAGTCAGAGAAAGGGCAAGGTCATCACCTTGTTCGATGTCAAAGTACAGCTGGAGTATGAAGGTTCGTAAAAGATTAGTGTTTTCTCTGTTCAGGGCATACCACTAAGACCTTTTACAGGTAAGACTAAGGACGACGAGTCCGTCAGTGGAACTATCACCATTCCCGAGGTTGCCCATGACACCGAGGAAGATGAGTACGTCGTATGTTCCCTTTAGCCCTCGTATGCCCATCTCGGTCCGCCCGACTGACGCGGTGGCTCTTAGTTCGACATTGAGAACCACTCGGATTCTGGTTCCAAGCAGCCCGTGAAGGATCTGGTTCGCTCTAAGCTCGTTCCACAGCTCAGACAGGAATTGGTCAAGCTGGCCCCTGCTCTGATCACTGAGCACGGCAAGGACATCCAGCACGCCCCTGGAGTCAACCCTTCCAGTGGCTTCACTGCGCCCAAGTACCACCCTCAGACGAAGAAGGATTCTCCCGCTACTCAGACCACTGCCACTACCACCACGGATAAGGTTGCGGTCAACACTACTACTGTAACCGGTTCGGACGAGTTCCGCACCACGGCCGAAGAACTCTACAACACTTTCACTGACCCCCAGCGCATTGCTGCGTTCACTCGTGGAGCCCCTCGTCAGTTCGACGGCGCTCACGTGGGTGGAAAATTTGCCATCTTTGATGGCAACGTCAACGGCGAGTACGTTAAGCTCGAGGCTCCCACTCTGATCGTCCAGAAGTGGCGCCTGGCCCAGTGGCCCGCCGGCCACTTCAGCACGCTGGAGATCAAGTTCGACCAGAACGATGTCGACGGCGTGACCCAGATGCGTGTGACCTGGACCGGTGTTCCCATCGGCCAGGAGGACGTCACCAGACAGAACTGGGATGTGTACTACGTTCGGAGCATCAAGCAGACTTTTGGGTATGTCCATCCCTTGCATTGCCTCTAGCCAATTGCTTCCTTACCATGGCTTGCCAGATCTTCCTATTTTGCTTGGAGACAGTTGCTGATTATTATTGTTCTTGTTTTTGGTATAGGTTTGGCACTATTCTCTGAGCGCATCCGCAAATCCATGGTACCATCATGATGAAATCAGTACGAGGGGCATGAAGGCGACAAGGACCCTGTCAGCATCATCGCGTCCTGTAGGAGAAGGGGGTGAACTGCGATCTTGATACATACAATCTGTTGTTTCTGGGGGCAGGCATTTTGCGCCGGCTCACTTTTACCTGATATATGACTCCGCCCTCCAAGCTAGTGGGGGCATGTGTCCAACGAATGCACGATAGAAAGGCCATGAACATAAGTAAGACGAACTGATAACGATAGAAAACCAAGACCATTCCTCTACAAATTGGTATTCGTTACAAGTAAACACAGCTATTGTTGTCGATGCATAGCAGAATTGATCCAAAACCCAAGTAGCATTTTTATTCTACCCTATTATTTTTTCTAACACCCATTGTCAAGTCGTTAGTATATCGTAAAAGAGAACTAACTCTTTACAGAGTCTTCTCGATCATCTCAATGCCGTACTCCTCCTTGAGAGTCTTGATCAGAGGAGCACAGATATCCATGGTCATGGGAGCAAGAACACCCTATACGTAAAAGCACTCGTTAGCATCCCAACACAGCAAATTCAGAGCCAATTTTAAGGAAAATAGGATGCAACATACCTTCTCGCTGATCGTACCATCAAGCACCAGCTTAACAGCAACACCACAAGGAACACCAACGGTCTTAGCCATGGCAGAGTAACCACCAGGGACACCGTACTCGCAGAGGGTGCTAGTGCGGGTCTCCTTCTGGCCGTTCTTGTGCTCGATCTCGAACTTGTGCTGAAGCATGACGAGATCGCGCTCCTCAGGGGCATACTGCATCTTCTTCTCGAGGGTGGCGCAGAGAGTATCGAGGGGGTTACCGCGAGGAGTGACCTGCTCGTCGGAGAAGAGACCGATCCAGCGAAGACCGGAGATGATGCGATCGCGCTCGTCGTTGTTGGCGAAGGCGGTCTTGGAGGCGATGGCCCACTCGAGATCCTTCTCGTCGGAGGAGGTGGCGCCGAGGATCTGCTTGGTGGCGTCCTTCCAGGCGATGGGGCCGTTGAGGAACTCGCGGCCCTCGTCGCTCAGGAACCCGATGTCCACGAGAACCTTGATCATCTCCGGGAAGCCCTGGTAGCGGAGGGTGCCGCGGACCACGGTCTGGGCTTCGGGGATGTTGTAGCGTTCACGGTAGGGGCAGGAGTCCCGGTTGGGGTAGGCGACGAAGGCGAAGCCGGGGTAGATGAAGTAGGGCTTGGCGGTGGCCATCAGGTCGGGACCGGCGACGCTGAATTCCTGACCGTCCTTGTAGAACTTGGCGGCGTTGCGAAGGGCGAGGAGAACACCCCGGCTGGACCAGCTGAACTTGTAGCCGAGGGGGTTGTTGGAGCATTCGGGGGCGGCTGACGTGGTATAGGTTAGTAGGTGTGATGCTATCATGGGAAGGGAGAGGACTCACGCAGTCCACCGCAGTAGCTCAGGAAGGAGGTGATCTTGCCGCCTTCAGCGTGAACCTATGGGTGACGTGTTAGTGGGTGAGTCGGGGGCATTGAGGGTATTGGGAAGCGTACCTCGGAGATGGTCTTGACGGCGTAGAGGTGGTCGATACCCTGTTACATGTTGGGTTAGCTGGAGCTATGGTGTTGGGGTTGGGGGTGTACGTACAGGGTCCAGACCGATCTCGTTCATGACGGTAATGCCGGCCTTCTTGCACTCCTCGTCCAGCTCCATCATGGCGGGGGAGACATAGGAGGTGGTGACGACGTGCTTCTTGGTGCGGATGGCGGACTTGATGACAGTAGCGTGGAAGGTGTAGGGGATCAAGCTGATGACCAGGTCGTGCTCCGACAGAGCCTTGTCGAGAGCAGCATCATCGGTGACATCGAGGGAGATGGCCTTGGAGTTCTTGAAATCACCGCTGAGCTTCTGAGCACTCTCGAGGGTTCTGCAGGCTGTTAGGGTAGTAGTCGATGATGGTTAGCTGTGTGGGCCCCGTTGGAGTGGTGCGTGATGGGAGGAGCGATTGGTGTCGCCTTTGATGGAATTGGGGTCACATACCGACAGTGACGTGAACGTCAGCCTTGCTGAGCACCTCAACGGTGGGCTTTGTGACTGGAGAAGTGTCAGTGGGATGGATGGAGTCAAACGGTCCCCCTATGCGGGGTCCGAATCGGCCGAGTAGATGGGGGGAGAGATTGGAGGCCTACCGAAGCCCGAGCCCAACAGAAGAACCTTGGAACCGGCGACAGGCATGATGACAATGGAGGATAATCCGGGGATGAATTAGTTGAGAAAGGGAGATAGTATCAGGAGAGAGACTGGGTTGAGTCACCGTTGCTATTGATGCTCGATCCCCGCCGAGTCACGTGGGGGCGCCCACTTGGTCGGATGCGGTATCGGAGGCTGAGATATCGGGGCCTTTCCATTAGCTACCCGGGATTACTTGACGGGATTGAGGGCAAACGGTGACCGCCTCGGTCTGGTGTATGTGTGCAATGCCTGTATCTACACGCCCAGGGAACTTTTCCAGCTCGGTGCTATAATCTCTAAATGCCAAAATGAGGGGGAATATTGATCGATGCTCCAAAGGGTCGACTCCAAACGCCCGATGATCTCCAGTCCCATGTATACAACGGAACGAAACACATAAAACTACAACTCTTTGACCTTACCATTACTCTCCTCAACGCTGTCGGATATGTCGCCGTCAAAGTTCCCTTCCGCGTCCGGATTCTTCTTCGACTTGGAGATCCTGCGCTGCCATCCGAGCAACACAGGCATGAAGTGCCATAGGTCAAAGTCCGGCCACAAGATGTCCAGGAAGACGATCTCCGTATCCTCGTGACATTGCCAGAGCATGAAATCACTGAGGCGCTCCACCCCGGATGTCCGGACCAGCAGATCTAAGGGGGGATTATCGTACGTGAATAGATGATCTGACAATGTCTGACGCGTGATCGTCTCAGGGGACATGAAAACGGGACTCTCCTTCCCGGGGGTAGGTTCGGATACTGGCGCCTTCCCATTCGGGGTGTCTGGCTGTCCAGCAAGGTGGAGGGTCGACGAGGAGGAAAACGAAGATCCGTTTTCGTAGACTCCATTCGGCAGATCGTGCTTCGGGGCTCCGCCCTCTGCTGATGACTCCGACGCGGTCTCCGTGTCGCTCGGGACATCTTCGCCTTTCCCAACCTGGGCCTGTGCTCGAATGTTTTGCGCAATATGAGACTCGGAGAAGGGTGACCTGGAGGAGGTGGTCGAAGGGCGAGATGACGGGAGAGGCTGGCTGTACTCGGCCACGGTTTCTCGAACGGCCGTGGTAATCTCATCGCGCGATGTATACGGAAAACAGATGTTCAGGATGCAGTTGCCGTTGCCACTTGTCACCTCCATGGCCCGGTTCACTGCAGCGAGAACATCCGGCCTGAGCAAGTCCAGTCGGCCCAACACCCGAACTTTCGCTCCGTAACGATCCAGGATCTCCCCATGCTGAACCATTTGCGATAGCTGTACCCTAGCCAATTCCATCAGAGCATCCACCTCGAATTTCGAGCGCTTGAAGTTTTCAATGCTGAAGGCGTATATCGTAACAACTTTGACACCGCTCTTATAACAGACTTCTAATATCTAGTTCCCAGATATGAATCAGTAACCCAATTTGACGAAAGAGGAAAACGGTGCCTGAAGTAAGCTCCGGTAGAGACTCACTAACCCTTGCCAAAGCCTCAAACCCCAGGTTATGTCCTTCGACGGTCTCGATACCGTGAGTTCGGGCAAACCTCCGGTTACCATCCATGACAAAGGCGACATGTTGTGGAACTGGGCCCTGTCGGATTGCCCCTACCAACAGATTCCGGAGTTGTCCTATGGCAAACTCGATTGGCGGAGAAGCAAGCAGCCATTTCCGAAACCTGGAGAGGTGAATCGACGTCGACATGGTGTCCACTAAAGCGTAGGAAGTAGGGTATGACAAGCTTTTCCGACTCGAAAAGAAGGGCTGACTGTGAGAGTCTGCGAAGGATGCGGAGGACGTTTCACGATGCAGGACGGGGAAGGTCGTGTCGTGCAGGGCCGATGCGCAGTTACTCTCTCGATTCCGACATGAACCAAGGAAACAACAGTCCGAGTATGCGAAGGATAAGGAAGAGCTGACAGCCACTGAAGGGCTAGAGAGAATAGTATAAGCTGGGGGAACTTCCCGGTAGGGCCGTGCCCATCAGGCTACACCGTTCTTTTTTTGTTTGCTTTTTGTCGATCTTGCGGGTGAAAATGGGGGTGCTCGGTTTCAGGGGGCCTTGCGAAACGACCAAACTCTGTCAAAAGTCTCGAGGAGGGACTGGGATAGCAGAAAGCGAGGAGAATGGGCGAGAGGCAAAGGAAAGAGCACAGAATGGGAAACGTAACCTGGATGGGAGACGGTGTGGGTCGGCCGCGACTGGGATCGGACGGTTTTCTCCACGTGTAATCGCTGGTCGTCGCCTTCGAGGCCCCAGGCTGGCCCGGGCATGCCTGAGGGATGAGTGCCTCATCTTCACGGCATCCATCCTCATCGGGACACATCTTGTTGACTCGCTGCCGTCAGATCGCGGATCATCCTCCAGCTACTCCGTACGCCGTACACGCAAAGAACACCGTGTTTGTCTTGGGAGGGGGTGCCCTGGTCAGCTGACAAACTTGGGTCCAACCATGCAGCCGCCATCTCTGTGTGATTCTGCTTGCATGACAGCCCTGCAGGCGCATCCCAGAAGGAAACACTCCATACATTTCCATGACTGTTCGATTCATCCATAGCCAGGCGCTAGCGGTTTGGGTCCTTATGCCAGTCTGTTGGTGGACTTTCTCCCGTCGACAATGTGTACACAGTGTACAGCGCCATGCATTCTCATCTCGACTGGAGCAGCTAGTTGGTAGGAAGGGGACAAGGGTAAGTTGGACTCATGGTCCAGTTATTTATCTAAGCTTGATTGCCAAGCAGCAATCAAGGTGGTCCGAGACCGATGGCTATCGATATTGCAATTACCGAGAGGGGCTGTTCAGTTGCTTAATCAGCCTGGTGACTGCCAGTGGTTATCTCGTAGTTGGTTAGCAACTAGTAAAGTTTAGGCTGACTTTGTCCAATTGCGACATCAAATGTTGCGTTCCATGCAGAGTGATTGCATTGCAGAGAAGCCTGCTTATTGAACAGGATCTCCCTAGGTCCGGCTTCCCGAGCGGCATGAAGCGTGGGGTGAGCATAGAGGTGCTGCAGAAGATGCTACTTCTTGCCCCATCATTTGTAGTCTTCCCGTCAAGGCCTTTGGGTAGCATTCAATATGGGTTCTTTGTGAGAGCCTGTAGAAGGACTAATATGCAATACTCTATAGAATACAATCCCTGTATCTTATAATAAACTAGTAGTAGCTAGCAAATCGTATAAAGAAGGTCTCCCACACGGGCTACAGCTACACCGGCCAAGAGTTCACTCATGGCAGTATACCATTTCCGGGCTCTACTTGCCTGGTGAAATCCCGATCATCCATAGAAGCCTTTCGATTCTTTTTTTTCGCCAGTTGGAAATCAGTCTCGCAAAGGTGGAAATCGATGATCAGAGCCCGGCCTAGCTCAGTGTTCCAGATAATGTTTTCTGAGCGAATATCCTGATGCCGAACCCTCAATGAACGGATTTCCCTCATAGACTCAGATATGGCTTGTCTCCTGATCGCAAAATCCAGTTGTCACATAGCCATACTCGAGCCCATGCTGCATCATTGCATGGTATTGCTGGACTAGAGCTGCGCCCGCTAAGTGAGCCGCTTTATCTTCTCATCCGGTAGACTTGAACTCTCAGCGATCGTCGCATGAAAGTCCATCGGTCGTAGGCCTGCACGGAATGTCTCCATAGACAGTTTGTGGGATGGTTTGCACACCCCGATCGTAAGAAGAGTAGATGTATCATCATCATTGACACGATGTATGCAGAATGCGTCAGGCCTCGCATCTGATAGCTTTGAATCTCCAGGAGTTTGAGCCTGAGCTTGAGGTGCATCCAGCACGTTGGGATGATCTTGAAACACGATACCACGGTCACCGAGGCCAAACCTCTCTCGAGCAGCAGGGATTTTGCAGAACTCTCCAACAATATCGTGGACGTAACGCTGCACCGAAAGATGCTCATATGTCTGCAGATCCACCTCACTGCTTATCACTTGTTTCTCAACCTCATCCCCAGTATCTTGAAACCGCAGACAGAGCTGTATATCTCCTCATGCATGGCATCACACTCTGTCCAGAGTTCAAACCGCAGGGGACACAGTCTCCCAGTGGGCGGCCATATATTTCCTCGCGTACATGCGGATGGATGTGCAATCTCTAAACGCTTAGAAAGCGATTCGTGGCAGTGGCAGATGAGATCTAGAAAGGTTATTTTCTGATTTCGCACTTCTAACTGCCTGTATTCCTCTTTGATGAGCCCGCGCTACCATTTGGCCAGCCTGCGGTCCACTGTGACCAGCCTAGGCTTTTGAATACCCTACCTGGTCCGTTCTTCTGATGCCAGAAAGAGCTGATAGAGCACATCGTAATCTGGTCGGCTGCTCATTTAAGCCACCCCCGGACAATCGAAGGGTCGGCTATGCGAATCGCAAAAGGGGAATAGGCCTTTCGATGAGGTTATCGAGCCGAGCAAGCTGGGTTTGCTTGTACTGACTGGCGAAGACCAGACAAGTAACTAATTCAGGAGCTTGCCGAAATGGTTGATGGTAAGGAATGGAGTAGAATTGGCGGATGAAAAATCTACCTCAACTTGAAGCAGATGCTGTCAAGAACCAGGCAGTCCACCGAAGCAAGATTTCCTTCGAACGAAGGATACTACCACCATTGTTCTACAGATAGCACCTTCAGACACGGCTGACTAGAATAGAAGCTCATGAAACACACAGTCATGATATAGTTAATCATTTCTAGCGCTTTCAGTCAAAGGGAATGGGTATCTTAGTATTTGAGACCTTTACAAATCAAGTTCCTTAGTTTCTTTGTGTCCAGTCGGGAATATTGAAGTATCAAAGAAGGCAGTGGTGGGCTTCTTCTTGAGGGTGGCGCAGAGATTGGGATACTCTGGCTGCGAGGCACGCCCTTCTGTGAAAGATTAATTCAGAAGCTTGCCCACGTTAGCATTGACCAACTTAGTACGATGGGTTGTGAAGTCATAATCCCTTAGACTGAATATCGTTCCCTTTGGCCGGCTGTCTTGTACTGGTTTCTTGCTCTGTTAACATTTTTAAACGGGCCTGCCAGATATCTCCAGCAACATCTAATCAGCATCTTCTACCTGAAGATTTCAAAGCACCTATAAAGGCAGCACTTGGTTCAGACCTGCGGCCTGAATCTGCGGTATTCCCCCAGGCCCTCAGCCAATGGAAGCGGTAAACGCTGGCAATATCTAGATCAAGTGACGTTGTCGCACAGGACTCCCCACGTGCCGCTCTCTCTAAGCAGCAGCCCCCGTATCGGGCGCCGGATGTGATGTGACTTGCAACGCAGCAGTTCAGTGACAGTGACTGACTGATACACTACACTACTACGGAGTAAGGTGAGACCGTAAGAAGCCACCCCCACCCTGGCTATTTCTCACCATCTGGACCACCGAATGTGCCTTGTAGCGTAAGTCCGAACGATTGAAACGAACTTTGTCAGTCCGTCCAGCCGTTCGGACCGAGATTCCTTAAGTAGGGAATATTGGGACTTGGGAGTTTCCCCGCCTGACGGCCGCCCCGCGGACTTGAATCGACTCCCGCCCTCACGGACTTGCTTTTTTGGCAGGAATCCCTGGGCGTCGTGGCAAGCCTCGGGGAAGGGTCTTTGTCGCATCTGTTGCCGGCTGCATCAACGGATCTCATCACTGAAGGTGTTCCGCTCTTACGTTCCCCTCCGTGACCCTTTCGGGTGCATCACGATCCACAGATTGGATCCGCAAGACCGGGCCTGATATCCTGATTGCCTTGGTCCATTCTACCCACTATCGGATAATATTGACCGGCCTTTGATGACCATTTACCGGCTTCGTATCGCCAACTGGTCGGAAAACTCCTTGACTATCTGTCCTGAAACCTGGTGCTACCCACTGGCGGACTGTTTCAGCCCAATGTGGCCTTGGCTTCACCCTGCGCTCTGAATCCATTCCTCCAGCCATCCCGGGATTGATACTCCTCAACTTGCACGATATCTATCGTCTGCATTCCGACGCAGTCTGCACTCCGCCACACGGATCACATCCTATATTTCGTGGCTTTGGCATTATGTCGGTAAAGTATGTAGATATACCCGAACACCCCGGTTGCGCTATTCTTATTGTTCCCTCTGCATGCTCTTCCTTCATGAACCCTTCACCCCCGTGTTGTTGTAGGAAATGAACTGGCTTCCCTTTCTTTTGGTTTTCATTATTCGTTTTCTTCTTTCTACTATGCATGCGTATAGTTAGGACCCCTCTGACATGTTGAATGTGACGTTGAGGACTGACCGCTAACAATGACACCCAATACAACAGCTGGGTGATGCTGCAAGGCCCAGAAGGCTTTGTTCGACTACCCAATGAGCACCAGCTTTTCTCATCTCCGCCGCGCACCAGCCTCTCACTGCAACCCCTTGGTTCCAGTGCCAGCAAAGATGCGTTCTCCCTCCAGAGTAGTGCCGGCCAAATATACCTCACAAACCAAAGGGTACTTTCCTCTGAAACTTATCGCCCGTTCACTTGCTCCTTTGATAAACGTCCATTAACATACTACAACAGGTCGTTTACATCCCTGCTCAACAAACCAAGGATTTCCAGTCGTTTTCTGCACCACTCTTGAATGTCCACGATGCCCATGTCACAGCGCCGTTTTTCGGGCCAAACGCATGGATGGCTCTTGTCCAGCCGGTATCTGGCGGAGGCATCCCCGCTTCGCTGCCCGCTGTACAGCTCAAAGTGACGTTCAAAGAGGGCGGGGCGTTCGATTTCCACAACAACTTCGAGAGAATCAAGGAACGTCTGCAACAGGCGGTCGAGAACACTCAGGCGAGTAGTCGAGGTGCTCAAAATGTCGACCTGTCTGCTATTCATCTAGACGAACTCCCTGCGTATTCTGGTCCATCGGGTGGTACATCTGGGGCTGGCCATGGCACTGCAAACCGGCCCCCGAGTCCACAGTCTCATCGGACCGGCCCAGGCACCGGACCAGAGCCCATGGAGCCTCCGCCAGACTATGAGGAGGTGCAACAGCAGAGTGTCGCGGATGCGCTCGAGGAGAGACTGCGTCGGGCTAGTTGAGGCGCCCGAGAGGAACCAAATTGGGCACTTTAATTAGATTGTCTCCTATTCTTTCTTTCCCCTAACCCGCCTGGTCTCCTGTCCGAGACCCTCTAATTTTCCTGTATACTACTTGGACGTTATCCTCGAATGAAGCAAAGTTTCCCTCATACTTATAAACACATAAACAAAAGACGGGACGGAAATGATATTACCGCATTAGTCACGGGCCAGCAACGGGCCAATCACGTGGACGATAATTGAGACTTCGCCGGCGGCCGGGGTGTTCCGATTTTCCAGAGCCGGCAGAACGCCAAAGCTTCGAGTCGTAAAACCAACCAACCTCAATTCAATCTCGCACCGCACTCCAACCCCCCACACCCTCTCCAGTCAAACCCCTCAATTGACAATCTCCCCACGGTTCAGCATGGGTCTCGCCGACTTTTTCACCGACGTCATCTCCTCCTTCGGCTTCCCCGAGGCTCAGGCTGAGGCTCCCGCCGAGTCCGTTGAGCAGACCACCAGCCAGGAGGCCGAGCCCGAAGAGAAGCCCGCCGTGAACGAGGAGGAGGCCGCCCCCGCCAGCGAAGAGACCTCCGAGGAGTCTGCTGCCGAGGAGACCCCCGCTGAGGAGGCCTCCGAGGAGGAGGAGCAGACGGAGGAAGAAGAGGAGGAGGAAGAGGAAGAGGAGGAAGAGGAGGAGGAGGAGGAGCCTGAGGACATCAAGCCCCAGCTGGAGGAGGGTGAGTTGTCATTCCTATTCCTTTGCTTCATGTGCCCTTGATTCTCGCGGATTGCTACATGGGCAGGTCCGCGATACTCGGTCAATGCCCGCTTACTCTGTGCTGACCCGGCTATTTGTCATTGCGTTCCTGAGCCATTGACATCTACCTATGCAACTTCCTCTATCGCGCTTTATTCAATTGAACGTCTGACTGATTTCAATGTCCAGAGTGCGCCAACTCCGCCCAGTGCGCTCCCTACAAGCACCACTTCGATGAGTGCGTCGAGCGTGTAACCCAGCAGCAGGAGGACGAGGACTACAACGGCCCCAAGGAGGACTGCATTGAGGAGTGTAAGTACACCCGTCACCACCATGGTCCTATACCATCCAAATTCCCCAACCACCCAATCAACCATTACCAATCCGATCATACACTAACCACACATCCCTACCTCACAGTCTTCCACCTCACGCACTGCGCCACCCAGTGCGCCGCCCCCAAGCTCTGGAAGTCCCTCAAATAAACGGGTCTCTCCAACCCCAACGACTTCTCCTCTCGCGGTGTGCCGTTCTCTGACAATGACAATGACCCAATGAGCCAATGACCTTGGATCCAACCAGGAAATGACCCTCCGCGAGAGCAAAGTCCTACGAAAGAATTGATGGCAGTCCTGCCGATGACGCATTATCTTGGTCTCGGCAAACAACCCCCACGTGTCGCGGTCGACGATGATGTATGTTAGATGGAGGATGCGCGGGGGGTTCGGGCGTGCCTTCAACTGTGTATGTACAGATAGCTGGTCTCTGCCCTGTTTGAAACTGTGCTTTCTCATTTCCCTTTTTCTTTATCAGTTGTTTCCTTGGGTCTTCTTTTAGATGAATGTGATTTTTGGACTAGATTTTGCGGTGTTTTAGTATGTGTTGAGTGGTGGGTAGATGAGCAGGTAGGTTATTGGTAGGGATTATGCTGTGTGTATAACCGCTGGGTTCTTATATATGATACCTATGGCATGGTATGGTATTGATATAGGTTCAAAGGAGGGTATCACATCATCAATCGTCGACTAGCTTGTCTCGTCTCGTCTCGTCACCAGGACTCGTTCTTTCATCCCTTCCTGTACATCCTAATTGCTAACAAACTCGCCCAGTCACTTCCACCGGGCAATACTCAACCTAACTTACCCTTCCCACCACTCTCCTCATCCCTACGCTCCTCACCACCACCACCAACATCTTCAACCTGCACCTCACCCGCCTCCTCCAACTCCACTCCCCGATCAATATCCAATCTCCGTCTCCTGACATCCCGTCCAAAACACCCAATACAAAGCGGCCACGGGGCGGCCACGCCCGCCACCACAGCCGAGAAGATCAACGCATTCTGCATATTCAGCGGCGGGGAGGCATGATCACCCGCCTTCAACGCATCCTGGATGAGGATGAACACCGCGCCTAGTAACTGTCCACCTGTCCAGCAGATGGTGCTCCCGATCTCCGGGGAGAAGGGGTAAGTGATTTCGACGAGGTATTCGAGGACGACGGGAAGGAGGGCGAAAGAGGCGGCGCCGAGGAGGGAGCAGACGATGTAGGAGGGGGCGATGCCGACGGGGCTGGGCGGGGCGAAGATCAGGGCGATGTAGGTGATTGCGACGATGGGGACGAGGATGCGGATGGTGGGGAGGTATTGCTTGTAGCGGTCTGTGAGGGGGGAGATGATGGCGGAGGCGATGAGGCCGACGATGATGAGGAGACCGCCTGCGATGCCGGCTTCGGTTTCGGTGTATGAGTAGGGTTCGAGGATTTGGTTGAGGAGGGAGGAGACGCTGTTGAAGAAGCCGACGTAGACGGAGAAGGGGATGAGGATGAGGTAGAATTCTAGGGTGCCGAGGAGTTGGGTGATGGCGGGGAGGAGCGGGGTGGAGGGGTTGGTGCTGGCGCTGGCGGAGGAGGCGCTGGGGGGTGTTGGGGGGTGGGAGGGGATGAAGAATGAGGGGAGGGCTGCTACTGTGGCCTTGGGGGTTTGAGGGTGTGGTTAGTAGGTGAGTGGGTGTTGGGTGGTTTGGTCTATGGCTTACGATGATGGAGATGTACAGAACCATGTTCGGGACGTCGCTGGGTTTCGTTGCCCAGAATGAATCGATCAGCTCGCCTAATGCTGCGCCCAGTGGATTGGCGAGGGTCGCCACGGCCGTGGCACTGGTACGGCCCTGATCGGAGAACCAGAGGTCGCTGTATCGAGTGGGAGCACTGAGACAGAATGGCTGCGCCAGTCCGATGAGGATCTGTCCGAACATGGCCACCCCGAATATGCCCCCTCGCGCTCTGGTGCCTGCATATCGGATCCAGTTGCCCACGAGGAGGAGGGAAGAGGTGGTGATGATGGCGGGTTTAGGGCCGCCTTTGTTGAGGGTGAAGATCACGACGCTGATAGAGTGAGTCGTCTGGCCACTCGCTTCCTGGCACTCAAGACGAGTGCATGTATTCAGGGCTGAACTCACGGACTGGCGACACAAAATGCAAAGAGGTAACCAGTGCTCATCCAGTTGATGGCGCTCTCAGATACTCCGAAATGCTCAGCTGCGGTGGTTGATATCGAGGAGAAAGTCAACCACTAGAGGTTCATGGTAGTCAGAATAGACCTCATCCTCATTGTCTGCGTACCCAGAACTTACGTCCCAGCTAACGACGATGTTCAATAGCACAAGCTGTGCCAGCCCCCAGAATCGCCGCTTGTAGACCTTATAGACGGGCCCCGATGGAGGCAGCCCGGCCGGCGCATCAGTTGAGGAGCCATGGTGCATTCTGGACGATAACTGGGGTGATTTGGAGTCCATGAGATAATGAACTGGTGGGTTGCGTGACTCGCTGGAGGGGAGCGGAGAAATGAGGGGAAGCAAGTAAGGAAGTAGTCAATCAGTGAACGCCGTCCACGGGGTCACGCTGTAGGTTTAATATCCTCTTGCCGAGACTTGATGGCGCCCATTGATAAGACACGGTAGAAAGCGACCCGACGTTGGGTTACATGGGACTGTTCGACCGTGACCTTCATTTTTGGGAACTGGCCGTCTGGCTCATGATAGCTCGGTTTCATCGTGCGTTTCTTGACGATCTGACCTCGGCTGAGGCCAGTGTGGTCTCAGGTGCCAGTTAATAAAATCAAAATCGTCGAAACGAGAGTGCGCTTTGCTGGATATTTCGTCTCTGACCAGAACACTCTGGGATTATCTTGGATTGTTGATGGGCGTCTTCAGTCATGGTATCAATCAGATAGACTGCAGTCACATGGGATGAACCCGTCGCATCCCCGAGTCCAGATCGATGGAGGCACAGTCGATAAATGTGTTCAGAGTCGATCAAGGAGACCGACCAGTTACACCGTACACCAAACGCATCTCACAAGCCCGCCCCAATTGATGGAGGGATTGATATCCGCCGGCGTAGATTAACGGTGGTTCATTCGAGCCGGATCCAAGCCCGGTGGAGCAGAACCAGAGAGAAGAGCCGTTAGTTGTTTCAGGGGAATTCCGGGGTTGACGCGCTGGTTTAATAATAGAAATCGGGACATTCCAATCATTCCATGGCCAGACAAAAGGCCTGGCCTGTCAAGTCTGTCATTGTTCCATGACAGGTCCTCTGTAGAGAATCGGATGCCTGGGAGCGTCCTTTGTAGAAGGAAAGACAAACCGGGGTGGCGAGGCGACGATCCCGCCCATCTTCTTCAGCTTCAGCTGTTCCTCCTCCCAATTTTCCCCCAGGACACAGTAACCCGATGGGATAGATCACTTTCGACACGCAACCCCCTCCACCATGCCCGGCCACTCCTCTCGGAGGAATCTTTAGGACCATTGGCCCATCAGGGGCGCGGCCTGCAGCGCATCTCAGATCCATCAGTCCGATTGAGCTCGAATTGTCCGCGTTTCTTCCGGTCGGCTCAGCCCTCTTTTGGCGCAGATCCATCGCGGGCTCCGCTCGCCTCCCTTTTATCTTCTTGACACCACGCTCTTCTGTCAGCCACCGGTTTTCTCTCTTCTTCCACCTTTCCACGGCTGATTGTCCGGCTGGAATCTTGTCTCTGGCGGCAAATCCGGCTGTCGCGAAGGATGGATGCTGCCTGCTGACCCGCCAGCCCTCTGATTAACCGATCGTGCGGACCGCTGATTCTTTGGCCGTTGTTGTTGTTGTTGTTGTTGTTGTCGGTCCCTTGAACTCACGACCATGAATATGAATCCCCTTGACATCCGGGCCAGCCAGTCGTCTTATGGCGAGCCATCGCCCTTGGCTGCTGCCTCCTATGGCGCTCCGCAGCCGCCCCCAACCAAGGTGCTGATGGAAGGCTACCGCGATGCCCTTGACCCCCAACCGGCGGAGAAGCCGCGCTACACTCCGGTTGGTGTTCCTTTCCCTACGCTGCTTGCGACAAGGCTAATTACCCCTTTGCGGGTGTTCCTATAGATCAATACCGCGTACCCCCAAAGCTCCGAGCCGCTCAATACCCACGACCCCGTCGCCATGTACCTGCTGACCGAAACCGCCATGACTGATAGCACACACTATGAGATCCTGTCCTTGGAGGAAGTGGAGGCACTGAAAAAAGAACACAAATTCTTGTCAAGTCGCTTGAACGCCGCCAAAGGAAATTTGGCCCTGGAAATGAAACTGCGCGATGCGGCCATGTCCCTTAGCCGACTTTACACGTCCAAGAGCCCCAGTGCAAGCGGAGACTACGACGTAGATACAGCTCCTAATTCCCGTCAGAGCCGCAGAAGCCTTATGGGGCCCAACGACCCGACCATGGATAAGACGGAAGAGGAGCTCGCACTGAGCACCCGGAAATGCGAAGAGCTGGCGCAGGAGATCTGGACCCTGGAGCGCAAAGTGCAACAAGTCAACAACAGGCTGCTGGAGCATACGGCCGGAATTCTGCAGATGACACATAAGGGCCTGAAGAAAAACATTCAGAACAACATCCCCGACACTCCCGAGAGCCTATCCAGCCACAACACGCGCGGCAGCGTAGACGACTTCGACGATCGGAGTTTCTATAAGCCGACCGAGCATCTTAATGGGTCTCACGGACATGGAGCACGAGAAGGACCGACCTTGAACGGACTGGGCCTAGAGGCAATCCAGGATACGGAAAGCAGACTGGAGTATCTGAGTGGAAAAATGCGAGACATGATCCTCCAGTCGAACCCGGACCATGATCTCGCGCCCATCCCGCAACCCTCTCATGAGGAAGGTCCAGTCAATCCTACAGCAACGGTCGAAGCACACCTGGCATACATCGAAAATGGAATGAACATGCTCGGTTCAAACCTTTCAAGTGGTCTGCCCCAGAGCCGGGCTGTCGACTACGAGTCCGAGCAACAGTTGGAGGAGATCAATGCACGCTTGTACAGCGTCGTACAACAGTCGGGGGTACCTCATGCACAGACCCTGCCGCCGCCGCCAGACCCGTCCCATGGCGACATGGCGGAACAATTCGGCTATCTCAGTGCCGGTATTAATGGACTTGAAGAGCGGATCGACAAACTTCTTGAGCAGAAGAGCATTCTCACAACCCAAATCCAGCAACAACGAGAACTAAACTCCAAGTCAGATGCCGAGCGAGATGCGCACATCGCGGACTTGGGCGAACAACTGACCCACGTCCGGAAAGAGCTCGAGCTCTCCGAGAGTGAAGGTCAACGGTCGAGGGAGGCGTTGGAACAGGCCATGGAACAGCTGGAAGCTATGCGTCAGGAATTGGCAAGCCATCAGGAAGAGCACAAAATGGAAGATGTCTCCGGCGTCTTGACATCCGAGAAGGAAGCTCGTGCACGCGCAGAGGCCGAAATTGAACGTTTGCAGACAGTCATGGAAGAGCTTCAACACGAAAAGGAAGCTCAATCCGAGGCCCATGAAGCGCGAGTCCGGGCAGAAAATGAGCTTGCCCAGCTGGAAGCTCATGTGAACGAACTCCGATCTCAGCATGCCACCCGTACGGAAGAACTCACTGTGGCCCACTCCCAAGCACAGAGTGAAATCACACGTCTGCAGGGAGTGATTGACCAGGTACAGGGTGAAACCGATGCTAAGGTGGAGGCGGCCACAGAGGCTCATTTTCAACAACTTCGCTCCCAAGCCGATGCTCACACGGAGGAACTTACTGCCGCTCGCTCCCAGGCGGACAGTGAAATTGCACGTTTGCAGGATCTGATCAGTCAGCTTCAGGATGAGGTGGGAACCAAGGCAGAGGCGTCCGAAGCGCACGAGCGCGCAGAGCAGCAAATATTGCAATTGGAAGAGACCCTGCAGCAGATCCGCAATGAATCAGACGCCCAGATAAGGGAGGCTACCGAATCCAGAGCGCAGGCCGAGAGCGAGGTTGTTCGCCTGGAGACTTTGCTGGGCCAACTTCGTACCGATATGGAGCCCCAGCTGAAAGAAGCTACTGAGGCGCGCACGCAAGCCGAGGGCGAAGTTTCCCGGTTGGAAGCTACATTAAGTCAGCTTCGAGCCGATGTGGAGGTGCTCGAGTCTCAGCTCAAACAAGTTACTGCAGCACGCAGCAGCGCCGAGGAGAACGCCACACGCTTGCAGGCGGAGTTGACGGAGATGGAAGGCGAAGTCGTACGGGCCCAAACCGAGCTTACGATGGCCAAGGCTGAGCTCGATGGCGCGTATGGATCCCGAGCTCAACGGGCGGCTGATATCGCAGCCAACCCTGCCATCCAAAGGGAGTTTGACGAGTTGAACACCCGGAATCTCGAGCTGGCCGAGGAACTTGCGGCCCTCAAGGCCGGCAAGCCCGGGAGCAGCGATCTGCAGCACCGAGTGGAAGCACTAGAAAGAGAACTCCGGGAGACGGTGGACGATTACGAAGCGATGACGAAGGCTAGCATCGAATTCGAGAGAGAACGCGAGAGGTTCGAGGGCGTCATTGACGCGCTGCGGGACCGCTGTGAACAACTGGAGACACAGCTCAATGAGGAACGGATCAATTGGATGGGCAGTGGCCGTGATGGCCATTACGAGACCACGTCAACGATGGTGCTGAAAAATGAATTCAAGAAGATGATGCGGGACACGCGCGTTGAGAACATGAAGATCCTCAAGGTAAGTCCATTCCGTCCGGTTGGCATTCTATGTCCCTGGCTAATCTCCCCACTCAGGCGGAACAGGAAGAACGCCGGCGGCTGGAAGGCTTGATCCGGAATCTGAAGAAAGAGCAGGCGAACCTGACGGGCAAGTCCAGCCTCAGTCAGGGCATCCCGGCTCAATGATCATGACTTACTGTACACTGTACACTTTCCCCGCTGTTTGGTTGTGTGCTTGCGTGCTTGCGATTGATGTCTCATTCACCGTAAATATTAATGTCTGTTAATAACTACCCCCTCAAGCGTTTCTTTCTTTGTCGTACCCGATCCAAATGTGCATATAGAGAATATCTCAGGGACCAGGCCTGTTTCCATATTTGTTATGTTTGCCAATGGTCATTGTTATCCATCCTGCACAAGGTCGTTCTTTCTTCATCTTGCTGTGCGCTTTCCCTCTCCCATATTCCGTCTCCCCTCTCCAGAATTGGGCAGAGCAGGAAGGTGCTGGGGACGGAGATTCATCTTCAAGGAGTTGTCGTCCTTCCGTCCATTCTCCTCCCGCCTTCATCTTCCCGTCGAGGAGTGAATCTCTCTAGAAGCTCGGTGGGTTTGTATGGCATCATGGTTGCCCGGAACCAGAGCGCCTTATCTGCTCAACATGGCTCGTCGGACGAAGATGAAGTCTCTGCAACAGAAGGTGGACCTCCTGGAGAAGCCGCACCGCGTGGCACTGCCGCCTTGTCAGAGTCGGTGCTGAGTGAAGAGAGTTCTATCTTCAATGCTTTACGGACCAACTCTGGGACTGAAGATATTGGCCCGAGACTTGGCCCGGGTTGCCCATCCCATGGCAATGCAGATAGCAGGATAGCAGCCAATATGGCCATGTTCATCCCCCTCGCGCCGGAGGCGACGGATGCTGTCCAGCGGCTGAACCGCGAACCAAAGTATTTCCCGGAACAGAAAGCCCAGTCTTCTGGTTGGCATCCTCAGTTGTCTTTGGACAGCTGTGCATTATCTACAGACGAAGGAAAGGCGATCGTCGCATCCCCTCCAGACGACTCGTTGAAGCAACATCTTCTGGACGCGTTACATCTCCGGAAGGCGGTTAGTCTCAACGATGCCGATGATATCTCAAGGACATTCAAGTGGCCCGGGAATCACGACTCGCCGGTGAACCCTGTCCTTCCTAGTTATCCTCCGCCAGTAAGAGCGCCTACCCCCCCAGGCCTTCCATCTTTCGGTACTCGAGAAGCGATCTGTTACTCCGCCCAATTTCCAGTCCGATCTGCCACCATCAGTGGGCAGGTCCAGCAACCTGCTCCAAACTCGGCCAGAAACGCTTGCAGGCGTGTTGCTAATGGCACTAGGACTGGGTCTTACGGAGGTATGCTGCGACGACTTCTCAGCTTTTCTTCATCCACTCCTTCACAGCCTAAACGGCAAGTATATATCATGGCAAGGGCAGAAGATGGTACCGCTGTCCAAGGGCGCTTTCCTTACAGACAGAGTGGTCATGGAATGAATCTAGCCAGGCGATTAGATGATCATCCGTTCCACCGAACTGCTGTCTCTACTGTCCAAGAAGATCATGTCAACATCGATGCTGGTGTTAGACAAACCGATGGGGACCGCTGCGACTCGAAACAGGAGCAAGCCGACATTGCAGAGCCTTCGAATCTAGGCGCAGGCCGGCGCATGCAAAGAGCTCGTCCCCAGATTGCCCTAAACAGCCTGCTACCTTTACCTCGTCCTGTTCTGGCGGACAACCCCCAACGCCCTGTCTCGGCAAATCCATCTCTCCCAACATGTAGGGTTGATTCATTTTACACTTGCGCTTCTCACTCGCAAGTTCCTGGCATGTCCAGGCACATGGACACCCTCGATACACAAGGAACTGAGAGATTGGGCGATACCGCGACATGCTTCCTTGCACCCACACAGTCACCCCCGGTATCCACGGCACAGGAAGGATGTCGATTAGCCAATGATCACTCTGGCCCTTGGCTACAGTCGCTTCGTATTGTCAACTCTTGGTTTTTCTGCTGTCTGGGTGCTCGGAATGAGCAAGATACCGTCATTTATTCGAACACAGCCTCCAATGACACGTACGTGACTGCAAGAAGCCACGCATCAAATGACAGCGCAGCGGAATGTATTCGTCCTGGCGGCCCTGAAGATCCTGTTCAAAGCCCGCGACGGTGGCTCTCAGAAACTTGGATGTCACTTCAGATGTTTGCTTCTCGCAATTTCCTGGCTTTGAGCCCGATGCCACCGTAATTCATGCAAGACTTTCATACTTTTGTCTAAGGGCGTGGCTTCATCGGCACATATATCGTGACGGATGCGCCAGATACAATTGGTTCTGATCTGCTTTCCAGTCTCGGAAGGCAATTTGCAGCGCCAAGCGGTAGTTAAATATGCAAGATGACTCATCGAGGTGTTGTTTGCTTTGGCTGTTCGAACTGCTAGCGCTTTCTTCTAGAAATGTAACTGTTTACATCATGGCTTCATTGTTGGCATTGCTATTACCGAAATCATGGACGAACAACAGGTGTAGTCATTTCGTATCAGCTAAGACAGGAACCAACCGACTCCATCGCTCCGATGCCGAAATGCTCTGATGATGAAAATATGAACAAACATATCAAGCCGGCCACGGCCACGGCCAACATGGATGACCCATCCATGAGAAAAGGGGCAAACCCGCCCCTGAAAAGATGTGAACGAGCATACTCATGCAATATGGACAATAGGCAGAATCACTAGAAGGAAAAAGGGCTCCTAATGCAAAGAAAAATTTATCACGAAAGAAGAGTAGAAAGTGAAGAAGAAGAAGAAGCATGCAAGAAGGTCGAAAATAGAACAAGGGAAAAGAATACGGATACTTCCATGAACCAGTAGATGAAGATTCTACCTCACCCCCACACGTGCCGATGATCATCGATTACAACCCGGTGAAGAATTGACATGCTTCTCTAAGGTCCTCGTCATCAGCGGCGAAATCCCATCCGACGATCCTCGGATCCTGACTCGCGCAAATGATCTTCTGCGCGTCAAATTGGAGCTTGAAGATCCTGGAGGTAGGCGGTTGGCCCGGGACAGCGGCCATCCGATTCAGCCGGGGATGGTGGTGATGGGTTGCTGCTGCGGCCGCTAGAACGGGGTTCATGATGGGAGGATGGGGTCTATTTGCGCCTTGGTGGGCGTTGATTGGGTTTTGGATATGATGGTTTGTGATGAGGCTGCTTGGGTTCACGGGCCCTTGAGGCCAGGCCCCTCCTTGCTGTTGTTCGGTTGGGTTGGGATTCGTTGTAGGCCAACGGGGTGGTAGTGGCTGTTGTTGTCCCTGGCCATGACCGGCAGGGCCCTGTGTCTGACCCTGTTGCGCTGCGGCAGCGGCAGCTTGGATCTGCTGCGCTTGCTGGGCAAAGGCCTTGGATCGTGCAATTGTATTTTGTGCAGCGGCATCCAGGTTGCTGTATGAGGCGTTGGCAGCGGCTTCTGCCTGTCGGAGTTTCTGTCCCACGACCCAGCGGCCTTCGTTGTCCTTCTTCCAGATGATAATGGTCTCATCATACGAGCCGGAGACGATCCTTCCCCATTGGCTACCGCCTCCGCCCGGAGGGATCTTGGCTCCCAGGGCTTTGATGTCTCGTGGATTCCGGGATCCGTTGGTGTTCTGTTGATACCCTGCACGACGGAGGGCACTAGGGCCGAGATCCACATTCGTACCGGAGCGCTGAGCATCCCGGAAGTCGTTATCGACAGCCAGGGCTTCCAGTCGTAAGGTCTCCTCGGCTCCGGGGGGATCTCCGAAACCAGCTTGGACTGTTCGGACGAGGTTGGCATGTCCGTGTAGGCAGGCCACCTCGGCGCCGGAGGCGTGGTCAAAAATACGAACGGTGTCGTCGTTGCTACCACTGATTATACGTTTGCTGTCGAACTGAACGCAGGCGATGCCCTTTTCGTGGCCTATCACGGTCTTTCTGCAGGAGCCGTTGCGAAGGTTCCAGACCTTGATCAAGCGATCGCCCGAGGCGGAGACGATTTCATCTTCGTTAAGCTGAATGGCGTTGACTGCCGCCGTATGGCCGTCGAGGATCATCAATAAGGAGTAAGGCGCTAAGGTTCGGATGTGATTCTTGGCGATTTCGGCTTCGAGTATAGGAGAGGGGATCTCGCTCGTGTCAACGATGTACGATGGATACGAGACGCCTGAGCCCTGGAAAACACTGGGGTAGTCCTTATCGGCTGGCGAGAGCTGCTGCCGGTTCCAGACCTTGATGAGTTTGTCCTTAGAACAGGTTACTATGTACCGCTCGTCGAATCGAAGATTCAGGACGGAGTCGTCGTGAGCCGGGGCAATCTCGTGGAGTTTCTCTCCGGTGGAAAACCGCCATATTATGACATTCTTATCGCTGCTTCCTGACACAATAATGTCCTCAGACGGGCGGGGATCAAATTGAAGACAGAGAACCGATTTGGAGTGACCTTGAAGAGGTGGGTGCCAGAGTCGTTTAGTATCCAGATCCCAAACTCGAACCGTTTTATCCCTACTGCCACTAACCAACCATTTGCCGGTGAACTGGATTGCATACACACATTCCTGGTGGGCTTCTTCCATATGACATGGGTGTGGGAGTTGAAAGTTTGTGAAACGGCCCTTGGCCCAGTTGTCTTCCAGCCGTCTTCGTTGCTGATACAGATGTGGCCAATTAATCTTAGCGGCGCCGTTGGGCATCCGGATCAGCAGCGACGACATTGGGCGACGCGAGGTCGTTGAGGGTGGTTGCATGTTTGACTTGGAATGGCCAGATCCTGACTGGGACTCACGTCGGGTGCTAGACGTCGGTGACTGTTGCCCGGCGGAGAGAAGCGTCCCTCGATCGTTTGACACATCGCTCATGGGATGATTCCCTTCGGTATCTGCCTCTACAGCGGCCTGCAGTCCATTTCCCCGCACGGCCTCATTGTTATCCAAAGACCCTGTCGCCCGAGAGTCTAGCCAACTGGGAGGTACACGCTTCTTCTGTTTCGGTTCACCGAGATCCGGGTCTGTATATCTCAGCCGCGACTTGCGAAGTTGGGGGGATGACAATCCCGAATGCTCTTGTTCGTACGTGCGAACGGCATCGATGTCGACCCGCCAGCCTTCACCAATGTACAAATCTCTCCAGAGGCGGGAGTCGAAGATGCGACTGCGCCAGGCGCGAGATGCCAGGGACGCGGTCAGCAGCGTCTGAGGGTCAAGGTAGGAAAAGATCTCGGAAGTGATTTCGGGCGGGAGTTTCAACACCGGGTCCATATGCAGCAGAGGCGCCAGCCGTTCGACCACTGAGGCGACCGTAGAAGCACGCAAGGTCCGTAGAAGATTGTAGGCTAGCTCTACATGAAACACCAGAACCTGTCAGCATATCGGGCGATCGCACCAGGGAGCCGAACGAAAGAGAAACCTTGCGCAGGACGGGGATCAGGGGAAGGGGGGATCGAACACACCGGCTCTCTCGGCCTCGCCATAAGTATGAACCCAGTCGGGGAGCGGCATCACATCATCCGGGGACGGGTTCAGGAGCTCCTTGTCGGGCTGACTTTTGGTTTCATCGGAGTAACCCTCGTCCAGCTTGAAGGGCGCAGACAGCGAGGGGGCGGTGAAGTCGGAGGAATAACTGGCGGCGCCCTGGAGCAGCCGGAGACGAGGGATGGTCGGAGTTTGCGCGGTGTCCCTCGCCATGAGGACTAAGGAAAATTTGCCTCCCTCTATTTTTCTAGCCTCCTTTGTCCCTTCCGCTGGGATGAAAGGGCGAGAAAGGTAGGATGGGCCCTGCTGCTTCTATCGGGGTGGAGTCTCGTGGTGCTTCGGGCTCCTACAACACAACACTATGAAGCAAGAGGCGGGCTGGACCACCCTTTCCTTCAAAGAGAGCTATTGGCACCGACACATGAACCGGGGGGAAGATTAGGGCCGGACAGAAGTAAGACCGACGAAGAAGAAATGATGAATAGTTAGTTAGCAGGCCATGGCGGTGATGATGGATAGTCAATCAGGTATGGATGGGGGGAGCTGTGGAAGTGAGTTGGAAGTTCGGAGAGGACCTGACGGCAGTGACTCGTCACGTCAGAGTCATGGCCTAAACAGGTATTTACCGACGAGGAACCCCCCCCAGAACCATGCCCTCTGGATGGAGGATGACCTCGCTTTTCTCATCGGAACAGCGTATCCACTGACTATTGGGCTGTCAATCATGAGGAAGCCACGCCAATTCCCCCCAGTGATGGCTGACAGGATTGGAGATGGTTACACTTCCTCCTGCGGCCGGTTGTCACTCCCAGGCAAGGGGAGGCGGTATGTAAGTTACGCGCCTGGCCGAGCTGTAAGGTACAATTACTCAGTGACTGCCTTCCCAGCCTGCCTACACAGAACCCTTTCCACTAGTTGATGTGTCCTGCAACCTGGGATTATCATCATACTAGGAATGCTCCGGCACTGTGATCCTCAATAAGCATAGCACTACCAGCTTCTCGGTGGCTCGGATCATTCCATCATCGTCATCCAGCCCTGAAACTGGCGGACATCCACTCCTGTCACTTCCCCGGCCAATGAAGGCGCCAGTCCCCAGGGGTCCGATGGGGTCACTCACTTATCGCGCCTGGTAAGGATGAACACTCACGGCGATGGTGGTACCTGGTATGTGCCTTGTGTCTGGGACAGGACTTCGTAGGTACTAGTATGCAGGTTATGCGCCCTAATTATAGATATACAAGGCGCATGCGTGTGCACCTAGACCATAAGAACCGTAGGAAAGGAATCAACATTTGGACGGACTCTTGCAGGAGTATCAAAAGTCACTGACGGGACTAGTCCAAATTTCAAACAGTTGGTGTGAGAGGAGTCTTCATGCAGCCGATGCCGCATCCAATCTGCTTCTTTCTTCTCTAATCCCTACCGGGGCCAACCCCAGCTTTTTTCAAACCCGCCTGGATGGGAATCATTGGGAATGAGATTTGAATGAATCAATTTGTGCTGCAGCAGACAATCATCATCTGGTAGGTATCTCCGTCAGTCCTGAAGATTCCAGATGCGACTTCTCTGATGATTATTTGTTGTTGTTATCGTTCTTCATTCCTTTCCGTTGCCCGTCTCTCCCAGATATTCATTACAATTATCCATTCCCCTCATTTCACATACTTCCGTCCTCTTTCCTCTTTCCTCTTTCCTTCATACTAAACTTCCATCCTTCGCTCTGGTATTTGGCCTCCTCTTCTTTCTCTTTCTCCCCCTCATCCCCCTCCCCTTTCTCCTCTTTCCCTCTCTCTTTCTCTCCCTCTGTTCTATCTGTCTGTCTTTCAATTTTCCCCTCTCTCCACCCACCCACCCACTCATCCACACCCCTTTTATCCCGCCCTGGTGTAAAGTAAGTAGTTGTCAATCCTTCTGACGCGCGCTACCACCCAGTCGGGCAACAGGACCACTGACTGGCCTGGACTCTCTCGCTGTCCCTCTCACCATCGTCTCCTGTCTCCTCTTTTACTCCATCTCTGTTGTCATCTGGTTGAGTAGCGTCTATCCTTTGGGTTCCTCACATTCTCCCTCCTTTCTTTCTTTCCCCTCCCCTCCTTTCCCCCCCTCCTCCCTCTCTCCCTCACTCTCTTTTTTGCCCCCTCTGCCGGGTTTATTTTCCACCTTCCCTCATATCATAATCTACCCGGTTCAGTTGAGTCGCCCACTCCTTCGGCGGTTCCGGCGGTACCGCTTCAGAGATTCCTCATCCCGTTCCCATCTGATCCCACCCTCAGCTGTCGTGTGGTTGAGGGGCAAATTCCGCCTCTTTGGAACCTGGCTGACTCTCTCCCTCTGGTTCCTGCTTACTACGTGCTTGCGCTTGCCTGGCTGCAGCGGCAAAACCCCCACACCCAGCTTTTTTATTTTTCTCGATTCATTCCATTTTCTTGGTCCTCGGTTTGCCATCAGTTGAGCAGGAAGGGCCCTGTCGCCAGCAAGGGCCGGAGATTTGCCCTGGTCAAGGTCATACTAATTTCTATTAAAAGCGCAGACCATCTGGATTAAAAAAAGAAAAGTCCACCCAAAAAAAACCACCACCCTCCTTCCCCTCCCAGTTGTCGCGCGGGCTCTTTGTCGACCAGGGTATTTATTCACTTATCGGCTTTCGACGATTCTCCGGCGAGGGTCGAGACACGGAACAACAAGTCGCGGTTTGACTCAGCTTTAGGGAGACTTAATAGTTAACGTACCACCATCTCCACTCTAAGGTTCCTTAGCTGCTCGCTTGTCCCATCCATCCCGCATCGGTCCACCGGCTCGCATCCAGTGACCCATGCTCGACTTGATCCTCGTGCAAGCACGCCTGTCACTTCCTTCCACTGTCTTCCTCCGTCCGTCTGCTGTGCAGATTTGAAGCCCGTCGCTCCCTCCCAGATTGTTGCCGGTGTCCACTCCGTACGGTCCGAGTCGGCCTCCCGTCGAGATGGCTGAGACCGTCATCATGAATGGCGGTCCTATCGCCGAGGACAACATCATCAACCGCCGCGGCGGCGAATCGATCTATCAGAGCTGTGTGAACCTCAAGAAGCGCCTGGCCGAAGTACCGAACTTCGAACCCCATATGCGAGAGATGGAAGAAGCGGATGTGGTTCAGGGGATCACCGACCCTGTGGCGTCGCTGTGGAATTGTCTCCGGACGGGGTATCCCTTGTTGACCATCTACAATGCCTCCGGCCCGGAAGAATACCTTGAGGTCGATACCACGAAAGTCGCAGAGGCCAAGCGCCCAAAGGCCGCCACCTTCAAATTCCTCCATGCGTCTCTGAAAGAGCTGGGTTTTCCTCAACAGGACTGCTTCCTCATCACGGATCTTTATGGCGAGAATACCACCGGTTTCACCAAAGTGATCAAGATGGTGAATCGTGTTCTAGACATCCTGGAGATGCAGGGACAGCTGAAGCGACCGTCGGATACCGGAGCAGGGGCCCCCGCGAAAGGTACCGTCAAGCTTACGAAGCGGGAGCATATCCTCAAGGAGTTGCTGGAAACGGAGCGCGACTACGTCCATCATCTGCAGAATCTACAAGCCCTCAAAAAGGAGCTAGAAGAGACGAGCGCTGTGAACGGTGATGCTAGCCATCAGATCTTCTTGAATCTCAACAATTTGCTCGATTCTGCCCAGCGGTTCTTGATCCGTATCGAACAACACTATGCGCTGCCTGAAGAGCGGCAAAACTGGGGCGAGTTGTTCATACAACATGAGGAAGCCTTTCGGCAATACGAACCTTTCATCGCCAATCAGATGCGCTGCGATGAGATCTGCCTAAGAGATTGGGATAAGATCCACGTCGCCCCGCGCTCTAAGGACTTGCTACAGATGGTGGCGCAACCTGCGACGTTGAATGGTTTCTTTGTCAAGCCTTTCCAGCGCTTGACAAAGTATCCACTGATGCTGGGGGTGAGCGCCATCCACGTGATTACTGATTCCTGTTCGCCGTCTTCTAACTGTCATGCAGGAGCTTCTCAAGCAAACCGAAGACCCAGACCTCCGGGCTGATATTCAACGGGCCATCGACGCCATCCAGTCTGTTCTCGACTCCGCAAACGATGCCATTGATAAAGAGCACCTGCAGACCGCAGTCAAGGACCTTGACGAACGGGTTGACGATTGGAAAGCTCTGAAGATAGAAGCGTTCGGCGACCTTCTCCGGTTTGGCACCTTTTCGGTAATCAAGGGTGACAACGGCAAGGACTCCGAAAGAGAGGTTTGTGCCCTTTCCCCTAAAAATATTGCCGAAAACAACCCCTCAAGGACTGCTTGCTGACTTGCTGCCCCCCTTGTTTGCACGCACACAGTATCATATATACCTATTCGAACGGATTCTTCTTTGCTGCAAAGATATTAATCCCAACAAACAGAAGTCCAAACTGAACCTAGGCAAAGATAAACCCGCTACCACGGCGAAAGGTAAAGCGCGGCTCCAACTTAAAGGCCGCATCTACATGGCAAATGTGACCGATGTCCTCTGTCTTCCCAAGCCAGGTACGAGAGTCCATCATCATCAATTACGGGGAGGCTGGTTCTAACAGAACCGTTCTATGACAGGTTCCTACCGGATTCAGATCTTTTGGAAGGGAGACCCGGGAGTTGTGGACAATTTCATTATCCGCTATCAGAACGAGGATAGTATGCGTAAATGGAGCAGGGACATTGAAGCACAGCGGGCGATCCAGGCAGAGCAGCGCAGTGCTCGCAACACCGGCACATCCGAGACCGAATTCACGTACATGCGATCCATGGCAAACATGCCGAATCCGTATCAACAGGAGTACGACGCCGAAGAACAGGCGGCGACACAAGAAGCAGCCTTCTTTTCGGAATTCCCAATGAGTCGCAATGCTTCAAGCACCAGCCTGAGAACGCGTTCGGCAACAGGAGGAAGCGGTAGCTCTGGACGTCCTCGCTTGCCTGTACCCGATCCGAATCTGTCACTGCACACGCATCTCTCCGGCGGCAGTATGTCGCCGGCCGAGAGAAATGCTCCCTCCTACTTCTCCCCTGTTGCCGAAACGCCATCTACGAGGTCCAGCTCCCAATCTACCGGGTATTCATATGGTCGTCAGATGACGCCCACGGCCAATTGGAATGAAGAAAACGCCCGTTATACAGCCCCAGCACTGTCCCGTGCGACATCGAGAGATGGGCCAAACTCGAACCCTTACTTCAGCGGGGCGCCTAATGGACGAAGTGCTCAGCGACCCTCTCTCCCTCCGATGTCAGGAGCCCAGGCGGCGAATGGCATGGCCCAGAGGATGCGTTCTGCCAGTAGTCCCGACATTCATAACCACAACCCGGAAATGCGTCGTTACATGGGTGCCCACACGATGCAGACCGTTGACAACGTGCCTGTTCCTCCCATTCCTGCTCATATCTCCAGCATGATGGCGCCGGTCAACCGAAGCCAGAACAACTCTCCCACCAATGGCAACCTTCCTATCCGCAACGCGAACCACCTTTCCAACTCCCAGCAACATTCGGACCCTCGGCATGCCCCGCCTACCCATTTCCATGAGCCTCAATATTCCGATTACCGCCCTAGCACATCGGCTACTGATCAACCAACGTCTCCCCTGAGCCACGAGCCCGACGAAGAGCCCCTCATGCCTACCCAGCTCAAGGTCAAAGTGAATTTCGACGATAACTACGTCACCCTGGTTATCGCCAGCAACATCATGTTTCGTTCCCTCATTGATCGCGTGGATGCCAAGCTAGCCCGATTCACCAACCGCTCGATTGCCAGCAAGTCGGTCAGATTACGCTACCGCGACGAAGATGGGGACTTCGTTACGATTGACAGTGACGAGGCCGTCCAACTGGCGTTCATGGAGTGGCGCGAGCAACAGCGTGACATGCTGGCTAGGGGTCAAGTAGGAGAGATTCAACTCTACTGCCAGGCGGTGGAGACTTAGATATGATAGAGCTGGAGCAATGGCATATGTTCCGGTATACAGTTACCTTCTGCTTATTCTTCCCTTTTGCCCCTTCATCTTTATTATCATTCCCCATTTCTTCGCTCTCCAACCATGAGCATTTGTTTACTCTCCACGTCCTATTTTTTTTTCTGTGAGTTGGAAGAGAAGAGGCATCTGACTCCACTAAGTCACCGGCGTTGTCTCCTGGTTCCACTCTACGACTCACATCCAACTGGATTGGCTTGAAACGGTCGGAGAGGCTATTGATTCTATTCGCATGGGTAAAGGGAGGGCAAAATCATCGGCCAGGTCGCTTTTTCTTGGTTGTCCCTTGCAAGGAGCCGGTTCCGTGGATATGCCTCGACCTGTTTGGTTTGGGGAAGAGGCTTCCACTGGGAAATGTTGATGACCCTATTTGATCTGATCTACCATGACTGCATGATGTATGTATACCGCCATTGGTTTTTTGCCACTCGAGACGAGTTGTATAGTGTTTCTGCATTTTCACTTTGGGATGGTTCTTGTCGCTGTACCTCGGCTGTTGCGCTTGCTTTGCTGGAAGTTTCATTTATTCTTTTTTTCTGCCGGACCCCGTGCTGGCCCTATCAATGATAGTTTTATGACATTAGATCAAGATGCAGGGTACAAACCCATCTAGAGCGTGAATAATGCCAGAGAAGAATGGGGAATTGATTGCTTAACAGCCCGGTGTTTGCCTGAGACTGAGACGGGCAGTACGTAGATGGATAGGTACCTGACGGCGCCATTCCACGGATCCATCGTAGCAAAGAGTGGAACTCGGGCCCTCCACGGGCACTCCAACAGGGGTATGAAAGGGGTCTGTCTGTCCTTCCCTCCGAGAGACTCGTCGCAGTCTGCGATGCCGTCCTTCCGATTGCATACCGTTGCTGGGATCGATAAGGGGGCGCCAACCACGACCGCTTGTTCTTTGCTGGTGGAGAGAGTGATAGATACTAACAGCCCAGGAAGGCCACCATCGGGGCGGATGATTTGATCATTGGACCCGGTGTCGGATCCCAGCCGAAGGTGTCCACTGAGCCGTCGATCGGGACTGAGCCACGGGAAAGGATGCGGTCTGGACGGCGGTTGGGTACGAGTTGGACTATCGACTCTGGCTTCGTATGCGGTGGCAGTGAGGCATTTTAGATGATTCGCGATCCAGGAGCGCCCGACTCCTAACCGGGCGGCATTTGCGGGATTATTCAATATGATTTGGTTCTAATTTTGTCAACCTGACTGGTGCCTGCGGGCGGAAAGGCTGAAACTAGTAGGTCATTATTTGTCGCAGATGACAGGAGAAAAGGAGAAGGATGATGTGGAGGAAGCTGAGTAGTCTGTCGGTCTGTCACCATCTGGATTCTGGAGGGGTTGAGGCGATCGATGATAGGGCGGTGGATCAGGACCAGTCCCGGATGGCTTAACCAGTAGCCACAGTTGGAGAACCAGATTCAAGTTGGAGGTGAAGCCGTAAAAAAAATCAAATCCAACTTGACCTCTCAGGCCGCCGTGTCTTTTTCGTCGTTCGTCCGGGTTGGTATTTAGTGAGTATTATTTCCCCTCTTCTTCCTCCCCGCTGGTCTCTCTGGTTCGGAGCGTATCTCTTGATTCTTATTCATCCTAGTCTATAGTTATCCTAGCAACTCCGATCGTTGGTTGCATACGTGCCTCCTGCCTAGTCCTTCCCCAGAAAACGCCCTCTGCCAAGCAAGCAGCCCAGAATGTCTTTCTCCGGCCGCCGCCTGAGCATCCTGCGCCCCTCCAACCGCCGCTTCTCGGTCGGAAAGGAGCTGTCAGAGAACGGTGCGTCGTCGATCGTCTTGGTTTTCCTCTATTATCTCCGTTTGCTTCCTCTGGGATCTCCCAGGCCTGGCAATGCTTTCCAGGACTGCAGCAAGGCTCGGGTCCCTGGCCGGGTAGCCGTGCATGAGGGGCAGAAATCTCCCGCAAATGACAAGGCAACGCAACTGACATCCCATGCCATGCAGAACTCAAGTCCGAAACTCACCGTCAGTTCCGAAGCGCCCACGAAGGTCACCGTCCCCATGCCGGCCTGGATGCCTCCCGAGCCTCCACGGGTGTCGTCTGGTGTACCGAGCGTGCCACCGAACACGGTTACGCAGAGGATCCCCACTCCTGGGCCAACCTGGGCCAGGGAGCACCTGAAGCCGACGATGAGATCGAGGGCAGTTTCCCCCGCCCTACCAGCATCCCCATCACCTCCGCTGCGCGTGAGTACGGTCCGACCGCTGGTATCAAGCCTCTGCGTGCTGCCGTCGCCCGTCTGTACAATGAGCACTACCGTCAGGGCAAGGAGAGCCAGTACACCTGGGAGAACGTCTGCATTGTCCCCGGTGGCCGTGCTGGGTTGATCCGTATCGCCGCTATTCTGGGCAACTCCTACTTGTCCTTCCCTATTCCCGACTACTCGGCCTACTCGGAGATGCTGTCGCTGTTCAAGAATGTGAGTGGAACGGCATCTGGAGCGATCACGGTTTCAATTCGTGTGCAGCTGGCTTACTTGTGCAATTCCTACAGATCGCTCCTATCCCCATTCCCCTCGCCCAAGACGACCACTACCACATCCACCCCGATAAGATCGCCGAGGAGATCGCTCGTGGAACGTCGGTGCTGCTGACCTCCAACCCTCGTAACCCGACCGGACACTTCGTTTCCAACCCCGAGCTTGCACAGATTCAGGACATCTGCAGAGATCGCGCCACCCTGATCCTGGACGAGTTCTACGGCGGTTACAACTACACCACTGACTGCGACGGAACGACCATTAGCGGTGCCACGAACGTGGAAGACGTCAACAAAGATGGTTCGCCATTTTACCCTCCCTAAACGAATGAGAATCTCCGCAGGTTGTGTCCTGCCATACTGACTCTAACAGATGTGCTTTTGATTGACGGTCTCACCAAGCGTTTCCGTCTGCCGGGCTGGCGTATTGCCTGGGTTGTTGGCCCCAAGGAGTTCGTCGATGCTCTCGGCTCTGCGGGTTCCTACCTGGACGGTGGTGCTAACGCGCCCTTCCAGGAAGCCGCTGTTCCCATGTTGGAGCCCTCTCTTGTGCGTGCGGAGATGAAGGCCCTGCAGGTGCACTTCCGTGAGAAGAGAGACTACGTTGTCGGACGTCTGCGGGAGATTGGCTTCCGCATCCAGGACGTGCCCCAGGCCACTTTCTACATCTGGCTCGACCTGACGGCTCTGGACCCTCCTCTTCCCAAGGAGGCCAACCTTTCCGACGGACTGAACTTTTTCAATGCCCTGCTGACCGAGAAGGTCATTGTGGTCCCTGGTATCTTCTTTGACCTGAACCCTGCTCACAGACGAGACCTGTTTGACAGCCCTTGCCACCACTTCGTTCGTCTGAGCTACGGACCGAAGATGGATGTGCTGAAGATGGGTCTGGACGGTATCGAGCGGGTCATCCGCCGGGCTCGGGCGCAGTTCGAGCCCAAGTGGGAGGATGAGGTGGCCATCCAGGACGACTAAACGAGTCGGTTCTGTGGCGTCCACATGCGTAGAGCAATAGAAGCATAGCATAGGCGTAGGGCGATAGATTCCTCCTACGTACCTTAATGGATAATCATCTGGACATGACTCGGATCCTCCGTATAGACAGTGGGTGCCCGTCGGAGCCCAGACAGTATCACGTGACTCGGATGTGCTCGAAATGCCGATCGACAGGAGGAGATCGCATCCCTTTTTCGCGCGGAGTCTCGACCAGCATTTGCTTGCGGGTGGGAGCAGCCAGAACTGTTGCTGCGCAATATGATGTGTCGGCGGTTATGGCCTTCAACGTTCATCGCGTCCTCCACCTGACCGTCTTCACCTTCTTCTCCGTCATTCTATTCCTCTGCATCGTCCTGACCCCTGCCGATGCGATCTACCAGTGCTACGTCACGCACCGCCTCACAAACGTCTTCATCATCACCGGCGGCTACGTCGTCACCTTCATCCTCGCGGCTTTGATCTACGCGACACGCATTTACACCAATCGGACCGTCCTCTCCGGCATTCCCAAGGCATGGATCCCTGTCGAGAAACAAGACGTCGGAAAGAGTGTGCGGCGACTGGTCAAAGAGGGGCTTGCGCATAGTGCCATTATTGCCTACCAGGCTCGGCCGCGGGACATCGCAACCGAAGGACATGCTTTTGCAGACTACGAATCGCTGTTGGTGGACCATGACAGCCCGCCCTGGGGTCAGGTCGAGCACCCTGGATGGTCGTCACCCGCGTGTCCTGACTTGCCCGACCTCCCGTATCGCACCGTGGTCCAGGAACTGCCCCATCTCATTGAGGCCAAAGCTGTCTCCCTAGCTCCTCCCGACCCGATCTTTACGGCCACTCGCCGTGCGCTCCACACGCCTTTTCCTGACACCGAAGAGTCCATCCCAGACACGCGGGTGGTGGAGGTGTTACGGCGTCCGATATCAATGGGATTGCGGGGGTATTTGCAGCACCTCACTGCGCTGAACGTGATTGATCCGCCGGAGATTGGGATGGAGTTTGTTGCTCTGTATGAGCGAGCTCGCTTCTCGGCGCGTGAGCTGTACGAGGCCGAATTTAGGACCTTGATGCACGTCTTTGCCGAGCTGTTGCGAAGTATGAAGGTTTTGGATCCCCACGTCTTGGATGAGGTGCGGGGTGGGAGCTCCCGTGCCGACAGTGAGTCCCTCATTGGGCCCTCGGACGAGGAGGGGGAGACAGATACGGTGGACTCCTATGAGGGAAGTGAAGCTATGTCCCGGGGTCGGAGCAACAGCCTGCGGCCTTCGAATGCGTCGACCTGGGATGGTCGTTCCGCCAAGCAGGGTCGCTGGTCGCCTGTGTGGTCGAGACGCCCCGAGCCGCAGCGAACATTGGTGCCCCCTCGGACGCCGTCGATGCGATCGCTTAGGCGAGTGCAATCGAACGTATCTGGTAGTTCTGGGGGAAGTGTGATTCGCTTGGTTGAAACCCGGAGTCCGTCGGATTTACCGTACGCGTTCAATGTTGGCGGCAGCGCCGACCAGAGACCTCAAACGTAGTACGAATGCCAAATAATGTCTAATGAAGGTGTAATTTCTGTCCCCGATGAGCAAGTGCACTATCATATACTATTATATACAGGGCGACTCCGATTGGCCTTAGTTGCGATATCCACCGGTGCCTGTGTCCCCATGAGGCCAACCCCCACCTTGGACTGCCGTGACGTAAGCCAATCGGAGCTCCGGCAGGAACCGAAGCCGCATCATGTCGGCGTGGCTTTCCGTCCTTGGCAAGGCGGCGATTGATAAGATCTGGCAGTCCTCAAAAGTCCGACGATTGCGCTGCCTGCTTCTCCCTCTTTTTGTTTTTTTCTCAGTTCTCAACATCCTTCACCATGCAGGCTTTTATCCAGCGCGGACGCTCTTTCTTTACCCCAACCCCATCGGCGACCCCCCAGGAGAGTCCCAAGGACAGCCCCAAACCCGACGATGTCGTCGAAGAGTTCAAGCAGGCCCCGTCGGCGGACACGCTTTTCCCTAAGGTTGACCCCTCCGTTGACGGAGAGGAATGCCTCCACGACTGTGCCTCGTGTACGGTGAAATACCCCGCCAAGTTCGATGTCGATCAGGAGGATAATATGTACGGGAATATCAACGGCTGGTCCACGCACGTGCTGGTTGCGACCGGTAAGACGGACTGGGTGAGGGACGTGGCCGATGAGGAGGGGAGCGTCATGGAGGCGATCGAGAAGGGGGGGCTAGTACCAAGCAACGGGGTCCGTCATTCAGCTATGCGATCCGGGTGCGTGAACTAACCAGGCTCGACCCTAGAAATTAAAACTGTCGGCCTCCAACATGCCCGTTCCCGACGAGTACCATTACCACGAGTCCGGAAAGCAGCCAACGACCGTGCTGGTCCTCCCCAGTTTTACCATCGTTGATCATGTTACGCCGGCTTTGGCGCCCGATCTGATCAAATATTTTGTTAACCGCTCGCCCACGACCACCACGCCACTGGGAGTGGTCGAGTCGACGGAAACCGAGAACGATGAACAACCACCATCGAGCGAAGACATCCAGTCGCTCACCACCCTTCAATCCCGCCCTTGCCCTCACTCCGCCATCATTCTTCTCTGCTCGCACCGCACCCGAGACGCGCGCTGCGGTCAGTCCGCGCCTTTACTCCGCAAGGAATTCGAGCGACACCTGCGTCATCTCGGACTGTACCGGGACCTGGATGATGAACGGCCGGGCGGAGTCGGAATCTACTTTATCAATCACGTCGGAGGTCACAAGTATGCGGCGAATGTGATCGTCTACCGACGCCGGGACTTTGACTGGCACAAGACCGCAGAAGAGGCCGAGACCAGGGAGGAGGGCGCGGCGCAGGGTATCTGGCTTGCACGGGTAAGGCCGCAAGACTGCGAGAACATCATCCGGTACACAGTCTTGCAGGGCAAGGTGGTGAAGCCAGGAGAGCAGCTTCGAGGTGGCTTTGATCGAGCCACGGGGTTGACTAGCTGGTAGTCTCTCTCCCGCTCAAGGTATGCTGCAATCAGTCAATTCCATGTAGTGATCAGAACATGATATATATACGACAACCAACCAAGCATGAAACATATAAAGCACCATCTGCAGCTCACCACTTCCCTCTCCCCCCCCCACACTTATCACCTTCCCTAACCAGCCATATCCCCGGCACCATGAAGCCGATAAGCATAACCCCGATCCGTGGAATCGGCACACATAGACATCATAGCTTCCCAAGGAGTGCCAAAGTCAAGCGCTCGAAACATGAATTACCGACCCAGTAAACAACTCCCCTCCAAACCATCAAAACTGACGTCGATTACGATCTGTCCCGTACCATCTTCACCGCCCAACCAGAACCAGCCTCGCCAAACATTCCCTCTTCGGGCTAAGATTGGCCCGTCCAGGACGAATACGAGCACAGCTGATCAGCGGCTGTATCCTGTCTGCTTGGCGGGGTAGACGGTACTTCTGGTACCGATCGCGCTTAGAAGGTCTGGTACGGAAATACGCGTCTATTCTGGTATCGGGTACAGGACGGGTACTTGGTTGGTATTGGGTACGGGTATGTATGGGACGGATGTATACAAAGCCCCTTTGAGAGGGAATAACAGCTGGGGGTGGTTGTTGCACTGATGAAAGTCTGTGTGACGTGTGGAGTGTCCCTGATGTGAATGGGGCGGCCTGGAGCCTGGCTGGATGGTTAGAATATCCATGGTTAAGTGAGGATATTCAGGATCGGGTGTGGCCAGAGGCCATCAGTGAAGTTATCACGGGTTGTTCCATGTTTGCGAGCAGACAATGGCACCGTCCAGCAGATGGAGTATCCGGCTCTTCTTTCTCTGGATCCTGTAGGCCTGAGCCCCTGACTCTAATGATCCTGCCGGAGCTGACTACCGGTCCAGCCTCATCCATACAGCAGGTCTATACCTCTTCACGAAAGGGTTTCTTCTCTCTCGACAGATCCTCGACTCGAAAAGCCATTGCTCTGATCCCCCAGTGAATCTCTCGAGAATCACCACACCCACTTCAGATACCTCAAACACCACCTGCTGGACGCAGCCCATCTTCTCCAAAGCCATCATCCTCCTCATCGACGCCCTCCGCCACGACTTCACCACCCCACAACCTACCTCCCCCAAACCATACCACAACGCCCTCACCGTCCTCCACGAAACCGCTTCTCAAAACCCCCACAATGCCCTCCTCCTCCCCTTCATCGCCGATCCCCCCACCACCACCCTCCAACGCCTGAAAGCCCTCACAACCGGCACCCTCCCGACATTCATCGAAGCGGGATCCAACTTTGCCGGCTCCGCTATCACAGAAGACAATCTCATCACGCAGCTCCGCGACGCAGGGAAACACCTCGTACATCTGGGCGATGATACATGGGGCAAGCTTTTCCCAGAGCACTTCGATCCTCGTCTCTCCCGTCCCTATGACTCGTTTCTAGTCGAGGATCTACATACCGTCGACGATAGGATCTACGAACACCTTCTTCCTCTCGTCCGCGACAAGGCTGAAACATGGGACGTTGTTATCGCTCATTTCCTCGGTGTTGACCACGTCGGGCATCGATTCGGACCAGCGCATCATGAGATGCAGGGGAAGTTGTACCAGATGGACCGTATCGTGCGAGAGGTCATGCGGGAGGTTGATGATGAGACCGTGTTGGTGGTGATGGGGGATCATGGGATGGATGAGAATGGGAATCATGGGGGTGAGACGAGAGATGAGGTTCGGGCTGCGTTGTGGTTGTATACCACGCGGGAGGTGTGGGGGGTTGTTGGTTCGGGTGGTGGGCTGGTCCCCGTCACTGGGCTGGTTGAGAGGGATACGCCGCAGGTGGATGTCGTGGCGACGTTGGCGCTGTTGTTGGGAGTGCCGATTCCGTTTAATAATTTGGGACGGCCGATTGAGGAGGTGTTTGTGGGGGTGGAGGGGAGGGATTGGGGACGGTTGGTGGAGGTGAGTGCTTTGGCTGCGGCGCAAGTGCAGAGGTTTGCGGGGGAGTATGAGAATCGTGGAGGGGAGGGGTTGGGCTTGGAGGGGGAGGTCTGGGAGGAGGTGGAGGTGGATTGGGAGGATGAGGTGGCGTTGAGAGAACTATATGAGAAGATGAGGGGGTATCAGAGCAGAATGCTGGAGGGGTATAGGCGGGTTTGGGCTCAGTTTGATCTGCTGAGCATGGTCGAGGGAGTGATGGTTCTGCTGCTAGGGGTTGGTGTGCTGCTGTGCTTCCAAGTCGATGCTGGTCGTGCTTGGAGACTGGGGATATCTGGAGTGGTGGTTGGGATCGTGACGGGGGTGGTGGCCGGGGTTGGTCATGTTGCTTTGGCTGACTCTGTGAGGGCTACCATGGAGGGAGTGATTCTGGGTGCTGCTGTGGGCAGTGCTGTGCCATACATCTGGCGGATTGGTTTTGGAGGGTGCTCGCAGCTGAAGGTTTGGGACTGGCAGGCAGTGATGTTCACCCTGCTTCTATCCATCGGGTTTGCCTCGAATTCCTACACCGTGTGGGAAGACCGCGTGGTTCTGGTCTTTCTGTCAACCTTTGGGATATGCACGCTTGGTGAATCACAAAGGCAATATGCAACGGGCATTCGCGGAGCTCATTCTTTGCTGTTTATGTTGCTGAACCGAGTCGCCTCGCTCAGTCAAGCTTGTCGAGAAGAGCAACTGCCGTTTTGCAGCACTTCGTTCTATCGCCTAGAGAACAATGCAGTATGGAGACTGTCGATCCCGGTCATCATTCTCATGGCCGTTCTATACACCACCAGGACGGCTCTTGAGGATCTTGAGGTCAGGAACGTGTTCTGGTTTAAGGTCTGCATGCCTGTTGCGCTGCTGTGCAATGCTGCGTTTTGGAGTCTGGAGACTGCACATGAACAAGGCTGGCTGGGAGGCATCCTTGCCGAAGACACCTCCAAAGTCGTGCGCATGACTGTGGCTCGGACGGTGCTGGTCATTGTCCTCGTCGGGCTGGGAGCTGCCTTTACATCCACATCCGGACAGAGGCTTATGGAAAGACGACTCATCTTCACCACGGCAGTGCTGCTTGTGAGCATCCTCGCAGGTAACCCAACAGGTGGGCTCTCCTTGACGATTCTGTACTGCCAACTCATCAGCCTCCGTCACCTCGTCTGCAACAGCTCCATCAAACCCACCATCGCCGCCCTCCTTGGCACGTTACACTTCTTTAGCACCGGTCACAACGCCACCTTTTCGAGCATCCAGTGGAAAACAGCCTACATCCCGTTCCGCGATCCGCAATATCCATTGTCGCCACTGCTGGTGATCATCAACACTTTCGCCGCGCCAATCGTGGCCGCATGCGCCGTGCCTCTATATTCGCAGGACCAAAGCCAAGCCCGCTTACTAGCAGCGCACAGTACCGTGTACACCGTCTGGGCCGTCTCTACAGCAGCATGGGCGTGTATCCTCCGCCGTCATCTGATGCTCTTTGCGATATTCTGTCCGAGATTCCTTATGGCCGGCGGTCTAATGGTGATTGTGGATGTTCTTGCACTGCTGAGCTCTTACTGACTACGGTTGCTTACTACGAGGATAGAAGTGATACGAAAGCAAGCTCTATTGATTAATGAGAGACAATAGTTTGCGTTGACGTCAACAGAACGAGCACTCAATCACACCTCAACGGTCTGACGACCATTAAACCTGCCGGGGCACGTCACTGGCAATAGTGAACATAGCAAGCCTACAAATCGTCAGTTGAGTGCCAACAGGAAAAGGACTCCACCTACCCGGTAGCACTTGTTACCGCCATGGTGACGGTTGCAATTCTACATCATTAGTCAACCTCGCAACCAACCTGTCACTGGAGGAACATACATCAAGGCACTGTCTGTATCCCTTACGACAGGCCTGCACATCAACAGGAGCGGGCTCCTCATCGGCCACAGCAATATCGGCGTCGTTGTCTGCCTCGGCAGCAGGAGCTGCGATGGCCAGGGAGGCGAATAAGAGGACGAGGGGGATAGTGAAGCGCATTTTGCTGGTGTTCGATTGCTCTGGATGGTGATGGTGGTGGTGATGGTATGATCGATCAGAGATGAGCAGATGGCTCTATTTATGCACAGAATCTGCCATGCTGTTGTTGTTCAGATACATTCCGATGTGATACGAAACCTACTTCTGTTGAGCAGATGGCAGGTGAGCACCAAGAACCCTGGATGAAGCCGTTATATGGAAAGACTGTGATGATGGGCGTTTCTTGTGAGAGGTGTTGATAGAGTATGGTCAGCTTACATCTCCTGATCGATTTCATGAGTTGATATCTGCAGACACCACGATATCAACACCATATCAACACATTAAGACCAGCACCAGACATAGACACGTACAGTGTACATGCAGCAGTACATCTACACACATACGAGACACCGATACATCGACTAAACATGGGTATATAGATAACCTTATCTATCACCCAGACTCGGAGAATATCAGAAGCCCAGGTGACACAGCCAGGTACTGAATACGACCTTGTGGTCATGAGGGGAGGGATCCATGGCGTGGTAGGAGTTGTGGAACGTAATTCTAACCGATATCCGATTGCTACTCGGTACAGTGGAGAATAATGTCCATCGCTTGCTGTGATATATCATCCATCAGAGTGATGGAATATTTTGACTTGTCAGCACACTGACAGACAGATACACACATGCAAAGGATTGAATTGGCCAAGGATCAGGGACAAATCTAATACATTTAAATGTTTCACCCATGTTACCATCTCCTGAGCCTTTACTCAGAGTCATAGATATATCCCTAACTAGGTAAGTAAGCAGCCTTCCTCCTACCCAGTACCCCTAAACCAACACCATATGAAACAAAGAACAAATGACTCAACACTACCCCTGACAGACAGACCAGCCATGAAACCCCAACATAAACACAAACACAAAACCAGCATATCATCCTACCATAGCACGCCTGACTCGTACTGAATCCTGTGAATAACTATATCACTCTTTACTATACCTCGCTTATTTACATGCTTACCTACCTACCTGCCATTCTTACCGCTGTACTCGGGACGCGGAGTACTTTACCAAAATAGGTATGCACCTCGTAGAATCCACCACCACCACCACCACCATCATCCATTCATGCCTTTCCAAATCTCCAAGCACAGCCACGCTTATAATATACAAGCCAATAAGCACCATGTGACAGATGATCTAGAGTTATCTGATGTATGGTACTAGTGCTTTTGTCATCATCTATAATTATACCTTGGTATGATAATATAGGATGGGATGGAATATTTTACTACATGATAAGTGTGAAATACCTCACTTCACTCTAGCTTGGCCTTATAACCTAGATAACTATACGGAATATGGGATATGGGATGGGCTACGTGGAAGTAATCTATATCCTTGTAGATAGATTCATCCGTGTAGTCAATCTGATAGATGATTGGATAAGAAAAGGAAGAAGAGGGGGGTAAGGCAAACAAGACCCAAAGTTGGGATTATGTGTCTTACTTTTGGAGTCTACTCCGTACGGAGTACTGTGGTAGGATTCACGAGTGCATGGGGGGTACTTTTGCCGATGTCGAGCGGGTAGTCTGGTCTGGGGTACTGAGTACTATGTACTGATCGATTGTGCTATGTTACGGATAGGAGCTATTTCATATGTGCATATGTATGGGTATTGCTGTATACATCTGTTTTATGTGTGTGCATAATCCTGCCATTTAATCTTTTGTACTTAGGTTACTTCGTAAGATGTTACTATGAATATTCCATATCAACACCATACTATATCTAAGCGACCCTCCGGAGTATACACACCATATCATAATCTACCCAACTAAGCAACCATGTTTGCTATTGCTTTTTGCCATTCAATTCGGTCTACGGAGTAGATAACCTAGTATGTCCATATATCCACGGTAGAGAGAGGATGGTGCCACCACCTCACACGACACACATAAGCAATCAAGCCACCACCACCACCACCACCATCCCAGAACCCGACAATTGCCCGCGTTGGGTGATGCTTGCTTGATTGATTGATTGCTAGTGACAGATGCAGGGATGTCACACATCCTACGTACTTATATTTCTACGTAGTATGTTTGATATTCTTCTTTTATTAATATATGTTTCTGCTGTGTATGTACACTATATGTATTCCCTTTCTGTATCTTGTACGATATACACACGTAATGATACCGTAAGTAATATAGGTATGATTTTGTATCGCCAAGGTATCGTATTCTGTATCACGTCTGCAGATATCCCGAACCTAGGTCAGGTCTAGAGTATCGATGGAAGCGAACATAGTCTAGCCTCGTCTGTCCTCTAGTAGATCTTACGCTACGGGGTACTGGATTGAAGTAAGCGACGATCGAATTGTCGATGTTAGCGACCTACTTATGTTCTAGGGGACTAGACATCGGAGTACTTCTATTCCGTTGTAAGCAGTGATTAGTGGAGTTACATAGTAGGTATACATTGAGCGTAATGTCATCCTTTCAGAATCTATTAAGCACATCAATAGGAGTAATGAGTACTTGATGGTTCAGTGTAATCTACTATCGTTGGATTACTCTACGTACACAGTGTGTATCTCATCTATCTAAACTCTAGTGATTCCTATCCTATGCACTATATGACATCTACCTCCCGAGTAGTGAAGGCAACCCCGCATCTTCCCCACAGCCCTGTTTCTAGACTCTCGGCCATACTTCCCAACACGAGATTCATCATTTCCGCCAAGTGACACCACACAGGCGCGCCAGTGGACTAACTAAATGAGTGACAGGGCTGGGAGATAACTGACACTGACACTTCCCGTCTCGTCGATCCATCCCCATCCATGTCAGACGGTCGGGTGCCTCGTCCGCGTAGCCTTGTTCCTAGATAACATCCCAGCTACATACATAGTACTATTGTGGGTGGGTGCTGGGTGGTGGTTACTCCACTCGTGATATTTAGTTATCCACACTTTCAATTCACTTGATCCAATCCAATCCCTAGAGGTAGGAAAAATTTACTCATTCAGACAGACAGATAGATAGACACTCTCAAAGTCTCTGACGCGCCGCGCCGTCTTGAACTAACCACCCACTAACAAAGTAACCACTAACATAGCATCGCATCCATCGACCAGGATCATTAGCTCTCTCCCTAGCCCCCTTCATCGGTCATCCATTCATCTACCAATCTCCCTAGTCTCTACCTATCTATTTAGTATCTACCCTTACAAACCCGGCCCGCCCCATCCCCATCTCCATTCCCATTCCCATTCCTATCCCCATCGACTCCACAATTACACTACCCACCCACTCACATCATCCACTACCATACCTCCTACACAGTACTAGTCCCCCTTCCCCCCCCCCCCCCCCCCCCTAATACAACTAGTCACTACACCTAATGTAGTAACTAAGTAGTAGCCTTCTAGATGATTGTCCCGGATACTTTTTCCCCATCAACATGATTGATTGAGGGTATTTCTCCTCGGGTCAGAGACGTCCGGCTGGGTTTGCCCGCCTTTTCACTCTTCTTCCCTTCCTCTGTTCCGATCGGGATTGATATTATTTCCATTTCTATTTCTATTTCTATTTCTATTTCTATTTCTATTTCTATTTTTGTTCTTGTGTTTGGTTCTGGTTTGGTGATCAGTAGATTGGATTGGATTGGCTAGGCTTGAATTGGATTCTGGGTTGTGGCTTGCAGGGTGGTAATAGGTAGGTTGGTTGGTGATAGTGGCGCTTATGATATATTATACTATACTATACTATACTATACATAGTTTGGTTAGCTCGGGCGGTAGTTAACTATATATGGGTATAAAATATGTAGGTACTATGTAGGTAAATGCAGTTGAGTTAACAAGGCAGATAGATTTCAGGACTCACTCGGAGCCTCATATACTACTACGATGTATCTACGGAGCCAGTTGGATCGATGGGTCTGGGTCTGGGTCTGGTCTGAATCGATCAGTAGATGGAGGTCTCAGATAAACTTCAAAGGTATACACTAACTGGTGCCTCGCGCCAGCCCCAGTGGAGCCCTCCCCAACCGTTTCAGCCGTCGATCCTTTGGCTGACGTTGGTCGGTCACCGGAGACAGCTCCTGACAGGCTGCATCTCGCGACAATGACCCGAGTCATCTGAGCCAAGCGCCGACTCGGTCGACAGGATCGGGGTCAGCACGGATTGTTGTCCCGGTCGGGTGCGGATCGACCCTACATCGCGTGCTATGCATCACAGGGAGGGGGGTAGGCATTATTAAAGCTTCGGAAATAAGTACATTCATCCAGGATCCCGATACGGGGCGGCGGTGCTGCTCCAAGCGGAGGCTATGCGCATAAACATCACAGATTGCATCATTGCCAAGGTATCAAAATACGATCATCGCCTCTTTGCAGCCTTTGACAGGGATCAACTTGACCAAATCAGTCCGCAGAGATTGAAAGAGTAGAGAAAGAAAAGAAATGTCAGGAGAAACATCTGACCAATTAGGACTCGTAAATGACAGTCATGATAGGGCATCACACAAAATACACACGCATGGTAACTCCTAGTCTGAAACAATCGCTGTCGAATCATGCGGAAACATCGTCGTCGGCTCCCTTAGCCCACCCCGAGGAACCCCCAGTCCGTTCCCTCGGGCTGGTTCAGGATTCGCGCCGGTGGCTTGTAGTCACTCTGAGGGTGAGTGACAAGAATCGGGCCCCCCTCCGCCGTCGGAAGGTTGTGATAGGGCTGCGGAAACTCCGGCGGTAAGTATCCCTGCCGGCCGGGATCATACCGCTGCTGCTGCACCAGCTGCAGGTAGTGTTGCTGAGCACGCTGTACGTCGACCGGGGATGTGACCGGGATGTGTTGGGTTACAATCGGAGGCGGGTCTTGCATAGGCACTTGCGTTATGTGCAGGCTCTGGTGAGGATAAAACTCATGAGTTGGTGTCGGGGTATGTGGATAGTAGGGCTGCTGGGCAAGAAGGTACTGTTCATTCGGAACGGGAACGGCGACTTGCCCTTGATACGAGTGTTCCGAAACCGCATCTTCCGAGGGCAGTCGAGTCATGGATCCCGGGGGGTGGGAGCGGTGTTGGTGTTTGGTCAACGTGGTTTTGCGGCAAAAGCTTTAGATAGGTTAGAAGGTCACCCGCACCCGGACCGGGCCAATCCTTACGCTCGTTCACACGCTGGCTCGTGACAGATATAGGGCCGCTTGCCCGTGTGGATCCTCCGATGACGGGCGAGACTCGACGACTGCCGTGGTCAGCATTGATAAGATACGGGGACGCGAGGTGGAGCCTACATCGGAAAAGGCCTTGTGGCAGCCTCGGTGGTCACAGACATGAGGCTTCTCTCCCGTGTGTGTCCGCGAATGCACGGTCAATGCACTCCGCTGGATGAAGCTTTTATTGCAATCCTTGACGGTGCAATGATACGGTCGCTCATTGGTGTGTATCCGGTAGTGCCTGCACAGGTCTGATTTGCGGTTGAAGGACTGTCACCGTCAGAATCTATAGTCTGACCGATCAAGTAACCGTGAGAGTAAACGAAGGGAACCCATAAAGCAGCTTACCTTGTTGCAATGCTCCCAAGTGCAATTAAAATCGCGTCCACCGCCAGGCGCCATGGCTACGGAATGGAGAACAAAAACGAAAGCTATTGGAGGTGAGCCGCAAGAAAGTATAGCGGGGAGTGGCCCGACTGGTGATGGTAGTCTAAGAAGCAAAAGCTAGAGAAACAATAAAAACAAAACAGAATCAAAAGAAAAGGAGAAAAAGAAAGACAACTTCAGAACAGAAAGCAAGAAGAACAGATGTAGAGAGAACGGGCAAACAATATGAAGAGGGTACAGCGACGGCAATGGGAACCACGGCTCGGAATATGGCAGCAGTTTGCGGAGCGAAAATAGGGGAGAGGGAGGGAGGGGAAAGAAATCGAGGGAGGGAGGTCTGGACAAGTGGAGGGAACAGGAATGTCACTGCAAATTAAGTCCGACGGCATGCAGCCTCGACAGTAATCAATGGAAGGTCTGGACAGGCAGGTCGATTGGCAGCCAAGTCGCAGGCCGAATGATGGATCAAATCAAATGGAAAATGGGGTGAGGCTGGCCTGGGGGAGGAGTCCAGAATAGCCGACAGGGAGATAGTCCAGACAACGTACCTAATGCTAGTAAGAAAAAGCAGCGCGAAATAATATGTTCCCCCGATAATAATAATAATAATAATGGTGGTCGTAAGAAGTGGGCGCGACGCCGAAGAATCGATCGCGACAACGATGCGATACTATCTTCAGATGTAGTTCAACAACGCTGCTGCTCGGCCCGGGCGAGGTTGCAACTCTGTGATACAGCCACTTTTTGACGGCGGGTCTTGGGTGGTTCTCCCCAGGTACCCCCAGAACCAGTCAAGGGGGAGGGAGTAGTGGGTAGATCGGGGGGAACAAGTGGGTGAGCGGATGGATGAGTGGATGGGTGAAAAGAAATCAGAGAAAAGACCGATAGATAGATGGGGG